CATCGCCGCCTTTCACCACCGCTAACGCCACCACCTTCCACTACCACTATTGCCATTGCCTTTCACCACCTTCCAGCACTACCGCCGTCATCAACTTTCACCATTGCCACCATCTTCCACCACCACCACCGCTATTACCTTTCACTACCACCATCACCTTCCACCACCGCCACTGCCACAGCTCACCACCACTGTCGCCGCCTTCCACCATCGCCACAGCCGCCTTCCACCACCACCGCCGTCGCCTTCCACACCCATCAACAACATCGCCATTGCTTTCCACCACCGCCATCGCCTTTTACCACCTTCCATCACCACCACCGCCACCGCCACCGCCACCACTACCACCACCGTCGCCGCCTTCCACCACCACCACCTTCCACCACCGCTACTTCCACTACCTTCCACCAACACCACTGCCGCCTTCTACCACCACTGCTGCCACTAATTTCCACCATTGCCACCACCGCCGCCTTCAAACACCACCACCTACACTACTACCGCTTTTTACCATCCACTACCGCCACTGCCACCATTTATTTTTAAAAAATTATTAGAGAATATCATTTTGTTAATTTAATTTAATTTATTTGTTACTAAGAGGGATATTTTAGAGAATTCAATTACAAATTTATTCCATTCTAAATTTTAAATTGGTCCAACCAAACACTATAATGGTTACTATCATTTCATTCTTACACATTTCATATTTATAATCAAACAAAAGAATGATAATAACCATTCCATTCCTTTTCCATTCTCATTCTATTCCCACTTACATTTCATTACATTCCTGCATACCAAATATAGTATATTAGTATTATTACCAATATTATTGTCATTTGGGTCCATCCGGCCCAATGAAACAGATGTTTGTTCAATGCTATAATTGAATCCGCGTAAAATAAACTTGGATAAATTACTTTGATACTTCAAATTACTTTCTGTTCAAATTATTTAAGAAATTACTTGACGTTTGACACCCCCCTATCAAAATTAATAACAATAATGGTCAAAGTATCGTTTTGCCCTTACAAAAAATCTTCTGTAATGCTTATATGAGCAGGGCAGATGTATCAATCGAAGGCTGAATTTTCTATCTCTATCAACAAAAACACATTAGGAAAAGGGCCATTGCAAGTCCGACTGAATTTTTGTAAAGGGTATTAAAAGACTCTGGATTCAAGAGTAAGTAGGGATGGCAAAAATATTTGGCCCAGGAATCCGTCTCAGACCATCCGTTTAGAACGGTTATGGGAATGGTTACATGATTTTGAAGCGAGAATGAGAATTTGGATTGAAATCCTGCATGTTTATGGAATGGGTTATGATAATAAATTACAATTTTATCTTTATATTTTATTTTATATTTAATAATATTAGGTATATATTGAACAAAGTCTTAATTTATTCTATTCTAATTACTAAGTATTCTTTTGTATTATTCTTATTTGAGAACTTATATGTATTATTTTGATGTTTGTACAACAGTATTCAGTTTCAAGTTCTACCATAATAAAAATTTTGTTTTTATCAACATAAAACAAAAATAATCATTACCATAATAAAAATTTTCTTTCATTATTTATTTTTATTCGTTAGCAATTGTAGCCTTCCGTCCCGTTTAGTAAGTGATTTTAGATAGTATAGGTAACTGTGCTACACATAGAATTAAAACTTGTAACGTTTATGTATCATAAACATAGAATTAAGTGTGAAGTAATAATAATAATAATAAATAAAATAATTATCACAATAGTAATAATAATTTAATGATAATTATATTTTTATAAAATAATAGTAACATTTTTAGTCGTTAATTTTTTACCCATACACATATTAGTATATTACACACCTATGCATTCGCATTTTTAAATTTTCATTTTTTTTTTCAAAATTTAGTTTCGTTTTAAATTAAAAAAAAAAATCAAGTTATTCTTATAAGTTTTAGAATCCTCTTTTTCTCAAACTGTAGTTTACTCTAGAATGAGAATGGAGGTTCAAGGTCAAAGCACCTTTGAAATAATATTTTGGCCAAATTACGCCAAATCCCTTGTACTTTTACAAAGTTACAAAATAACCTCTACTATTTTTAATTTACCCACTATGGCAGTGTTAAACATGTGATAGGCTTACTATTTTGACAAAAATACCCTTATGAATATTAATTTTATAATTTAAAATTGATTTTACAAATGAAAAGTTCGGTGTTTTTTTAGATGTGTAATAATATTTTTGTCAAAACAATCAACCTATGTGCTTAATTTACTATTTTTGATAAAATAATAATGTCTTTTTTACTAGTATTAAAAATAAAATAAAAAATAGTAGGTGGGAATTTTGTATACATTTTTTGGGTATTTTTTGGGTGAAGTACCGCGAGCTCTCCTGAAGTTTATCAAAATAACCTCGGCATCTTTTAAGATTTGTCCAAATTTCTTTGGCAACCCCTAATGTTAATTAATGAAATATTTTTCAAATTCCTAAACTACCTTTAAGTAAGAGAAAATTATTCAAATGACCTTATTAGAATACTAAATGACTATTTCAACCAAATTTAATAGCACAAAACCATTTCTTATGTCCATCATTTTGGATTTTTTTTAGAGTGGAAAATAAATTTTTTGTTTACATTTGAAGACAAATTGTTTTTGAACAATTGGTTTATTGATGAATCAAATAATGAATTATTATTAATTAATGTCTATTTTGTTGAATTATATGAATAATAATTAGTTAATATTTTGTTTTGACAATAAATATATTGAATTATATGTTGAAATGATTATTTGAATTAATTTTCTCACTTAGTGATAACTTGTGCATTTATAAAATAATATATTGACAAAATTAACGTGATCTAAGAAATTTAGACAATTTTCAAAGAGTGCCAGAAGATATTTTGACAATAGTTTTTGATAGGGAAAAATAAATTTAGCATACCTGGATTTAACAATTAAAAACGATATCGTACTAGACCACGGCGAATTTCAACCTCAACAGTTTTGAATTAGAAGACTCCGAAGAAAAATGTTGTTTGTGTAAAAATTGGGTCAAGTGAGTCTTTATTGTGAAACCGACATGATCCGTTAATTAAGATTCCACTGTTAGTAGCACCTCAGTTTAAAAGAAGACTCGACTGTAAACCAATTCCTGAAAGACTTCAAATCTAATTTTGTCGAACCTGGCCACATGGCCAAGTTGGCCATAGGAGGAATTCGAGGTAACATGTCGTCCACACTGTATCATAGTGTGGTAACGTGTAATTTCATATTTGATTATATATATATATATATATATATATATATATATATATTTTAAATTATAATTGTTTGCTGCAATCCCGTGGGACCAAACTTGATTTAATATTTTGTGCATCAGACACTTGACAAATAGTAGTATTAAATTGCCAGGAATGGTATGCATATTATAATTCGACCATTTGGATCACTATGTAAATAATTTTTCATAAAAAAATATCCAACACAGTGGTTAAATACATATGCAAAAAGAAATGATATGAAAAAAAAAGAAAGAAAATGCACATGCAGACAAGACAAGCGTGAACCATTTATGGGATAAAAAACACTAGTGTGAACCCTCAATTGAGATACAAAGCTATTAAATTCCTTACGTCGACCAAATCGAAGTCTTTGAACTTACTTCCAAAAAAACGAAAAGAAAAGAAAAGAAAATATATTGAAATTTTCGTCCTATATTATTGTTAAATTCTCCCCGCAATTGATTAACTTTTTCCATAAAGCGCGATTAAGTTGTCCAGCAAGCAAGTTGCGATTCAATAATTGACAAATATTTTTTAATACTCGGGCTATGTGTACGTAGTATCAAGAATAACTTTTCCATTCTCTTTAATTATAAGAAGGGTTAAGTTAAGTTAGGCACGGACTCACAGTAAGATTAGTGGGAGCATATGTCTAAATTCTTTTTTTACATTTTATGTTTCAAATTTTTAAAAATTTATGAATATGCTCTCCCCAAAATTACAATTTTCCTTACTAAAATTCTTTTTTTGCGTTTTATATTTCAAAATTTTAAAAATTTATGAAGATGTCCCTACTAAAATTATTTTTTGTCCCATTGGAATTTTTTTTTTTTTTTTTTTTGCATTTTACACTTTAATTTTTTGAGAATTTATGCCGATGACACAACTGAAATTACAAAAATGATCTCACTATATAAATTTAGCCCCACAAATTAAAAGTTTATCCCCACTCACAAAATTTTCTAGGTCCAGGGTAAAGTGCAAAAAAAAATCCCTTGAATTATTGTCATTTTTATAAATAATTTTCATGAATTAAAAACTGTCCCCTAAACTATAGATTTGTTATAATTAAAAGCAAACCTATGCAAAATATTATTTTATCATTTCTCATTAATTTTGTCATTTCTTATTAATAGATTTGTAACTACCATTTTTTTAAATAATTAACTTATTATTAAAATTTTATTATTTATAATAAAACTTATTATATCCAGTTTAAACATTTTTACTATAGAAAAATACTTTTTTTTCCTATAATATATTGATGAAAAATTAATAATGTGATAACCAGAATTTTTAGAGTTCAATTTTATTTTTATTAAATTGAGAGAGATTATTTATTTTGATTCTGTTAATTATTTTTGTATTGGATCAGATTTATTTTGAGTGAAAGATTGTTTCTTTAATTTGCTAAATTTCACGGGGGTGGTTGTTTATCATTTGCACTCAAGATGGGTTTATTTGGTTGATGCATATCTTTTATATATATATATATATATAGTATTTTGGCATCTATTGGAAGTGGGGAACAGCTGGCCGAAGAGAAAAATGAGAAAGGAAAGATTATTTTGATGATAACCCTTTTTTGCAGGTCCCACTAGAATTTTTTGTGGTCAAAAATTGCATGTTGCTTGGCTTTGTACGTGGGCTGGCAATGGGCTGTTGGGTGATGTATATAATTGAAAAGAATGAAATGATGGGCGGTGGGATCCGATGGTAGATTTTTTTTTTGGCCAAAGTTTATTTTGTCTTGGTTCCTTCACGCGGGTTCTGACAGAGTAAGACGCGGGTTCTGACAGAGTAAGAAAAGAGAGAGAAATAGTTGATTCAGTGGCGGGTGCCATGGGTTTTATTTTGTCTTGGTTCCTTCACGCGGGTTCTGACAGAGTAAGAAAAGAGAGAGAAATAGTTGATTCGGTGGCGGGTGCCATGGGTTTTATTTTGTCTTGGTTCCTTCACGCGGGTTCTGACAGAGTAAGACGCGGGTTCTGACAGAGTAAGAAAAGAGAGAGAAATAGTTGATTCGGTGGCGGGTGCCATGGGTTTGAATGACTTGCCTTTATATATGATATATACATATATATTGTGTTGTGTGCTGAAAGTGGCTGGAAAGAGAAGTTTAAAAGAAAATGAAGAAAAGAAAGGTGAGTGGGAGCGGGACCTACAAAATTGATTTTTTTTTTTTGAAGTCCGCAGTTTTGCTTATAAATTGAGGGTGGTATGTGATACAAAGACGGAAGAGAAAAGTTAATACAGAGAAAGAGCCGAGATAGAGAGTCTTGAGAAATATAGAGTGAACCGAGAGAACGAGAGAGATTGATGAGGGACAGAGAGTGAGTCAAAGAGTCTGCAGAGGAGGGCGGAGGTTTGAGAACTTGGTGATCTAGTAAGAAAATTCTTTTTCAAGATAGGAGTCTCTAATTCACAAAATCTTGCATCTTTGTGAGTAACTTTATTTAATTAGTGTCCTAGCATGCTAATTTGTGTTATTTCACTCTAAAGTGATTTAATTGTGTATATGAAGTATATGATTTTGTGTGTAGTTGATGTTGTGCAAATTAACATGCTTAATTTGAATTGATTGCCTTGAAAATAATTTTATTGTTGTAAATAAAATTTATGATTATGTGTATTAATTAAATTGTATGAAAAATATGCCTAAATGTAAATTTCCCCATGATGTTTAAGACCTTACTAGAAAGTGTTATGTGGAAGCAAGTTAAATTGTGTGGTGGAAATTTATTTATTTTCATAATAATGACAAGCATGTGACATGCATGCATAGCATTCGGTATGGAAAAAGGGTAAAATGACTTGAAACAAATGGAAAAGAGATTTTTGGGGAAATGATTTGATTAAAGTGTTTTTGAGAAAACTCGGTTGCCGCGGAGTCACCAAAGGGCCGGTGTGTTAATATAGCCTAGAGGGAACTAGGGAGACTGCCTTAGCGTGGTTGAGCTATCTGTGCCTCAAATGACGCTACGAAGGTACCAAAGGTCAGGTACAGTAGCCAATCCTTCTCTTGTGTCGCTGCGAAGTCACCAAAGGGCGGGTTATATTAACAGTTTGTGAAGTGACGAATGTTTTTCTGAAAATGGGGAGTGACATATATGACATTACATTTATGACATGGCGTTGTTATTTTGGAATTTGAATTAATGTTGTATTCCCTCCCCGCATAGTATGACCTCGCTTCCTATTATGATTCATTGTTTGGATTCACGGGGTTAGAAGAGGTGTGTCTTAGGCACCACCTACTGAGCAATTTGCTCACCCCTTATATTTAATATTTTTCAGGACACGGATGGCAAGTGGCGGATGATGCTCTTCCACATGGTTCCATGAGTTCGTAAACCGTTTTGACATACTTTGTAGCTATAATCTCAATTTATTATTATTTAATTATTTATTTATTTATTTTATTTATAAATCCGGAATGACATGTATAATATGTATTAACGTAGAAAATAATGGTGTTGTCCCTAATTGACCTATAACCGAACCCGACTAACGGTTCGGACCGACGGGTTCGAGTCGTTACAAATATATTACTTAAATAAAAAATACTTTCTTTTTCATATAATACATATTCATAAAAATTTAATAAATTAATTAAATTGTTTTAAAATTATTTACTTAAGATTTTTATTTAAGCAATTAATTTTAAAAATAAAAGGTAAATTTAAGCAAATTTAATGGATAATATATCATCAAATTAGTATAATTTTTTTTCATAATGTATTTTAATAAGAAAAATAAATTAAGTTTAGTTGAATAAGAAAGGATATCATAGTCATTTAATGAAATGCAACAAACACATCTAACAATTGAAAAAAAAAAAAAAAAAAAAAATTAATACTCTGAGGCTAGCTACAAATTTAATGATAATTTATCGGGGTATTACAGAGTACCCAATACCTTTCATTAAGTTATTTTGAAAAGTCGACCAATATTGTCAATATTACTGTAATTTGGGTGACCCAAATGGAACAGATGTTTCTGTACGTTCAACGCTGGAATTGAACTTTACAAGTATTTATGAACAAAGTGTAAACGGGAGTGAAAAGCACGTGGTTGTTGAGGAAGTTATAATGATTAACAATGATAATCGAGTCAAAATCGTCTCCTATAAATTAAGATGTCACTCTCTTTAGTCTTCACCATATTATATGGTGAAGACTAAAGAGAGTGACATCTTAATATATATAGTTGATTCGGTGGCGGGTGCCATGGGTTTGAATGACTTGCCTTTATATATGATATATACATATATATTGTGTTGTGTGCTGAAAGTGGCTGGAAAGAGAAGTTTAAAAGAAAATGAAGAAAAGAAAGGTGAGTGGGAGCGGGACCTACAAAATTGATTTTTTTTTTTTTTTTTTTTTTTTGAAGTCCGCGGTTTTGCTTATAAATTGAGGGTGGTATGTGATACAAAGACGGAAGAGAAAAGTTAATACAGAGAAAGAGCCGAGATAGAGAGTCTTGAGAAATATAGAGTGAACCGAGAGAACGAGAGAGATTGATGAGGGACAGAGAGTGAGTCAAAGAGTCTGCAGAGGAGGGCGGAGGTTTGAGAACTTGGTGATCTAGTAAGAAAATTCTTTTTCAAGATAGGGGTCTCTAATCCACAAAATCTTGCATCTTTGTGAGTAACTTTATTTAATTAGTGTCCTATCATGCTAATTTGTGTTATTTCACTCTAAAGTGATTTAATTGTGTATATGAAGTATATGATTTTGTGTGTAGTTGATGTTGTGCAAATTAACATGCTTAATTTGAATTAATTGCCTTGAAAATAATTTTATTGTTGTAAATAAAATTTATGATTATGTGTATTAATTAAATTGTATGAAAAATATGCCTAAATGTAAATTTCCCCATGATGTTTAAGACCTTACTAGAAAGTGTTATGTGGAAGCAAGTTAAATTGTGTGGTGGAAATTTATTTATTTTCATAATAATGACAAGCATGTGATATGCATGCATAGCATTCGGTATGGAAAAAGGGTAAAATGACTTGAAACAAATGGAAAAGAGATTTTTGGGGAAATGATTTGATTAAAGTGTTTTTGAGAAAACTCGGTTGCCGCGGAGTCACCAAAGGGCCGGTGTGTTAATATAGCCTAGAGGGAACTAGGGAGACTGCCTTAGCGTGGTTGAGCTATCTGTGCCTCAAATGACGCTACGAAGGTACCAAAGGTCAGGTACAGTAGCCAATCCTTCTCTTGTGTCGCTGCGAAGTCACCAAAGGACGGGTTATATTAACAGTTTGTGAAGTGACGAATGTTTTTCTGAAAATGGGGAGTGACATATATGACATTACATTTATGACATGGCGTTGTTATTTTGGAATTTGAATTAATGTTGTATTCCCTCCCCGCATAGTATGACCTCGCTTCCTATTATGATTCATTGTTTGGATTCACGGGGTTAGAAGAGGTGTGTCTTAGGCATCACCTACTGAGCAATTTGCTCACCCCTTATATTTAATATTTTTCAGGACACGGATGGCAAGTGGCGGATGATGCTCTTCCACATGGTTCCATGAGTTCGTAAACCGTTTTGACATACTTTGTAGCTATAATCTCAATTTATTATTATTTAATTATTTATTTATTTATTTTATTTATAAATCCGGAATGACATGTATAATATGTATTAACGTAGAAAATAATGGTGTTGTCCCTAATTGACCTATAACCGAACCCGACTAACGGTTCGGACCGACGGGTTCGAGTCGTTACAAATATATTACTTAAATAAAAAATACTTTCTTTTTCATATAATACATATTCATAAAAATTTAATAAATTAATTAAATTGTTTTAAAATTATTTACTTAAGATTTTTATTTAAGCAATTAATTTTAAAAATAAAAGGTAAATTTAAGCAAATTTAATGGATAATATATCATCAAATTAGTATAATTTTTTTTCATAATGTATTTTAATAAGAAAAATAAATTAAGTTTAGTTGAATAAGAAAGGATATCATAGTCATTTAATGAAATGCAACAAATACATCTAACAATTGAAAAAAAAAAAAAAAAAAAAAATTAATACTCTGAGGCTAGCTACAAATTTAATGATAATTTATCGGGTATTACAGAGTACCCAATACCTTTCATTAAGTTATTTTGAAAAGTCGACCAATATTGTCAATATTACTGTAATTTGGGTGACCCAAATGGAACAGATGTTTCTGTACGTTCAACGCTGGAATTGAATTTTACAAGTATTTATGAACAAAGTGTAAACGGGAGTGAAAAGCACGTGGTTGTTGAGGAAGTTATAATGATTAACAATGATAATCGAGTCAAAATCGTCTCCTATAAATTAAGATGTCACTCTCTTTAGTCTTCACCATATTATATGGTGAAGACTAAAGAGAGTGACATCTTAATATATATATATATATATATATATATATTACAGTTTAAGACACAAGAATATACATCTAAAACCTTATTTTCAAGTTTCAATTGCTATGCAGCTGAAGCAATTGTTTTGTTGTGGAGGTCGTACAGATATGTAATAGATAAGCCACACTGGTATCTATTGGTCTGAGAGCTAGCTAGACAGGAAAGAATATATATCCAAAACCTTCCTCCAAGTTTCAATGGCTTCTTCGTCAACCCCTAATTCATCTTCTAAAAAGTACCCATTCCCATTAGGGATCAAAGTGACAGACATTTTCTCTTTCAAACTCTCTGGAGAGAATTACGTTACGTGGAAGCCGCTGATGATTGGTCTGATCAAGAGTCAAGGATTAATTGGTTTCATCAATGGTGAAGTTTCCGCACCACCTAAAAGAAAAGAGATCCCCTGGGAGTACGGTTTCATCCCCGAGTACCCCCGCAGAACAATAGAGATCGAGAACCCGGATTACGAGGCTTGGGAAAGAACAGATGCTCTGCTGCGAAGCTGGATTTTGGGGACGGTCAGTGAAGATTTGCTTCCAAACTTGGTGAGATTGGAAACTGTCAAAGACATGTGGACTATCTTAGAGGAGGTCTTAACTCCCAAAGAAACTACAATCAGCTGTAAGTGACTTTATGGCTGATCAAAATACTTTTAGCAACCATATTTACGTGAATAACTATATATATATATAGATATATTGATTCAAATGATCAGTGTATATACTAATTAGAGAGTTTCTAACGGGATTCTAGATCTTGCACTAAATTTGTTGTTTTAAAAAAAAATAATAATAATAATTACACCATTCAATAAAATTCTAATACACTCAGATATAAAAACTTTCCTTCCCTAAAATATATTTTTGATTCTTTTTCATTAACAAAAAAAAACCCATCCATCATTGTTGGAACTCAAACCCTCACCACGGAACTATGCCTGGCTACACCTAGGAGAATACATTAATCTTTGTCTTTTAAAATAAATGAAAAGAATGCCATTGAATTCATTAATGCATATCTTATAATTTATAATTTATAATGCCATTTATACAATTTTAATTTTTTTTAAAGTATTTTAAGAGATAATCTTTTTAATGTTTAGTTTTTATTTTTTGGTCCAGTCAAAAGAGGTAATTTATTCAACATAAATACTTTTTTTTTTTTTTTGGTCCCAGAGGCTTAAAATATGGAGAGAAAATTTAAAGGGTAGTAGTGTCATTTAAAAAGTAATAATTATCTAATTATAAAGTTAACATTATAATTATCATTTTATTTAAAATATAATGCAAATGTTAAAAACTGAAATACAAATACATGTGTATAACACTCATCTCAGACTTATGATGTGGACCTGTGGTCCTACATCAATTTTGAACGACGAAATATAAACAAACTTTTCAAATATAACTAAAATGGTGTATTTTGATTGGATTATTATTTTATATTATTGGCAATAAATTCACACATTATCCGGTAATAAAGAAAAGAGAAATGAAGTTCATTGCCTAAAGGAAACAAACACGGAAGCTGCAGGGAACGAGATTGCTTATCGAAGACATTTGGACCCACTGACGAAGGCTGCAAGGGAAGGTGACTGGAGGAGTGCGAGAGGGTTTCTGAGAAGAGAATATCATGAGCTCAGCTACCCCATCTTTGCTCTACTGAACCTAGCAATCGTGTTTAAGACGGAAATCCATTTCGTGGAGAAAGTGTTGGAGATCGCGCCACGAGATGCTTTGATACGATCTGATAGTGAGGGCTTCACAGCTCTACACTATGCTGCAATGGCTGATCACATCGAGGCAGCAAAGTTGTTGGTGGAAAAGAACCCAATATTGCCCAATCATACCAACAATAAACATTTATTACCTGTGCACTATGCTGCTATGTCAGGCCGAAGGAGGACGTTTCTTTACTTATGGGATCGAACCAACAAAGATATGGCACTCGAGGATGACCGTGGTGCTATTCTTATTAACGGTCTAATACTTGGCAATAACTATGGTAAGTACATTAATATATATATATATATATATATATATATTTTCACAGCTCCCATGTTATGCTTTACTCATTCACAATAAAGGAAAGATTATAAAGAACAAATATGATATCATGAGAAATGTTAATATATAATAATTTCTTACTAATTAGATTATTATTATTATTATTATTATTATTATTATTGTCCAAACTATATATGTTACAGATATAGCTCTATCGATGATTAATAGCAACCCCGAGTTAGCATGGATAGCAAGCGACCCGGCACTGAAAGCAATCACTCTCAGAAAATCTTCATTTCGAAGTGGAGCGCACTTAAATTTGTGGCAACGCTTCATCTACTCTTGTTAGTCTCTTCAATTCTTTTTTTTACAATACTTTTATCTTTTAGTTATTCTTTTTATAATATATGAAATGTCTACTACCTGTATAATAAATGGAACTCAAAAATGCGATTATTATTCTATAGGTTTGAAATCTTCATTGGGAAAAAAATAATAATAATAAAAAAAATTCTTCACTAAAATCAGAGAGTATTTTTTATTTATATATATGTCTGGGTATTATATGCATATTTACTGACTATGGCTACAAAATTAAAGCAACCAAAACACCCTGAAATATAGAATAATAATAATAGAAAATAAAAAAACTAGACTGCTTTAATATAAGAAATTATAGTACTTTCATTTAAAAAAAATATTATGTTTAAAAAGAACATTAGTAAACTCTAATCTAAATACATAACCTGGAATATAAATTCCCACGAATTACCTCTTGCTCTGCACCTAGGGAGGGATGTACTTGATTGGTAGTGGGTGCAAAAAAAAAATTGCAAAAGAAAAATTCGGTATATATATGCCTATTATTTTCACCTTTAGTATTAAATACTTATAAAATTTTAAAATTGCCTCCACTAAAAAATAACAGAAAAATCTTATTATTATTTAAAGGCTGCAACCCCTTGCATAATTTTCTAGACCTCAAAGTCTGCACCAGTCTGCTGATGATTGTTCTTCCTTTTAGATGCCCCCCCAAAGATGGAAGACTCAGCCTATCCAAGTAGTCTTCGAGGAGACAATGAGAATCCAGTCAATAGCTTCGCTTCTTTTCTGGCTTATGGTAAGACTTGATGTTGTGATATTATATACACAAATACTACAATGTTGTTAGCCTAGATCTAGAATTATATATTAAATTAGTACTTTCAAATTTACATTTACCAATTTAATGATTTTGCCAAGAAGCTAGTAACATAGCAATGTGGTAGGGGTGGGTCAGGCGGGGTGGGCCACTTCATATTTTTTCACATTTTAAGATAGTAGGGGGATCATGAAGAAAATTATTAATATGTGAGTTTCTTGACAAGATGAAAAAGAAAAAAAAAGAAAAAAGGTCATTTAAAGTGGATGGTGAAATTATTGTATTCTTTTGGTTTTACATGCAGTCTACCGAATCAGAATAGCTATTCTTCTTCTAATGCCCCAACGCAATTTCAATCAGTTATAACCAGTTGAAATTATTGATTATGACATGTTTTTGCTTTTGTTATACATACAGTGAAGCAAAAGTTGAATGGTGTATTTTGGAAACTCACTGAAATGTTCGGTAAGTAGCCACTTCACCTTCTTTCTTCTTGTTTTGGTATTTACTTTACTACTCCTGTCGCTTCATTGGGAGTCAGTTCTCCAATTCAACAATAGAAAACTTGAACACTAAAACTTTGTGAGAATCTTTGACAAAGTTGTAACGAAAAGCCACAGTAGGTAAATTTTTATTTTTATTTCTATTTTCAAATCAATTAGTCAATCTTAATTTCATTTGAATCACAGTGCCACAGATGAAGTACATTAGAGAGATAAAAAGAGAACATACTCAAGCACGTCAGCTCGTCAAACATCTGTGCCAGAATATTGAGATGTTAGGCCCTTTTCGAGCAGAGAATATATTAGAACAATCCTTAATAGCTGCAGCCAAAGTTGGGATTTCTGAAGTTGTTGAAGAGATTTTTGCAATATTTCCTGAAGCTTCCAATTTTACAAATGTGAAAGGACAAAACTGGTTCCATATTGCAATTTTGAACCGCCATGAAAACGTATTTAACCTTATTTATCAAGTCCGTGATCACATGAGAGATAAAGTTTTATTCATGGATTTATTCAATACGTCCTATCTAGATTTGGTCGCATGTTTGAAAAGTGAGCAAATAATCAATATTAGAGCTGGTGCAGCCAGTGCAGCTATACAAATGCAGCGGGAATTGCTGTGGTACGAGGTAATGAATTTTTTTTTTTTCCAATTTTTTAAAAATGCATTCCTTGGTATTTGGTATTAGGTTATTTTGTCCTAGTTACAAGCTCTTCCGCTTTTCACTGATGGGGCATGAATGCATTGGATATCATCTGTATCTCTGGTTCAATTCGAATTAATTTGGTAATAAGAAAGATCGTGTTTACCTTGAAATCCGATTAAAAGTAAGTCCATTTTATTAGTGTTGGATTTATTTAGATTATGAATTGGGTATTGTATTATGTCTAAAATCGTAGTTGAATTTGGATATGAATAACATGAATCCCTTACATGTGGATTGTATCTCAAATTTTTCTACTAAAATTTATTTGTAGTAAATTATAGGAATTAGTCAAATTTTTTACACTCTTTTATTTATTTTATTTGACCAAAATACACAATCAACTTTGACCATTACCGCTGATTTTTTTAACAGCAAGGTAACTCTAAGACTGGCTAGTGATGATGTATAACTTATGCATTATTATAGAATTACTCTATTTTCAATTCTTAAATTATGGGTCGATCAAAATGGCTATTTGATGGGAAAAGCCTTCACTTTAATGCAGGAAGTCGAAAAGTTGACATTTAAATTGTTCAGAGGCCCCTCAAATTATGAAATAGCATCGCGAAGAATGGTCTTTAGTGAGACACACGAGCAGCTGATCAAAGAAGGTGAGGTATGGATGAAACACACGGCCAATTCATGCATAATTGTAACAATTCTCATTATCACTATAGTGTTTGCAGCCGCCATCACAGTACCCGGCGGAAACAATAGCGACGGCCATCCAATTTTCTACAAAAATAAAGCTTTTTTAACCTTTGGTATATCAGATGCAGTTGCTTTTTTCTCATCTACTTCTTCTCTACTGACGTTCTTGTCAATCCTTACTTCGCGCTACACTGAAGAAAATTTTCTCAAAGTCTTACCAAGGAGATTAATTATTGGTTTGATAACCCTGTTCATCTCCATAATATCCATGGTTATAGCCTTTGGTGCCATCCTCTATCTTGTGTTTGGAGATAGGAAACCATGGATTCTTGCCCCTATTACCGCACTAGCCTGTGTACCTGGGATCCGGTTTGTGTCATCGCAATTTCCTCTTCTTTTTGACATGGTCAAATATACCTATCGCATTGGCGTTTTTTGTAAGCAGAGTGATTGTAAACTCTTCGTAATATAATAGAGAAGGGAAATAATTTAAAAACTTGTATGTCTGCCAATTTGAATCAATCAATTTGATTGAATTAAATTGACATTTTGTTCGCAGTGAGAATTCATAAATGTTGTATGTTAGAAAGCTTTGGCACATTGCTGTTATTAATGCTACAATAAATAATTTGAAGCCACGTTTGGAAGTTGGGTTAGGGGAATGCTACAATAGGTTGTGTAATCCATTCAGTAAAAGTTACTAGGTTGTGTAATCCATTCAGTAAAAGTCTATACCGTTGTCATATGGACTTGTATGTATCGGTCTTTCCATCATTAAATAATCATGCTAATCTCAACGAAATGAAAAATTAGATACACCTTTACATTGATTTGAAATAGGCGGTAGATGTTTGATGCTAAAGAAAACTAAAAAGTATGGCTTTAGAAATTTTATGGAATAATAACAATAAATAAATAAAAATTATATATATATATATATATTTTCTTGATAAGAAAATACACACCATCACTTGCTTTTATGAAGACTTTAAATTGAGAAAATACCACTAGATTACAGCATTTCTTATAATAAATAAAAATTATAATTTTAGTTTTACTTGTCATTAAGACCTGTATGATAAATGTTTTTGTTTTGTGCTTATGTTTTTGTCCGAAATAGAAACAACGTTTTTGTTGTGGAGTGCCTTCAAGACTGGACGAAAGAACATTTGGTAACGTTAAATTCATTCCAAGACTTTTGAAAGCAAAAATATAATAACTTATTTAATAAAAAGTATTGCAAGATTGAAAAAAAAAAAAAAAGACCACCTAAAATTTTATTCATTTGTTATTATTGTTTTAGGTATTGGCAATGCTTTTGTTACATTACGAAAAAAATTAAGAAACACTAAATTAATTAAATTTTTTTTTTTTTTTTAAGCAACAAAAGTTACACTATCCAAATTGCGGGCCTAAAAGTAAACTGGTTCAGGCTAATGGCATCCCTTCTGCATCTCAGTAAAGAAATCCAATGCCATTTTAGAGTCAAATCAGAAATAAGAATTGTCCAAGACCGAACATCCCTGCAAACAATAAGTCATCATCATATTACGGTCTAGTTTCTAACTTAACCATTTTCTTCATTGTATCACCTTGGTGAAGTCTCGCACTAGGAGAAAAATATCAAACGTTCAAATCAGATATTTATTATAGCTTTAATGAAAAAAAGGCTAAACATATTTACCACAAATTAAAATAATAAAGAAAAAAAAAAAAAAATTGAACATTATCTCCGAGATGATTTTGTGAACATATTTACCACAAATTAAAATAATAAAAAATAAATAAAAATTGAACATTATCTCCAAGATGCTTCAAAATCATCTCGAGTAACAATTCCACAAATTCAATCACAGTAGAAAACATCTAAAATGGTTTCTTGATCTTTAAAGAGTCCCTTTTTGGGAACCCAATTTGTTAAGAGTGTAATTTTTGAAGTTTTTTTTTTAGTGGTAAAAGAATGAATTTTTAAGGATACTTATATTATATATATATATATGATAGGTCCATATAAATTTTATTTGCTTTTATAAATTCAAGGTAAGAAAAATAAATTAAAAATAGTATATTGAATTTTGAATTCATCATTGCTCTATGGAACAATTATTTAGAAACCGTCAAAAATAAAAATGGGAATACATTTTTTGTACTTTCAAATTTACATTTACCAACTTAATGATTTTGCCTAGAAGCTAGTAACATAGCAATGTGGTAGGGGTGGGTCAGGCCAGGTACGCGACTTCGTATTTTCTCACATTTTAGGATAGTAGGTCGATCATGAAGAAAATTATTACTGTGTGACTTTCTTGATAAGAAAAAAAGAAAAAAAAAGAAAAAAAGAAAAAAGTCATTAGTTTAAAGTGGATGGTGAAATTATTGTATTCTTTATTTTCTTTTGGTTTTACATGCAGTCGACCGAATCAGAGTAGCTATTCTTCTTCTAACGCCGCAACGCAATTTCAATCAGTTATAACCAGTAGAAACTATTGATTATGACATGTTTTTGCTTTTGTTATGGATACAGTGAAGCAAAAGTTGAATGGTATATTCTGGAAACTCACTGAAATGTTAGGTAAGTAGCCACTTCACCTTGTTGCTTCTTGTTTTGGCATTTACTTTACTACTCATGTCGCTTCATTGGGAGTCAGTTCTCCAATTCAACAATAGAACACTTGAACACTAATGCTATGTGAGAATCTCTTAACAAAGTCGTAACGAAAACCCGAAAGCCCACAGTAGGTAAATTTTTATTTTTATTTTTTCGAATTTTAGTCAATCTTAATTTCATTTGAATCGCAGTGCCACAGATGAAGTTCATTAGAGAGATAAAAAGAGAACATAATCAAGCACATCAGCTTGTCAAACATCTATGCAGGGAAATTGAGAAATTAAAACCCTCTAACGCACCGGATATATTACAACACTCCTTAATAGCTGCAGCAGAAGTTGGGATTTCTGAAGTTGTTGAAGAGATTTTTGCAATATGTCCTATTGCGTTTGCTTTGACAAATGCGAAAGAACAAAAACGTGTTCCATGTTGCAATTTTGAACCGCCATGAAAATGCATTCAACCTCATTTATCAAGTCCGTGATGACATGAGACTCCAAGTTTTCTTAAACGTAGATTCATCCAATATGACATGTCTAGATTCGGTTGCTTGTTTGAAAAGTGAGCAAAGAATCAATATCAGAGCTAGTGCAGCCGGTGCAGCTTTACAAATGCAGCGGGAATTGCAGTGGTGTGAGGTAATGATTTTTTTTTTTTTTTTTTTCCTAATTTTTTAAAAATACATTCCTTAGTATTTGGTATTAGGTTATTTTGTCCTAGTTACAAGTTCTCCTACTTTTCACTGATGGAACATTAATGCATTGGATATCATATGTATATCTGGTGCAGTTCGAATTAATTTGGTTATAAGACATATTGTGTTTACCTTGAAATCCGATTAAAAGTATGTCCATTTAATTTGTGTTGGATTTATTTAGATTATGAACTGGGTAATGTATTATGTCCAAAATCGTAGTTGAATATGGATACGAGTAACATGAATCCCTTACATGTGGATTGTATCAGTTTACAGTCAAAATCCCAGTTGTTTGGAGAAATATAGAAACCTGCATCATTCTGTATGAATTCCCAAATGACTGAACTAAACTTGCAGTTAAAGAACAAGTGGTCCAAACACTCCCAATCAGCAAGGCAGAGATAACATGCATTGGTGTAGTGTTTGTATCTCATGGGTTTTGAGTCCAAAGTGTATAGTCCGAGAGCCAACCAAGCAATATGACCATGCTTTGAGATGTGATGTTTAAACCGGATTAGTTGGGGCCAATTAAATAACAATGATGGTGGTGTGAAATATTCCATTGTAAGTTTGTGAGAGTAATCAGATGGGGCACTTGGTAACCATTGAATCAAATCTGGAGTTGGTGAGGGTGTAGCAATCTGGAGTTTATTTATTTGACCAAAATACACAATCAACTTTGACCATCCTATAATTTTATTTTATAATATTTTAAGCTGATTTTTTTACAGCAAGGTAACTCTAAGACTGGCTAGTGATGATATAACTTATGCATTATTATAGAATTACTCTATTTTCAATTCTTATATTATGGCCTGATCAAATGGCTATTTGATGGGAAAATCCTTCACTTTAATGCAGGAAGTCGAAAAGTTGACAATTAAATTGTACAGAGACAAGTTAGGTTCTGAAAAAGCATCACCAAGAATGGAATTTAGTGAGACACACGAGGAGCTAATCAAGGAAGGAGAGATATGGATGAAAGACACGGCCAATTCATGCACAATTGTCACAGCACTCATTGTCACTATAGTGTTTGCAGCTGCCATCACAGTACCCGGCGGAAACAATAGCGATAACGGCCATCCAATTTTCTCCAAAAATAAAGCTTTTTTAACTTTTGGTGTATCAGATGGGGTTGCTCTTTTCTCATCGACTTCTTCTCTATTGGCATTCTTGTCAATCCTCACTTCGCGCTATGCGGAAGAAGATTTTATCAAAGTCTTACCAAGGAGATTGATTATTGGTTTGACAACCTTGTTCATCTCCATAATATCCATGATGATAGCTTTTGGTGCCATCCTCTATCTTGTGTTTGGAGATAGGAAACCATGGATTCTTGCTCCTATTACTGCACTAGCCTGTGTACCTGGGATCCAGTTCATGTCATCACAATTTCCTCTTCTGTTTGATATGGTCAAATATACCTATCGCATTGGCGTTTTTTGTAAACAGAGTGATCGTATGTTCTTCTTCTAAACCAAATAGAGAAGGAAAAAGAACAAAAAAAAAAAAAAAAAAAACTTGTATGGTCTGCCAATTTGAATCAATCAATTTGATTGAATTAATTGACATTTTGTTTAAAGTGAGAATTCATAAAATACAGAATGTTTGAAAGCTGTGGCACATTGCTGTTATTGATGCTACAATAAATAATTTGAAGCTATGTTTGGAGGTTTGGATTAGGAGTAATAAAATTAGACATCAGTTTGGCAGAAATTCTGTGTAATCCATTTTAACACCTCTGGAACCAATATGGCATCATCTTAAAAATAATATATATATTTATATATATAAATAATTATAGTATCTAATTGTATAACTGGACAGTACTTTCTAGTTTCTAACTTAACAAACTTAGTCATTGGATCACATTCATGAAGTACAGCACAAAGAGAAAATGATAAAAGGTTTGAAACAAAGAATTAACATACTTACCAAAAATAGAAAATATTGAATGGACGTTCTCTCAATGTTGACAAGACAACAATTTTCAGCATGGGAAGGGAAGATAGAAATACAAATACAATTTGTGTTGTGGGGTTACTACTTAACAGAGATGCGGGGAGAGAAAATGTCGTTAGAATAATTTTAAATCTCAATGTGACAATTACAAAAATGCACAATAATACGTTATTTAAATAGTGGTGTAATATTATAATATAATATAATATTTTACATGATTATTGTAACTTTAATCTATATCTGTTTCTCAAGTATTTTATAGTAGTTGTATGGTGATTTAGTTGTTATATAGTTGATATAATGTGTTGCACAACCAATTTATAAGGTTATAAGGTTGACCTATGGAATCCTTGATTCAAGATTTCACTATCAACCTTGTGACTTGATTCAAGATTTCACTATCAACCTTGTGACCTACAAAACGTAATATTTTTTCTTGATAAAATGGTTGAGTAGGGCAAACTTGTATCCATTCAGCACTGTACGCATATGGTTCAAAAAAATTGTGAAAAAAACAAATCAATGTTAGGCACGTTGAATTTGTCATTGGTATGCCCATACAATGAAAATGTACCACATAAATTTAATTATCAACATCTTTTACGCACAAGGGGAATAAATTTCATGAATTAATAAGGACGAATCTCTATTAAGGCTGTTTATTTTACGTTTTATTGAAAAACAGGTCTTACATGTAAAAATGTTGATAATTAAAAAGTTGATATGGTACTTTTTATTGGATTGACAAATTATTGATATCTATATTTGAGGAACAAGTGCAGAAAACATCCCTAAAGTATATTCGATTCGCGTAACATTTTTACCCATATTTAAAAAAGTATGCAAAAAAACACATATAATCTTTTCACATTTGTGCAAAAATACATTCAATAAAAAAATCTGACATAAATTAGTGTTGTAATACTCGTTTTGCCCTTTTACTTTTCCGAAAATGGCCAAGGGAGTATATATTATGTGCACATTACTTTATATATATATATATATATATATATATATATATATATATATATATAGATATTTGAAACTTTTTTCTCTATATACATCTCTAAACTTTTTTTTTGAAACTTTGAGAATTTATAGAACAAAGATTTGAAATTTTTGAGGTTTCAATTTACGTTTTCTACTAAATTTTTTATTTTATTTTTTGTACCAACATTGTTAAATCAAAAAAAAAAAAAAAAAAAAAAAAGGGAAAAAATCTCAATATCAATGTACACTGGTTTTCGGAATTTGGAGCAGATTTGTTTTCTTTAGTTTGCACTTTATTTTTATTTTATATTTTATATTATCATCTCTACTTTTCTTTTATACTTTTATTCTTATTTTTATTTTTATCTTTACTTGTTCATCACTGGAATCCTCTAATAGTGTTCTTTTTGGTCATTTTACAAAATTATTTATTTTTATATATTTTATAAAATGATTCAGTAAGAGTAATTTAGTCAACTTAGGGTTTAAATTTGTTAAAAGGATCTATTTGCACAAAATTGAAACTTTAGGGCACCAGTGAGGGATGTCTTCCATTAGTGACTTTTTCGGTTATTTTACAAAATTATTTATTCTTATATATTTTATAAAATAATTCAGTAAAGGTAATTTAGTTAACTTAAGATTTAAATTTATTAAGGAACTTGTTTGCATCCAATTGAAACTTTAAGAGTATTTTTTACAAGTAAAAAGTGTGATATCCACATCCTTATATTTGACTCATCCAATTTCTATAATTATAAATGACATGAGATGGACGAGCTACCTAAAAATTAATGTATCTGAAATATTATATATTATATATATATATATATATACACACCCATTTAGTCGGTTTTATAGCTTTGGTAGCAAGTTACTAATTTGAATACTTAATGTGGCAGATGGGAATTTCCTACGTGTAGTGGCTTTGGTCCGTTCTTTTTTTTAGGCCCACAACTAAAGTAGCAAAAAAGGCAGGCCAGGCCCACTCTATTTTGCAATGGCCATTTGTGGTACCAGGATCTTCTTGCGGACACAAATTTTGTGATGGTAACAGGATGTTTCCAGGCCCACTTTTACTACTTCCATGCGCTCTCCTCCTTTTTTTTTTTTTTTTCAAACGTTAGAAATATGTAGGCGTGGATTAACAATTTCATTGAACTTCACACTAAGAAAATTTTCACATAAGTTTGACTATTGGTGTTGGGATGTGAATCGATTAATTAGTTTGGTAATTATAATTGATCTATGTTGAAATTTGTTTAGGGAGATAATATTTGTATTTATTTTTTATAATGTACTCCACTTGAAATTAGGGTTACAACTCGGGTAGGTTGAACAAGTTTAAGATCTAACTTGAGCCAAACCCGACATATAAAATGTTTAACTCAAGCCCAATCTTAACCTTATCTTCAATTCTAACTTCTCAACCTAAACCCAACTCATCCTTCTAGTTTTAAACTCGGGTTTTAACTCAACTTTAGATTTCAAGTTTAAAAGTCGGGTTAATTTGGGTTATCCATATGGCTAATTTGATTAAATTACTCTTAAATGAAAAAAAAAATTAAAAATTATTGCAATTTTTTAATAAATTACTAACAAATGCTTATAAAAATAATTCTACTAAATGTTAATATAAAATAAATTAAGATTTAACAAAAGAAATTGAAATAAAAAGTTGATCATAATTTGAAGAATATATATAATGTATTTAAAGTTAAAAAAACATATAAATAATATTAAATTTTGGATTTGAGTTTGTTCGGGTTGATAACACATCAACTCAAGCCCAACCCTAATTAAGTTCGAGTTAAGAATTTTCAACCCATACCCAATCCTAATTATAAAAATGATTGCTTTCAGACTATCTTCGAATTGCCCAACTCAAATTACACCCCGACTTGAAATAATGTTATTTACTTATAAATAACATATTCAATATTTTTGTCACGAAAGAGATCAAAAAATGAGTGCATTTATAAAAAATAGGGCGAACATCACTTCTCATTTGAAAGGATTATCAACCTACTCATAAAATAAATAGACTCATGATTATTTTGTTTTCGATTTTTTTTTTTAGTTGGTACTTATACACCTTTTTTTAAAAAATTGTTTGTACGTAACAGAAATCAATTTTGAAAACTAGTTAATGTTTCATGAGACACTAGGGTTTAAATCTTTTCCAATTAAGCCAATTCCTTGAAATTAATCTTTATATATATATATATATATATATATATATATATATATATATATTATTTGGTGAGACGGAGAGATCATTGCTCTGACACAGCCCTCTTCGCCGAAAAAATAAAAAAGTCTTATGAAGTTGGTGTCATTATTTTTTGGACTCAAAGTCACAAAAAAATTTCTAAATTAACCGAGTGCAGGTGTATGAGTTTTGAGATTAGCCTTACAAGAGTACGAGGATATCCTTGATTTCTCATTAAAAACAGACAAAATAAATAAAAATAATAATAAAAAACAAAAACCTTTTAAGGGTAAATATAAAGTGAACTCATGTCTGAAAATGAAAACGATAAGTAGAATCACCCTAACCATAACGTCTTTTTCCCTAAAGCTTAAAATAATAATAAATAAATAAATAATCCAACTTTGCTTCCTAATTATAACTTCAATGAAACTTTTAATTTCAAAGTAGACGAAGCTACTAGTATTGGTAAAGGAAATTTAATAAGGTCCCAACTTTTAATTTCCAATTTCCAGTCATTTATTTCAACAAAATTAAATCAAATTACTTCCACCCATGAAATAACTAATTTTCCATTTCCATTTGTTTATGGAAAAAACCACATAAAAAAAGTTGGAATAAAGCAACAGAGTTTGTCATAAATCTTCTAAGAAAGTGAACTTTCCCGGGAAAATTCTTTGGCCAACGGTTAAAAATTGTAGTCAATATAGCGAAACAATATTGCAATCTATCCGCATTCACAACAAGAATTGGTTGGCTTTTTGAAGCCTGACTTTGAAAACAATGCATATGAGAAATCCCATGAATTCTCATTTTACAATATCATCACTCTGCACTCCAAAAAAAAATTACCTCAAACTATAAAAGCACATTCATTTCTTCACAAAACTAAAGCAGCATCAGTACTTCTCTGTACATAAATTCTTCAGATTCATAATCAAAGTAGTGTATCAAGCAGGTGGTTAGGAGCCATTTGAATCCAATGAAGCCTTGACATTAGTTGTTTTGTCACTTCCTTCAACAATCGTCGAGTCAGAATGAACATTAGCATTATTTTCGACACAATGTAAATCATTTTTGTCAACCATCATGCTCTGATCTCCATTCAAATTGTAGGCTTCATCATGCAGATTCGTCGAGTCTTGGATGTTTGATGAAGTCTTGACATTGGTTGTTTTCTCTCTTTCATCAACAATCGTCGAATTAGAAGGAACATAAGCATTGTTTTCGACACAATCCCAGTCATTCTTATCAACCATCATGCTCTGATCTCCATTCAAACTGTAGGTTTCATCATGTTGATTCTTCGATTCTTCAACGTTGGATGCAGTCTTGACATTGGGTGTTTTGTCACTTCCATCAACAACAGTCGAGTTAGAAGGAACATGAGCATTATTTTCGACACAATGAAAATCATTGTTGTGAATTATTGTTTCGTCACTTCCTTCAATGACCATCGAGTTATTAGGAGGAACATCACCATTATTTTCCATGAAATTTCCATTGAAATTGTAGGTTTCATCATCCATGACCATCGAGTCTTCGATGATGTTCTTGTAGAATTCCAACTCCGCTTCCAAATCTTGAATCTCTTTATCCTTCTCAGCAAGAAGATCATTAGCCTTTTCGAGTGCATCCATATCGTACTCTGCTTGCTCCTCCATCATTCTCAAGTACTGCAACGCCTCCATATGAAGTGCGGCCTTCTCCTCCTGCAGCCTCGTGATCATTGCCATCGCCTCGTTTGCAGCATCCGAAGCAGCATTTCTTTCTTCCTCCAGTTCCTTGTACAAAGCACTCATGCATCGCTTGTCATGCTCGATTTGTCTTCTCAATCTCTCAACTACACTTTCACCCTCGATTTCACTAATAGTACTGCTTCCGTCTATAGATTCATATCCGGATTCTTTTCTATCCAACGAGGTTGATTTTCGAGGGGAGGGAATTTCTTTCGAGTTAGAGGATTCAGTTCTGCCTAATTCTTCGTCATCAGTTTTCGTTCCATCAATCCCAATTGCAGATGATACATTTGGTGACAACTTTGCATCTTCTTGAACAACTATAGTGTCAAGAGGAGGAGGAGGTTGTTTCAAATGCACACTAGATACTTCAAAAGCGAGTTCTTTAGTAGAAGATTCAGTTCTACGTAATTCCTCACTATCAATGTGCATTCCATCAATCCCAATTGCAGATGATACTTCATGCGGCGACAACTTTGCATCTTCATGAACTCCTTTAGGTTCAAGAGGAGGTTGTTTTAGATGCACACTAGATACTTCAAAAGCGAGTTCTTTAATGCCGCCAACCGACTCACTCACATTACTTGTTTCCGTGCCATTTGCAATTGGCGGAGCATTGCTATGCAGAACATGAACAGTTTTTAAAACTTGATCACTTGTCGGACTTGTGCATTCCGTGAATTCTGCATTCCCGGAGATAGATGTATGTCCAATGTCATTGATTCCGTTAGCATCAACCAAATTCTCCGGTGAAGGAATTGTCACCACGTCCGAAGGAGGGATAACATCTAGTAAACTAAGCTCGGAGAGTGCAAAGCCACTCGACTCTCGGGAGAGAGTACCAAGAGGGGTATCTGCTGATATACCAACACCAACATGACCTTCCTCAACATTGGGTGACAGAGGGACATCATTTAGTGAAATAAGCTCCGGCATTGGATTATCCCAAATAAGCTCTCGCAAACTATTCCATGCCGAGTATTTGGCATCACGAGGCTCACTTCCATGAAGTTGCACACTCTGATCCAAAAGTGAAGGCTCGTGACCAGAAGAAGCTTGTTGAGTTTGTGGTGTTTTAGGCACATTTTTTGCACTGCGCCCAGCAACAAGATCTTTGTTGAACTCACTTTTTCGATCATCGTCAGAGAATTGAAAGTCGGAATCAGAATCAGAAGTAAATTTCAGCTCACTGTATCCCACGTGAGGAAGGGGGTTCCGAGGCTTTGACGGCTCAGCAAACTTATCCCTCATCTTCTTCATGCTGTCACGACGACTAAAACGACTACGTCCTGGCGTGCGAGGCAGAGGAGGTTTGACATTTGCTCTAGCTCCATATCCAATCGGAGCTATTTGAAGCAATCTATGAGCGTTTGATTTAGGCCTCCATGGCATGTTACAACAAGAACAATACCTAGTGTTTACAGAACCAGGAATAAAATTGTTGTTCAAAAATGGACTAGAAAAACCACCCCTCTCGAAATCAAGCCCCGATCTACCTATGAACAATGGGCTCGATTTGTTCTGCGTAAAGAATGACATGACACATTCTTCACACATGTCACGGACATCTGCAAGCTTGTCATGGACATTACAATATACCAAGGACGATATTTCCACTTTGTGATTGTTACAGAGTAAATTCTTGTAAAAATGCGGCTTTTCATTTTCGAAAAAATGATCGAGCCTCGAGCATAACAGACAATGTGTTTGCAAATCGCAATAACGCGCGAATTTTGTTAGCAAATATGATAATGTACCATCAACGAACAACAAAAAAATGAAGAACCATTCACATGCAGCGGAAGATAAGACATACATAAATCCTCGTGGACTCCTATGTGAATTGACATATGAAGTCCCCTTGGCAGCCATTTTCGTCTTAATGAAATCACATTAGGCCGCAGTTGTCACGGTCTCGTAATTTGCTCAAAGGGTTGAAGTACAAATTGACTCCTAACCCGATTTGATCAGTGAGTGCTTCAGATTGAAGGAGGAAGAGGAAGAAGAACAAATGGAGATCAAATGATGATCGAAAGGGTAAAAAAAAAATGTGGCTAAAAATGGATGGAAACGAGAATAAAAATAACAAATTAATCTGGCGTTGACGTTGAGTTTTTTGAAGTGGATTGTGTTATACGTGGCGAGCGGAGAGAGAGCGTGGATTGATGAGTACTCGCGCGAGTGGGGGAGGTTGTAGTCGTCCGTTTTTTTCTCAAAACGCGGGTGAAAAAGCAAACAGATGACTTGGTTTGTGTGTGCGTGAGTGTGTGTGTGTTTGTGTGTGTCTGTGGATGGTTGGTTTTTATTCCTCTTCGCCTTGTTTTTGTGGAGGGGAGAGAACGCTTCTCTCTCTCTCTCTCTAAACTGCCTCTTTTTTACTCTCTCTCTCTAAACTCCCTCTCATTCTTTCTCTCTCTAAACTCCCTCTCCTTCTCTCTCTGTCTATCTCTATTTGTTTCTCTCTCCGTATTTGGTTTGTGTGTGTCTCTCTCTCTATAGACATTTGATCGCCTGAAATCTGACGTGGGGACCAGCTCGGCGATGGGAATTCCGGTGGGGTTTGGCAGTGTCAGGGACTGGTGATGGAGGTTTCTCTGTCTAATGGAATTCGATGCGGAAATTCCGATTTCACGAGCAACAGTGACCCAGGAAACCTCCTTGTCTGGTTCCATGGATGAAGGTCCCTGCTCTCTCTCTCTCTCTCTCTCTATATATATATATATATAGCTCTCTGTTTGGCAATTACAATTATTCTTCAAATGTAGAAATGGGATTTAGTTTGATTGATGGTGGTTATCAAGTTTTGAATTTGTTGGCTTTTGGGTCTTTTTCCAACTGAATTTGGGTCCGATCAATGGTGAATTTGATCATACTGTGATGAATTGTTGTAATTCTGATCAAATTTGGTGAATTTACTTGGAATTGTATTCATTACCAATGATTTTAGCTAAATTATCAAGTTTTTATTTTTTTTACGTTAGAAAATTTTTTGGGCAAAATATTGGTTTTTCTTTTTTTGGGTTTATTTTTCATCTTTATGATAATGCGGAACTCCTGCTATAAGCTTCTTTTTTTTAATTCATGGAAAAGCTTTTCTTTCACATAATTTTTAAAATGAAATCAAATAAGGTGGCAAACACATTTATGAAATTACCACAACGGCAGCGGTTATTTTGCCCTGTCAAGGAGGCGAAATGATTGGGACATCATCCTCTTCAGATTTCATTTTACAAGCTTTCTATTGGTTTGATGTTTTTGTTTATTTATTTATTTTATCGGCTTTATTTTAGTTATGAATTAGGCCACAATTGTACATGATTTCAATATGTCTTGTTTTCTTTTATTTATATGCAAGAACCTATTGTTTTGTCAATATTTCTAACAGAATGCAGAATTCTCTGAAATTCTATTCCCTACAAACATTGAATTTTTTCTTTGAGGGGTTCTGCTTTCTATGGCTGATATCTTAATTGAAATGGCATAACAACATCATCTCAATGATATTAAAAACAAAAAACAAAAAACAAAAAACAAAAAACAAAAAAATCAAAACAGTAGTTAAATTTTGAACCATCATATTCAAATATGATAAATGTTTTAAACTGATTGCTCTTATCGATATTCAGATGCATTATGGCAAATGAGTTTGAGATCCAGCGAAACAATGGACTCCGGACCTTATCCCGTGCGTGAAGGAGAGCCGGACTGTTCTTATTACATCAGAACTGGCCTATGTAGATTTGGGGCAACATGCCGATTTAATCATCCTCCTAACAGGAAACTGGTAAAAGCTGTGGCTAGATTGGACACTTTTATGAATTCAGAGATTATTATCAAATGGGTGAAATAGTTTCTTCAGTAATCTCTGTATATCGTCAACTAGGTTCTTAGTTACACACACCTTGAAGCCTTGTTACTATGTTTCTACAATCTTCAAGGTAGTTGAGGTGTGGACGCATGAACCTGCGAACCATGATAAGCATAATTGAGTGTCATTTCATGAAGTCCTAATTGGTTTCTTATAGAATGATTAGAACATTTTCATTTTATAAATGATTATGATTTTTATAATATAACTAATAAAGCATTGTCTCGACTTTTATAGAATGATTTTCATAATATGATTTAATTCATTTTTTTTATACTTGTCTTTTCCATCTCTCTGTCTCTCATAAACCTTAGAGCTGCTTCTAAGATATTGACATCATTAAGAATATTAGCATTTTAGTTGTAGGTTTGGCTCTATTTGATAATAGAATAGTTTATTTTTTCACTAGCAGTTTTTATTATTATGCTTTTATGTAATTGTCCACAAATAGTTTGTGTCTCACACAAAAACTGGCACATAATTGCAAACTCCTTTGTGCATAAGTTCTACTTGCAGTTGGTGTTATCTGATGCTGACTCTAAGAGAAACATATTTCTCAGGCACAACTTCATGGACACACCCACTGACAAACTTCTGTGCTTTTATATATATATCCTGGCAAATAACTCAAACACCCACTTGCCCCTATGGGACTTGAATCCTCCCACTTTGAAAGGTGAGGAGATACCACTAGGCTACACCAAATGTTTGCAAAGATACATCTTCGGCTAGTATCTTTTTAATGCCAAATCTCATGTTTCTTCATAAATCCACCATTAAAGAAACTTTCTTCAAGATTCATCTTGATAGTTTATTGTAATTTTTGGAGTTATTTCTTCAATCTGATGCTATTAAATTCCAGGCTATTGCCACTGCAAGGATGAAGGGAGAGTACCCAGAAAGAATGGGACAACCTGAATGTCAGGCATGTATTTATCTTCCATTCTTCAATGTAAACGTTGCAATTGATTTTGTACATGCAGTCTCTGAAGTTACAAATGTACTGATTTTGGGGGGATTAGGTTACAATTGTAATGTTAACATGAAGTATATCACTTTTCTGTAATATCATGTAATGAATTTTCTAGTAGCCAAGTTATATGATATGTCAGGAGGTTTAATATACGTGAATTCTTGATGAATGATGACTGGTTTTCTCCTTCTTTTGGTTAGGAATGGGAGGGGGACAGTGGGATGCAACTAATAAGATATTTTGGCTAGCACTCATGCATTAAAAAAAAGTCTTATAAATCTACATTAGGGCAATGTTATTCTCAATTTTTGGGGATTAATGATATTAGACAATGTTATAAAATCTGCAGATTCTCTTTTACAACATTGAACTGTTAATAGATTTTAAGTTCCGATGTGTGCTCATGGTTATTTTGCAGAAGCCTTTTACTTTATTCTAAGAATAAGTTTAATATGGATAGTGGTTGGGCTCGACAATTGTTGTGCATGTGACATGTAACACGAACCCATAATACTACGAATCTATTGCCGATTGGTGTAAGTTTTATGCATTATGCTAAGAATTGGTCATTGTTACCCAAGTATTGAAAGCAAGGAAAACAATGAAGTTTTATCCGATTATTGTTTTTGTTCAAGATTAAGGATATACCAATTTAAATTCAACAATGCACAAGTATAAAGAGATAAGGGAAGAAGGATGCAAACACTAAGAACACGATCACTTAATGTGCTTCAGCCCCCTCACCTATGTCCACGCCTCAAGAGCACCTCTCGAGGATTCCCAAATCCACTATTTGCTTTCCTTCAGGGTTGGGAAGCAAACAGTATACAAATGAGCTTCACAAGCTCTTCTTTCTCTTGCTAACTGAACTCCTTCACCCAGGCTTCTAGGGTTTCACAAACCCTTTTACAATAATTGTAGAAATGAGGATTCGAGTACAATAAATGAGATCCCTTAATGGATAGATACACAAGTGTATAGCACACAATCCAGAGTAATAAATGAAGCAAGTGTTGAAAGCTCAAGATCAGAGGAGTAAATGCTCAAGAACAATGAATGATTCTCAATAGTATATTCAAGTGGTAATTGTCGATATTTAATGTTTAAGTGAGCATGTATTTATAACCCCTTTTCAATGATATGGTAATTGGGAATGAAATGCTAGCGTAGGTGGTGGTTGGATCTTTCAGATTTTAAATTTTATGAACTTCCAGACGTCTGGAAATGAATTTATAGATGGCTAAAAAATCAGACCCACTCTTCTGAAAGTCTTCTAGGCGTCTGGAGAGTGAGTATTAGATGTTCTGACTTGTTCTTGACTGAACCATAACCTTTTCTGGTTAGTTTTTCTAGGTGTATTGAAGTGCCTTCTAGGCATCTAAAAAACTATCTGAGAATTTGGCCAACTTTCTGGAACTCACTGCGAGACATCTGAAAGAAGTCTTCTAAGCATCTAGTCAATTATAAAGTTTGAACTCAGTTACTGGAGTGCTCTACTAGTCATCTTAAACTACCTTACTAAGCGTCTAGAACTTGTTATTCAAAATATGACTTATCTACTTGATTTTCATTCTAGATGACTACTTGACACCTTCTAGGCATCTAAAAGTCCTCGAATTAAGTATTTGTAATTTTTCCAAAACCAAAAGGGACATTCAACATTTTTATTGACAGTTATACCCTTGTGATGTGAAATTGAATTTTTAAGTGCAAGTCAATGATCCTAGAGACTTCTAAATGACATGATTCATTTTATTCATGGGTCCTAGAGTCTTTCCAGGTCAAGTCTTGAGCTTTTCATCAAATGCAACAAATATTGCTTTACAAGTAAATCTAGCTCTCGCCATTTGGCTACTTTACCCAATTTCTTCATCATTGACTTCAATGCCTTTTGATCTTTAAGTTGAAGCTTTATGGGTTTCCTCCTTGTCAATTGTCTTGACTAATTGAGCTTTGCCATGAACATTTTCATAAAATAAAGCCTGAATACTGAAAATCAAATAATATATTAAATTGACACGTTAATATTTGTTATCATCAAAATTACCCAATTGCCCTTTGGTTGAAACCTTGGGGTCAACAGTCATTGATTGTCATTTAGGAGTTATTTTTCTTCTTCATTTACTAGCAAAGATGAAGCACCTTTGTTCATTCTGAAATGTATTCTTGCTCAATTTGGTGGCTAACATTACCACATATTTCAGCATGAATAGAATGATAGTAAAAGTTAAAAAATAATTGCTTTCCCATTCTTGTAACTCTTCCCGTTTTGTAACAAATAATGTCATTTGGTTGCCTTTTATTGAGAAAATAATTGACATTAACAATGCCATCATTTTCCTTGCCAACAAGATTTAAATTATTCATTACCAGTTTCCTTGTCATATTGTGAGATGAGTTGTGTTTTAGGCAGTGGTACTGTGTACGAGGAAAAGAGAATTTGTTAATTAAAATTATGAGTAGAAAGCAATAAGGTAACTTTCCTCCTCACTATGTGAATTAGAATTAGTAGACATTTTACTCGCGTGGTTAATATGTAAAATTACTGGAGGCAAACTTTGTAAAATTGAGGAAAACAGGGTAGTGATAATAGATATGGTAGGTTTGGAGGATGTGTACATAATTAATTAAATTAAAGGCATAAAGGAGAAAAATAATAAATTAACAATCTATTAATTAGATACACCTTGCATGGTTTAAAGTTACATTTTAGATCAATTGGTTTAGGTCGGATCCTTCTTTGTCTTAAGATCAGAATATCTGTCACCCCATCTTTTATTCCTACAGTGAACTGTTCTTAGTAGCCTGAAAATTAAAACTGCTTGAAAATATATCCAGTTGCGTAATGTGATGTCCCAGTCTATTTTATCTTACCAGATCGCAAATATGACTGAAAATAATTCACAGTTTTTCATTTGTCCTATCAATTTTATTTATTTACATTATGTTGTGATCATCATTATAAATGAGTATGTTGAAGGATTTAAATATAAAGTTACAACATCTCTAATAGCTTAGGCTTTTAGAGTAGATGGTGTTTAACATGGTATCAGAGCAGGCAAGGTTTTGTGTTTAAACCTCAATATCAACCTGATAATTAAAATTTAAAGTTACACCCTCTCTAACAGCTTAAGCTTTTAGAGTAGTTGGTGGTTAACAGAGTAGTATGACCTAGTTCTTTGACGTGTTCCAGTTCCAGTAAATATGTTTGCGGTCTACAATAGAGAAGCTCACTTTTTTGTTACCAGATAAAAAAATGGTTATTAGAAACGAGTCTAGAGAAAATGTTTGTGACATGAAAATTGTTAAATGATTCATAACATGTTGTCCGGTATTTAGTTGTGAAGCTAGAACATCTGTTGAGAGAGAGGCAAACTGTACCTGCAGTAGCTTTTACAGATTTGCTCATTCTTATTGCACTGGAAACTGAATTCTCTGGCTGCGAAAAGTCTTCAAGCATTCCAGTGCATGATCTTGTATGAGCTCAACATGCCTCGACCTTGTTATGCATGCAGTGTGTTATGAGCCACTCACTAATTTAATGTTTAAATTTTCCACACTGATACATGTCTGGAACTACACATCAAATATAGAAATAGGTTTTAATAGAAGTAGAAAATCCATTTGGTTAGAACACATTGTTTTCTCCTTGATCTATTTTATGGTTGCTTGAAGTTCATGCTTTTACCTTACCTCAATTGCTATGCTGTCAATTTCTTCTCTATTTTAATAAACCCAAAACATACTCTATGCTGTCAATTGCCAAAAAGAGTTTGAGTTATTGTGACATAGGTTATTTGTGATCTTTAGGCTGATTTTAAACCATTTAAATTTGAACCATCCTAAAATTTTAAAGCAAACCAATCTATTTTTTAGTGGGTGTGGCGTGGAGGTGAGAACAGCAGTATCTTTATTTCAGCCGAGAACTGAGTGAAACTGAGAGGCCATTGCTTGGGGGTAGGATTGGGGTCGAGTCTAGAAACATACACTCTGTGCAAAATTGATACGCAGGCTTCAATTTCTTAAAACTTAATTGAATTGAAGAAGGATCACTAGAATTTATAGATTGCTGGATGTCTCCTACTTCCACCAGCTGTAGGATTCCAAAATAGGAATTCTTTGACTACTAAGATTACACTATATCTCTTAAAGACCACATAAGAGATCCAATATCATAACTTGACACAATATAAGACCTTATAGCCCATGTTTTGCAACACTGAAAATTACAACCAGTGTATTACGCTTAACAAAAATCTACACTTGACTCAACCAAAAACTTATTGCATGAGATCTAAAGTGAGTTCCATGTTAAAATGCAAATTTATTAGTGTTCTCTGGCCTTCATGTTGTCTTCTGTTTATTTTTTCCAAGAGTAAAATGGTTATGCTCTGGCCTTCCATTTAATTGTTGCACATTCATTTATCTCCCTGTTGGGTTTAATTCTGTGAAAGAAGGTTAAAATTGTCATTCATATTGCCCCTCATATTGAATGCAGAGGTTCTATTTTATCATTTTGTTTTATTTTTCATGTTCTGAGGTTATTTTGCTTTGAACTGTTTTCCAGTACTTCTTGAAGACAGGTACTTGCAAATTTGGAGCCACGTGCAAGTTTGATCATCCTAGAGACAAGGCTGGAATTGCTGGAAGAGTTTCTTTAAATATTTTAGGCTATCCACTTCGACCGGTTCGGATTTATAATATTCTCTCTCATTTCATTGAACTCACTTATATTTTTTGGTACAATTTTTTCGTGAATTTACTTGGAACATTATGATTATATTTCTGCATGTCATTTATGCATCTTTCTTGTTTCTTGCAAATGTGATATAATGATTGGATGCTAGACAGTACCGAATCACCATGTACATGCCAAAATGGTGAATTTTGTTTTAAAGTGGGATGGAAATGGAAAAGATATGCTAATGAATATATTTCGTATTTAATTCTTATATTTTTTTAGGAAACTTAAATATTTGATTAATTGAAATCTTCGAGATCCGCACTTCTGTATCATTTAATCATATATTTTATTCATAATTTCTCCATCATAACTTATTTGGAACATTACGATTATATTTCTGCATGTCATTTATGCATCTTTCTTGTTTCTTGCAAATGTGATATAATGATTGGATGCTAGACAGTACCGAATTACCATGTACATGCCAAAATGGTGATTTTTGTTTTAAAGTAGGATGGAAATGGCAAGGATGTGCTAATGAATGATTTCATATTTAATTCTTATATTATTCGAGGAAACTTAAATATTTGATTAACTCAAATCTTCAAGCTCTGCACTTTTGTATTATTTAATCATGTACGTTATTAATAATTTAGCCATCATGATAGAGAGGATGGCTCAATCAAAATTAGATTAATATATGACTCAGTTGACCACATTTACTGGATTAAAAGGCAGCGTAACATATACCAAATATTGCGATCTAATGTGAACTGGTAAAAGCAAAAGAAAATTTTCATTGGTATTTCATCTTTTTTTTTAGGTAAATCATTGGTATTTCATCTTTGTTTATGGAGAAATACACCTTTTTTTTCTTTCTTTTTTTGTATTTCAAGAAAATATAGCCGTGTTTAGACATATCCACGGTTCCACACCATTTCAGACCCACGGTGACCACATGTTTGGTATGTGTCTTGATTTACAATATTTTTATTAAGAGTCTAAACTTGGTGGGGCATGTTCCGGTAGTATCTAGGTGTCTTGTACTTGCATCATTTGATATATCTGACATCATCAAAGTTACTTTATGTTGGTGCCCATGCTTCTTAGGGTTAAATAGTATTTCATATTGATTTTTTCTCCTCCTTTACTTCCCTGCAGAATGAGAACGAGTGTGCATATTATTTGAGAACTGGGCAATGCAAGTTTGGAAGCACTTGTAAATTCCATCATCCTCAACCATCTAATATGATGGTCTCATTGCGTGGTTCTCCTATTTATCCTCCTGTCCATTCTTCAACATCTCCTGGTGAGCAATCGTATCCGGGAGGAATGGCAAACTGGTCCTTGTCGAGAGCTTCTTTTATTCCTAGCCCACGCTGGCAAGGCCCTTCAAGTTATGCGCCTTTGATTGTACCTCAGGGAATGGTATCAGTCCCAGGATGGAATGCATACAGTGTAAGCTTTTATTTACTCGTTGTTTCAGAAAATGCTATGATGTTCATTGAGCCTGCTTATCTAGATTGGCGGAGCAAGCTTCCTTTAAAAGATCATTGAGAATGGAAGAAAGTTGAACGAAGAAAGGCTTCTAATGGTTAAAAAAAAACCACGACTTTTATCATTTTCCTAAATAAAAAAGATGATGAAAAAAGGAAAGGCTTCTAATGGCTGCTTTTATTTCCAATGTGGGTCTTTTGGGGTAGAGGAAAAGAAAATGAAAAAGAACAGTGTTTTTTTTTTGTTGTGCTTGGGAGTATGTGTCATCGTGGTGTTCTCTTTATACATTCTTAACTTGCTGGTCTATCAAAATCATTTCAGCAATCATGCGAATTTCCCAAATTTGATAAGGTTTTATGCATCCTATAGAGCTATTTTTTAGAGTACTTGGATGTAGAATAAATGCTTGACCAACTTTGCCTTTGCTGACACTTGGACTTTCTGATAACTTGGCAAAAGACCATTTTGGCTTCGGTATCTTGGAATTCAACTTAGTTTTGGAACATATTAGGTGAATTTGGATTCTCATGAATTTATTATGTGAGAACTTTTTCTTTTTCTTTGATGCATGAGATTTGTGCGTAGGGGTTGGTGGGGTGGGCAGTGGGAGGTATTATAGGGCTTGCGGTGGTGGTGATGCAGTTCTGATAAGTTGTTGGTAGTGGTGTTGACCACTGGAGTGGGGGGTGGGAAAATTGGGCTGGGAGATGGTGATGATATCTATGATCCTGAGTCAGGTAAGTGTCTTGGCTGTGGCCGGTGTATATAAGTGTCAGACCTCCTCGAATTCCAAAACTTAGAATACAGAGATACGTGCCCAAAATTTGGATACGAGTATGTAGGCACGTACCACACATGTAAATACATTATGTTTTATTATAATGTGGGCTCCATTTGTTTGGATGTAAAATATTTTTTAGAAAATATTTTTTAATTTTCTGGTGTTTGGTTGTCGTAAAATATTTACGAAGAAAAAAATATTAAAATCCAACAAAAATAACTTACCCATAAATTTTCGGCTAGTTAGTTTACTCGCCCCGCCCGATGGACTCGACCTCGTCCTTGACCTAGACCTTTGCTAAACATCAAAAAATAAAAATTTTAAAAAAAAATTTCATGAAAAAAGAAAATCTTTTCCGAGGAAAATATTTTACATCGAAACAAACGGAGCCGTAATGTTTAATTTTGTTGTATAAGAATATACTTAATGATTCAGTCAAATGAAATGGGATGTGGTAAAAGAAAAAGGTTTACATTTATCTCATGGATAGGGAACCATCTCTACTATTAAATTTGAATTTTTCTTCTTATTCAATGTAAAGAATAGGGGTGTCCGATTTGGGTTCATGTGTCGGACACATTCTGTTACCCATGTTGTGTCGTGTCAACATTGGTACATGAGGGGAAACAGGAGAGCCCATATAACAGAAGTGGTATTGCTGGAAACCGTGTGATAGACTGTTAAGTCCATTATTGGTTTAAAGCCTTCAATTCATTAATTAGGGAATTTAGGTTTCTTTTTGTTTATTTGAAACCGAATTTGGGGATTGAATTTTTTATTTTTTTCGGTTAAGCATAAAATTTGATTTATTTTGGAATTCACTTCCTGCGTATCAATTCCTAGGTTGAAAATTTGGGATATTCTTCAATTATTATAATTTGGTCTTGATTTGAACTAGGAATGATTCTGGAAGTTCAGGAAATTGCACATCCAGAACTATGTTAGAATTTCCTTATCATAAATGAATTCTGACTTTGTCAGATTTTTAGTTGAGCTAGGTTACATACATTAGATACATAAACTAAGCTACCTAAATTGCTTGCAATATCATACTGATATAGCCATATAGGTGTTTATATAGTTCCAAATCTTAGGGTCAAGCAAGGGATAGAAAAGCAGCATTTGGATGATCTATCTTTATGGATTTATTTGTAATGGAAAAACAAATGCATAATGTGAAGAATTGGATCAAAGCCTTCAACCCACTAAATAGGGAATTTAGGTTTCTTTTTTGTTTATTTGGAAATGAGTTGGAGATTGAATCCTGTGGTCATTGTTTTCAAAGCTCTTAAATTGTTTTTAGAGAACTAAACCAATCAAGCCCATAAATTTTGAGTTCTAAAAACATAAAGTTTGAAGTAAAATAACCAATTTTTTTGAAAATCAGAATATTTGTTTGTTAACTTATAAAAGTTCTCGTTTAGCATGGAAAAGGAACTTAACTTTCTATGAAAAGTTTGATTATTATTTTTTAGTTACCAAATAGAATTTGCGTGTAAAAATGATTATAAATTAAAATAATAGAACCAGCTTTATATTTTTATAAACAGCAACACTTAAAACGAATCCAAACACCACCTTGTGTTTACAAAGAAGTGTTGTTATATAGCATTAATTTATCCACACACAATCTTTCATTTGCATCAATAAAAATAATATATCATTAAATATTGTAAAAAGTAAGGATCTGATTATCATTATACATAATCAGTTCTTGTTGCAGTACTTGATATTTTAATAATAAAGTATTTCCATGAAGTAAAATTATAGGTCCATGCTCTTTTAATCTACTAATCTAATCAAAGGGTGCAGTGGAGGTTTCTGTTAATAAAGCCTGTTTATATCTTTTTCTGTGTTAGCACCAGTTTGTTTTTTTATATCTTTGACATACAAATTTGTATCTTTTTTTCTCAATTATATAATGTATACATATAACTATTAATACATATTCAAGCATTACTTTTAAAATGAGTTGAGAGTAAACAGTTTCTATAAAGCTTCTCAGCATTGTAGAGTGTGGATGTGCTTACTGGGTGATTTCCTTTCCAGGGTCAGCTGGGTTCAGTTTCGTCTTCGGAGGGCCAGCAGCAAACAGTGGGAAACAGTCCGCTTTACGAGACTTCACCCCAAGGTGAAGCAGCAAATGCAGGATCTCAAGGGACATTTTCCCCGTACCGTTCTGGCTCTTTACCTATGGGGTACTACGCGTTGCAGAGGGAGAATGTATTTCCTGAGAGACCTGGCCAACCTGAATGCCAATTTTACATGAAGACTGGAGATTGCAAGTTCGGTGCAGTTTGTCGCTTCCATCACCCAAGAGAAAGACTGATTCCTGCTCCAGATTGTGTCTTGAGCCCACTTGGCCTTCCTTTACGTCCTGTGAGTCATTTTTAGTGTTAAGTTTGATCTCTGATAGTCTTTGTCCTTCTGCACTTAGTGTCAATTACTCTTTCAGATCAGTTTTCAAATCATATTTAGTTTGGGAACTTTGGGTCTTTTTACTTTCCTCAGCTATCTTCATGATATATATGGATTTTTATCCCTAATTGCTCTTACACTTTCTTTTCCTGAATTAAAAAGTTATTTCTCCATTATTTTAATATGATTTTCTGTTCTTTTTTGTGTTGCGTCTGTGGTGTGCATATCGATACGTGTTCTCATTCATTGTGAGCACGGTCATAATGTTGGATTGGAGACTATTTTATTGAAGCTAGCAAATATGTTTTTATATTCTTTTGCTTAGTCTCAATATATATATATATATATATATATATATATATATAATGTTGGATTGGAGACTATTTTATTGAAGCTAGCAAATATGTTTTTATATTCTTTTGATTAGTCTCAATATATATATATGTATGTATGTCTATATATTTACATATAATTTTAGACAATCACAAGCATGAATTATGGGTTGCTCTAGAAGAATGGGCCACTATAGACCATTTTTTTAATATCTCAAAGTCACAAAACTTTTGCAGCAAAGTAAGAGAGAGAAATAGCTCTTGTAGGATGGTAAGTAAAAGACAGATATTACTTTGATCACCATCAGAGCCTAGATTTTTAAAGGGCAAATCTGGGAGAAGCTGGATGATAGTTTATAAACTGATAAGATCTTCAAAATTATGTTGATGAAGATTGAAGACTTGTCACCACAGAGATAGGGAGCTGTCAGTTTTATAATAGAACCATTAAGGAAACTTGACTTTTTCTAGACACACTTTTTAGCTTACCGCACAGCATTAATGTCACCTTTAATATTCGTATGACACTCTTCACTTCCCCATACTACATTAGTAAGTAATATGGAATTATAATTGCTACTAAATAGAACAAAGAATAAAATTTGACTTCTGATAAAATATACTTTCCAAGGTACCATTTATTGCATCAATCCCTCCTCCGAAGAATCTCATCCTTGAGTTTAGTGCTGACCTGTAATTCTTTCTTTTGCCACTATGGTACTTATCTGAAACATAAATGTAGATTCATTGACCAAGTGTTGTGGAAAATAAATTCAATAGGCATTTTGACTCGATAAGGCTCAATCTTCCTTTTTCTGAGGTTGGAATAAGAGCTAGTCGGGAATCTCTCCTTGTGTAGGTAAACTGTTATCATGTCTCCTTCCTTCCGGCATGTCTTTTCTTGTCTGCATACTCCTTATACTTAGCACTTGCTTCTTAAATTTTTAAACTTGATCGTATCATGCAATTTCTTCATTCAATCATTGTCTTCTAATTGCTCTTACCAATCTGTAGTATAGCAACCAAATCATAAAAATATGTTGGGTTTGTTCCATTTACTCTTTAAAGGGACTTTTGCCCATAGTTCTGTTCTTGAAATAGTTATAAAAAAAATTTGTTTGCTTTATGATTAAAGAAATGTTGATGTGATGTACTGACGAAATGTAAACCAACATAGATACATCATAATTCTGGACACAACAAGGGGGAAATAAAGTCTAAGTTTATGACTTATGAGATAATGACAATGTAATGTACTGTTGAAAGAGTGTCAATGTGATTCAGACGTTTATTCTACACATCTTATAAAAACAAGCAGCATGCTCTTTTGATATGCTCCCTTGTGTCATGCTGCATTTTTGCATATGATAATAAATTTGCTTATTACATGTATTATGTACCCTTTTTATATAAAGCAGTCACTTTATGGAAATAATGCAAGACATTGTATATGTATCCAATCTGCCCCTCTCAGCACCAACATTGACAGACCATTGTTAGTATTAGTCTTTTTTTGTGTTTATTCTTCTTGTGTAATATCTTATATGTTTGATAAACTAATCTTGTTTTGTTAAAAAATAAGTAAATAAATAAATCCATTAAGGTGTCTTTTGTCATGAAAGCCAAATTCTTATGTAAGTAATCAAAAATGATTTAATTTGGTTAATGCATTACTCAGTGTATGTCTTGTTTATACAAGGTGTGGGTGCGGAAGATTAGAGACAAGCCTAACCTTTGAGAATATTTCAGACAAAATGGCTGCATTTAAACTTGAACCTGCGACTGATGCTTGTCAGTTCAATCTTTTTACAATAACACCAGGCAATTGAAAAATAGGCACTACCCTATAAACCATGGCAATAGCTCTCTCACGGTTATCTATTGGTCAGATGAACATGATAGGATTTTGAAGCCTAAAAGTGGGGTTCTGGGATCCATGCTTGAAAGCTTTATTGGCCGAATTGAAAATGTCTGGTTAGTCCCAGAGTCTCATATTTGGTATGCATTATTATTTGAAATTATAATTATTATTGTGGTTCCATTTGTTTCAATGGAAATACAAATGGAACAGAAATGTACCCTTGCTGCTGATTTGGCTTGTCATATAGTATAAGGTTACGAAGCTATATTGTTTTGAGATTATCATAACATGACCAGAATCTAGCTAACATGTTTGGCCTAGTTCGCAGAAATAGGCATCTTAAAGATAAGCAAGGAAACTAATCAAACCATCTTAAACAATTTTAGAGTTGTTATATAGAGTATGTTACCATTTGGCTCTACAATAATTCGAGGCTTTCTATTGCAACTTCTTGAATATGTCATCTAGGACACCAAAAAGAGCCTTATAGTTGAATGCTTATAAGTTTGGTGTGTGATGATAAGTTATTTTATTGAGTATGATTCATGCTACTAAAGGCAACATATTCAAGCTGCAGTATAAGTAGATGGACCCTGAAATTGGCTAACAAAGCCATACTACAATATTTCAAGCTAATAGAGGCTTGGTATATTTTATGTAGTGTTTTTTTTTTTTTTTTTGTTTTTTTTGACCAATATTTTATGTAGTTAAGAAACCCTATGTCTACGTGATTGTTGAAGCAAACTGATTTGTGATCTTTGCAATTTTTCAAACTACTACTTAATTATTTGTTCCAAGATAGGTTTTCAAATATTAGTATCTGCTCTCCTTCTTTGGAATAAAAATCAAAGCGATTTGTTGTTGCCATGACTATTATATGTATGACCTGCATTGTCTCGACTTATCAGTAGGTTTATTTGAAGATATTGAGTCAAAAAGTCCTCCATAAAGATGAATAAATAAAAATTTAAAAGGGAATAAGAAAAGATAAATAGAATGTGGAGTTGCCATGAATCTTGTGTGTGAGTTTGTTTAAACCAACCTTTTGCCAATTCAAAAAATTGGTGTGAATGGATCGACGTAGCCCATGGAACTGCAAGAGTCAAATTCCTAGAAAAAAGATACAAAAAAAATATGAAAAGAAGATGACTTAGTAGGAATGTATGAATATGCAGAAGAAAGGTGAAGGTGGATTATTATTATTTTTTCTTGGGTTGTAGTTGATGCATTAAACATGAATGTGCTATTTAATTGCTACCTAAATGCATTAGCCCTGCAACATTGATTAGTTACCTATATACTTTTTTACTTGATGAAAAGTTGACCTAGTTAGTTTTCTTTTCTTTTTTTTGACAGGGAGAACCCTTATGCATTTTCTATTCTCGTTATGGTATCTGCAAATTTGGTCCAAGTTGCAAATTTGACCACCCTATGGGAGTTTTTGCATATAATCTCTCTCCATCATCTTCAGCTGATACACCGGTTGTTCGCCGATTGTTGGGGTCGTCCTCAGGAACTGGTGCATTAACTTTGTCTTCCGAAGGCCTTGTTGAAGCAGGCTCAGCAAAGCCCAGGCGACTTTCACTGTCAGAGTCAAGGCAGATGCCTCCTGCTGGTGATGATATCAACACAGAGGGATGACTTCTCTCTCAAAAAATGTGCCATTAATCATCTATAAATTCATTTCCCATTGCTGGAGATGTACAGAATTCGTGTCTTCTGAAAATGCATTCAGTAGACGTGCTCGACTCCTCTGAACTTCACTTTGCTGCATTGTATAAATCTGCAAAAATTGTTGCATTTGGTAAAATCCAATGCAAACATTTCATCTGTTATGAAAGCCCATCTTTCTGTTTTACATGAAATGAGTTTTTTTTCCAGTATGTTATGTGAAGCATTTATTTTACCAGTGTTAATGGCTTCAGTATGGCTTTCCAGTGATTTTTGGCTGTCACCCTAGCTTATGATCCAAACCTGTCCCTTTGCATCTATTTATTATGGTTGAACTTGTTCCGCCTGCCTTGCAAGTATGTGTACTATTATTACTAAATAGAGCATTATCCAGTGTATGTCCCACCTAATCAGAGCGTTAGGGGGGGAATATGAGAGGGACACCTAACCTTTGAAATTATTCGCTCTCTCAGACTTGAACTCATATCCTCATGTTTGTAAGCCCAAGCTACCATTGCACCAAGCAATGGCCCCATTGTGTACCACAGCTGCTGCTATTAATTATTAAGCACTAGAACTACCACAGCTGCTGCTGTTAATAATTACAATAATAGTACTAGTACTATCTATTTTATCCTGACTTCTGTAGGCACTTGTCAATCTGCAATTGTTCCCTACCCCTTCACCCACTCCCATCCCCTATCTTTTCAGTACATAAGTTTCTCATTGAAGAACGCCATGTGGGCCAACTTGTGGTGAACCATAGTTATTGAAGACTGAAGATGAAGCAAAAAGTATATGAATCTTCTTCACTTTGGGTGAGTTTCTTTAAGCCTTTACAAAACCTCAAAGCTGATTTTTGCATTTTCTTGATAGGTAGCGCTCTCAATGCAATTTGCAAGTTGGTTGCTGTAGTCAAATCTGGATATGTATGTAATGCAAATTGAAAGATTTCAATACTGTCCTTTCCTGGAGGCCTTGTGAAATAGCAGACTTTCGTTGACTGTCTCACCCCTGCATCAAACCAGTCTTCTGCAAGAGTATATCCTTGAAGAAATTGGGCCAAGTATCTTCATAATGCAATAAATAAGGTATTTTCCTCTCATTCTATCAAATAAGAACTGAACCTGATTGACACTTTGTTGGAATTATAATTTGTAAGTGAACCCAATTGGAAAAAGGATTACGACTTAGGATATTGCTAGCAGGTTGTTATTTGAAGCCTGCCCGATTAATAAATAGTCATTATAAAGTATCTGTATCTGTGGGGCTGCTGAACACCTGAGTATCACTTGTGAAGCAGCAACCATTAATTTACGATCTTGAGGTATAGAATATTGAGTTTCATTCACTGGAATTGATTTTTTATCAAGTTACTCCTACCCACACTTTTTTCAGTAGCAACCCCCCACCCCAGCCAAGATAAAGAAAAGAAAAGAAAAAAAAAAAATCCCCACTACCTAAAAGAAAATCATCTTGTGCTCTTTTTTCTTTCCTTTAAAACTTATTCATGACAAAATGTATTTTTGTTGCAATTCAGCTTCTCTCATGTAAATTGTTGCCCAGGGCCTCTCATTTTTCTTTGACTTTTTCTACGAGCTAGCTATTCAATAATTACTAATGGATGTTCTTATAAAACAGTGCATTCTCTTTTTCCGTTGTGCACATGTGCTGGTAGCTTTAAGGATTATGATTGTGCACCATCATTAGCAAATGCATGACATATTGAACTATATGAAATGCTACCATAATGTATACTGTGAAATTTTTTAACACCTTTTTAAAACATTTGAGATATTGTTTGTACCATACCTTAGAGAAACTTTTATGCTTAGTTTAGTACAAAGGATGGAGAATTAGATGGAAGGGAAGGTAGGTGGGATGAAAGATGAAAACCTGGGAAAGGAATGACTATTTCCTTCATGTTGTTTGGTTGAATAGGAAGGAAATGAGGGGTTATGAAGTAATATGACTGATTTTTTATTTTCAAAAATATGAAGGAAAAAAATTCAAATATTGTGGGCAAAATTGTTAATGGCAGGGAAGACAGCTTTCCTTTCCTTTCCTTTTCTGCTCCGTATTGGACAAATTTGTATGTAGGACGGAGAGCTTCTTCCTCCATTTCTTTCCCTCTCCCTTTCTTCCTACCAAACAAGGAGAGGTCCTCCCTTCTCCCCTCCCCACCACCAACCTTTTCCTTGCCTCCATTCTTCCCTACAAAATGCATTGTTAAATGTTTTTAAGGGTAAGGACAGAGGATGACTTATCAAAAAAAAAAAAAAAAAATGGTAAGGACAGAGGATAAGGCAATTGTTCCTTCCTATGGCCATGCATGTCAGGATTTGAGGCCAAAACCGTAAATAAAATGCACAATTTCTATCACAATATTTCACTTCTAGAATACCCGTACTCTTCCCCATGCTTCAATTGTTCCTATTTTAAATTAGAAACATCCAGATTTATATGAATCCCAACAACTTTGTGTTTATGACCCTAACCCTTGAAGACAATTAGCTAGCATTCTACCCATGAAAAAAAATTTAAAAATTATTATCAAAAAATAATAATATGTAGAGAGACTGTGAGGGAGTAAACTTATTATAACAAGAGATTTAAAACCAAGGGGGAAAACGCAGGCACAAATAATTATAATATTAACTTCAAGGACTTGACTAAGAATTTCTTACTCATGTTTTTATTATTTACTAATCTATTCATTGAAGCAATCCATAAATTAAATTTGTTTTGTAATTTGGACTTGTGTAGTTTCTCGTATATGGTTTGAATAATTTTTTCAACCATCTTATAATCATATCTTACAGTTTGTGAATAGTCATAGGGCCTGTAAAAATATCTTGGGGCTTTGTTTTACTAATAACTTAGGTTTTCACATTATGTAGAATTGTCTAGTTTGGGAAATTTATGCCTATGACATTATGTAGAATTGTCTAGTTTGGGAAATTTATGCCTATGACTATTGTTCTTACTCTTGGTATATAAGCAGTTTAGATTTTGACCAAATTAATATGTTTGTTCCACTGTTCTCGTAACATGTGATTCTAATTCAAAAGGCACGAGGCATTTAAATTTAATCTTAGGTAATATTTTGACCATATTGTTTAGTTTTAATTGAAACATTTTCAAATAAAAATCATATTTTATTAATTAAATGACTCGCAGTTGGTTATGCAGCACTACAAAAACTAAAGTTCAATGAAAGCAACTGAACTAGTATCCAAGAAAAAAAGAAATCTTTTAACCTTCTTATGCAATTCAACCTTGTATACAACAGTGGATAGCAATTTTTTGTTCAATAAAAAGGAAATGATACAAAACTAGTTTGGTGGTTGCTATTTCTTCTCTCTTTATTTTTGTTCTCATCATTTTTTATGAGTGAAGTTGGATAACTTCTTGTTTTATAAAGCCTTTCCCCCTCGCATGAAATTTCTATTTACCATTGTCTAAGGATGCTGCACATGATTATTCTGCATAATTGAGAAGTTTACATTAGAAAATTTTGTTCCTAGTCCCTATATATCAATTTCGAAATGCAAAAGTTTTGTTAAAGTATACTTTTGCAATACTGTTCTGAATTCCGAGTCCGAGAGCCCTCTTCTGATGATTCAAGGAAAAGGTCAGCAACTTCCGCAAAATTTTGACGTAGCTAAAGGGACACTGCACTTGGCCCTGAGTTATTTTGGGCAATCCGACCTTACTTGTTTGAGTTTTGTATTGGGTTATTATATGCCTCTTTTGTACATGGATCTGATTATGTGTAAGAGTCAAATTTAAGGGTTTGAGGGAGTTAGAACTCATAAAGAGGTTTGTGGTCCATTAGATTGGACAATTACTATCTTGTCTTCATTCCAAAATGAATTTTTTGTCTGAACCATCATTGTTTGCTTTATTAAAAGTTGATAAACGCATCTTTTCTCTGCTATTCCTAATGTTAATTTTGGTACAGAACTCTCAGGTTGCTTCAGTTATGGTTTCGGGATGTTGATGGCAAAATTCGAAGTTTAAATATTTGATGGACCGAATAGTTCCAGTCCTTTGGCCTCTGGCATGTTATAATGTGAGCTCTGATGGTTTAACAAGGTTTACACAAAGCCTAACAGGTAAGGACAAGCTTCTCATGCTGATGTCAAACGAAGACGAACAGGAACTCAATGCTAAGGCTTTCAGTTCAAACTAATTGTGCTTGGTTGCTGAGATTTTAAAGGGAGGTTGCTGAAGAAATTGCAGCTGCAATGTTATGGTTAAAATTAGACTGCACATCCATTAAACACCATCTGAATGAGTTTTTTGAGATGATTATGGATGTGAAATATTGACATTAAAACTGTTTGTGAAGTTCAAGCTCTAATTATTTTCTGGGAAAAAAAATAAAAAAAAAGGGAAAGAAAGAAATAGAATAAGCCATAATTTGTTATGTTCCTTGTCTTTCTAAAATGTATTTCAAATTAGCTAGAATAAGGTAAAATGCTTGAATTTTAAGGCACATTTGGTTAATATTTAGGTTAAGGTTTGTAGCCCTCGGATTGCACAATGGGACCATACATGATTTTCCCATGCTCAGTCTGAGGGTATTGAGAGGCTTCGCCGTTGTTTGGTTTAGTTTTTACATCATTTTGGAAGATTACGGAGTCATTTAGAGTTGGTAAATAGTTATGATATTTGGATAGAGTTCTAGATATTAGATCTTAACCATTGATTATGTGTATTGTAACCCATCCATTTAGGAGAATGTTGTCTATATAAGGTGGGAGTCACATTTGTAACATCAAGTTCCAAAAATGAGTAAGAGTGATGCTGTAAAATTTCATACAGTAACTAAGCGTGAGTACACTCTGAAGAGTGGTATACGCTCAAAAAGAATTACCAACTAATAAAGGGGAAGACTAGAAATTTGTCCAAATTTGTAAAGTACAACCAACAACGGGATATCGGACAAAAAAACTGGGTTATTCGAACATCAACTATGTTATTTCTCCTATACAAACCAATTAACCAACGTTTGATAGTATTAGATGGTTTAAAGAATACCTTTTTATTTATGAAGTAATAATAAACTACCTTTATTCGCCTTTATTCAAAGTTCTAGGGCGATTTAGCTCTTATTAAAAATCTACAAAAGTTACATAATTTTTGCTTTTTTTCCTTTTTGATTAAGTCATATTTGCTTTGGTTGCATATCACATTGTTTAGTACTAGCCCTTGAACATCCGACCACACAAGTTAAGTACTCTATTAAAAATCGACAAAAATTCACATAATGTTTTTGGCACACAAAAGGAAAATCTGATACACCAATTCAATTTGGAAGGGAGAAAAAGGAAATAAGGACATCTATCATGAATTCAATAATGTTGACACTGGATTGTGTCAGTAGAAGGAATCAGAAATTGATAAGGACATAAAACTATTGTAAAACCATTACCACAAAATTGAATGAAGTGCCATTTTAGCTTGAGAAATGAACGAGTAAGACATCTATGCATAATTTGATATAATGTTTGTAACAGGTTTTGGTTTTATGTAGAGTCAATCACATTTTTGTGTTTGATGACAAGGGTAACTTAGAGAAACTTAGCTAAAAATGCAATTTTTATTAAATATTTTAAAAAGAAAAAAGATAATAGTCTTTGAACCACGTTAAATGTTGCGTTTTAATTCCATACTTGTTTGTATATAATCCATATCATTTTGAAAGTATACTCTGGTGACCAAATTTTCATAATTTGCCACAAACAACCATAAGCATTCATGAATTTTGAAAGTATACTCTGGTGACCAAATCTTCTTTTGTGGAGACAAAAATTAGTTGGTTGTTGCGGCAATGCTGATAACATTATTTAGATACTTAAGGATTGCACAACATTTGGTACCGAAACCTTTTTTCCATTTTTTATTTTTTATTTTTATTAATATCAAGCCTTGATAATAAAGTAACATTCATGAATTTTAAGACACACTCAATTAATATTGAGGTTAAGGTTTGTGCTATTCACAACATAATTAAAATTTTGTTCTCCCCAAAAACTATTCACAACATAATTAAGCTAAGTTTTGTAGTTTTCGATATTCAGCTTTGATAGAGAGTAGGAACGGAGAAGTTTTTTAAATGATTTTAAATCATTTGTCATTTGGTGATCCAATTCAACTAAAATTTTGACGTATATCATTATATTTAAAAAAGTCTTCCACACTTAATGCATAGAATATTGGAGAGTTTATAGAGATGTATTAGGTGACTTTAGAAGATTAAGGAGTTAAATAGAGTTTATAAATATCTAAGTTGTCCGGGTGGAGAGTTTTAGAAATTAAATCTTAGTCATAAGATGTAATGCATCATAACTCCTGGGTGAGGAGGAGGATGCCTATACATGGGGTGGGAGTTCTATTTGTAACATTTTCACCAAAAGTGAGTGTGAGAAACATCTACAATGCTGATAAAGTTGACCGTGTTTAATGCTAGATTCATATTGACACAAATTTGGTAGGAGTTTATTGGATTGGTTTGCACACTTTGTGAGAGATTGGTGGTTTAGAACCAGTTGGGTTGTGTGATAGGCTTATATTTGAATAATTTGGTAGACTGGATTGAGTTTTAATGGTGTAAGAAATAATGATGGGAGTTTATTGGATTGTTTAGGAAAAAGTTAACAGTTAACCCTACTACTTTCACTAAATTTATTGTTCTAAATTAAATTTATCAGTAAATTTCTCACAAGTAATAAACCTGTTAAAGTTTAGTAATCTATCAAAAATAAATAAATAAATTCACATTTGTTAAACCGAAAGACCATCTATTTCTTGTGACATCTGGTACGCCTCCATTAATTAACATCACATTCTATAATAGCTGTTGGACATGCGATCCATAAGCTCTTTAAAAAGGACAAAAATCACATAATTTTGGTACACAAATGCCAATCTGATAAGACTCAATTTTGTTGTTCAAGAGTCATCCTACTACACAAAAGAAGAGCGAATCCTAACCATGAAGAAATTAAAAAAACAACATGAAAAACAAAGATAAATTATAGGTGTTAAACAAAGCAAAGGATCTTTTTTATACAAATTTTAGAAATGGTCAAAACCACCCTTCTCAAAAAAAAAAAAAAAAAAAGTGTGAAAAGTAGGCCAACCAGTGAAAAATTATTGTCATACAGATAGTAACAGCACAGTCAATATGCTCTGCCCAGCATTGATAAAGGAAGATTGTATCAATTGAAGGAAGTATAAATGGATAGAGCACATAAACACATGGTGAAAAAGTACCATAAAATTGAATGAAGTGCCATTTTAATTAGAGAAATGCACCAGTAGACATCTTCTGCACATTATGAGAGATATAAGAGACGATGATTACAAAAACACAACACAGAAACAAGTATGTTTGAAACGTTCACCACGAACACCTAACAGTGAACAGAATCGGATACTCATTGCCTTATTTCAAACTTTCCCACTGCAAAGGAGGAGAGGGAAGGAGGGGCCTCTTCGTTTCTGCATCTGAAAAATAGGCCAACAAAATAAATCTCCACAAGCTTTCCTCAACTGATACATATTTATTTGTGCTTAAGCATCACATTCTTATTACTACTTCGGAATATTCATATCAACTTCAAAAAATCAAGAAGGTATTCTTGTATGAAGTCAGTTGACAAAGAGCCATTAGTGACTGTTAATCACATAATCCGCACAAAAGGGTGGCCGCTCCCAAGCTCCGCGCGCAAATCTTTGCTCTGAAAGCGGATTGGTTCAAAAATTTTAGATTCAATATGATCGTTCACGGATTAAGTTTGTACTTTTCGAGGTTCAACTTTGATAGTGAGTTAGGGCGTTCCATGGAGAAAATCTTTAGATGTTCTTGAACCATTTGTCACTCGGTAGTCAAGTCCAATCAAAATTAATGTTCAACTTTTTGTAATATATTTTTATACTTTTGTGGCTCCACTCTTCTTAATGAGAGTCTAGATTGAACTACACCATCAACTGTCAATGGTAACGGACCTTCTAATAATTTCTCACATGACATGAGCAAATCATTATAGCAGTGATGTGAGTGTGTGAATTTCTTGCCATTGATTTTTTTTTTAAAACAAAAAATGAAGTGTGTAAAATCATTGAGACCATTTTGGTCATCACAAGAATAATGATTACTTAGGGTATTTCCAAAAGTGAACTATTGTTACCTCCGCCAATTTGATGGAAGGTTGTGCCATGCAGGCAACACACACGTAGGTTGAAGATGACAATGCATGGCCTATGTAAAGAGTTGGGTTCAAAGAGTCTTCCATGCTTAATGTTGAGAATTGTGGAGTCTTGAGAGAGTTGGAGTATTTTAGAATATGGTAGAGTTTGTTGAGTGATTCTAGAAGATTAAAGAGTTTCATAAATAACTAGGATGTTTGGGTGGAGGGTTCTACGGATTAGATGTTAGTCACTCATTATGGAGGAGGATGCCTGCATATAGGGTAAGAGCTTCATTTATAACATCAAGTTTTACTGGAGTGAGAAGCACCAAAGTGGACGATTGAAGGGGTTGACTCTGATGCTATTCAGTGCAAGTGAGGGCATGATTAGTGGAAGTGAGGACATGATTTCATATCTTACTTGGGAGTTTATTGGATTGTTTAGTGCTACATTTCTAGAAGATACTAACCACTTGTCTTAGTATAATTAAATATATTGTTATTAGTATAATTAATTATGTTGTTATGGCGTTTTTGTAATAAACATATTAAGTTTAGCCAAAATTATTTACATGAAAGAATGATTTGGCCACAACATTATAGGGCTCTTCATTAAAAATGGACAAAAATTACATGATTTTGCTACGCAAATCAGATAGACCCAATTTGTTGTTTAAACCTTGTCAAGTGATCCTACTTAAACCCACTACACAAAAAGATGTGAATCCCGACCATAATAAATGAATTGCAAAGACAATAGTGTTAGCAACAAAGCAAAGGATCTTTTTCATTCAAATTTTAGAAATGGTCCATACCATCATTCTCTAATTTCACGAACTGAAAAGAAGGCCAACCAGTGAAAAAATTATTGTCATACAGAAAGTAACAGCACAGTGAAGATCTTGATAAAGGAATATCTCTGCGAATCTCTACCTCGCTTACTAGTAAGGCCACCACTCAGGTCCACCAGGCTTCTTTACAAGGATCTGATTGTATTCCGGTCTTGATGTCTGAAATCAATTCACATTCACAAGAAAATAACAAATTTTTAAATTAAAAAAGAAAAAAAAAAAAAAAATGAAGGGAAAAAAAGAAAATAAGGACATCTATCATAAATTCAGTAATGACGACACCAGATTGTATCAGCAGAAGGAAGTTCAAATGGACCATAAACATATGGTAAAGGCAGGACCATAAATTTGAATGAAGAGCCTTTTTTACTCAAAGAAATGCGTAAGGAGGCATCTGTGCATTGTGAGAGGTATAAGAGAGGATGATCACAAACAGGCAACACGGAAACACTTAACTTTGAAACTTTTACCACAAACACCTGTCAGCATCCGACAAACAGGCCAACAAAATAATTCTCCACATGCTTTCTTCAACTGAACACCTTTTATTTGTGTTTCAGCATCACATTGTTAATCTACTTTGAAATATCCATAACCCATATCAACTTCAATTCGAAATGAGGACCATAGGGACAAAAATTCAAGAAGGTATTCTTATATGAAGTCAGTTGACAAAAAGCTGTCAGTGACACTGTTAGTCACATAATCCGACAGGAGGGTGGCTGTCCCAAGCTCCGCGCACAAATCATCGCATGAATTCAGTTTGCATAGTTCGCGGATTTATTTTCCAACTCCACACCTTCCACATGTTTTTGGGGTAATGCACACACAGGGGATGGGGGCAAAAATGTGGCCAAAAAATATGACTTTATAGGGGTCATCTAACCAGCCATCTATTGATGGAAGTGCAAGTCACCAACCATTGAGGCAAACTTTTTTTGTGATAAGACTTAAAAAAAAAAAAAATCCCTATTCAACTTATAAATTTAACTAATTAAACCACACTAATAATAAATCCGTGTGCACATGTATCTGATAGCTACTTTGTGGTTGAAAAAAAATAAACTATGAGAAGTATTAACTAATAAATTAATATTATTGTGTATAATGTAAAATTATAATTACATCCATACACAATGTATAAAAATTTAAAATTATATGTACATCCATAGACTATAAATATTTTATAATAGATCCCGCTCTCAGAAAATTTCAGACTTCTACGCTCTCGCTTAGTGTGATTTTGATTCTGACACAAATGTGATTGAGATTTCCTAGTCAAAGATAGAGCTGCAAAAGACCAAAGTCGTTCTAGCATATTGCTAACTTGCTGACTTGGCACATAAGATTGAGCTACAAGAGGCATTGATTGCAGGCACTTTTGTTTACCAGGATCATTTTATCTAAGAGTACCTGTCAGTCAACTCTTCAAGATATAGTTCCTCAAAGCAGTCACAGAACACCTGTGATACAGACTGTTCAGTGTCATCCAAGAAGCGTGTATATAAGTGATAATTCTTTCCCAGGTTCAGTTAAAAATAAGGATGGAAAATCCTTTCTACTTTAATCAAGCTGCAGGGTAACTGGACCAGCATCTTAATTGGGATCTCAAGTCATCTTTTTTTCTTTTTCTTTTTTCCTAGTTGGTACTCACAAACCCAAAATAGGGATTTTTTTTTTTGGTTCCACTGCCAGGATCTCGAGTCATCTTTCTTTGACAACATCCAACACTCCGAGGACTTTAATAAAAGGATGACTCTAAATTTTGTCCTTGCAATTCAGTGACTTCAGTCTGTTATAGCAATCGGAAAGAAATTCAGCTCCAAGAATGGTTGCAATGGCACCATTTAGGCTTGAAAATTCATCAGCATAATTATCCTATAATGCGTCAACTATTTAAGAAATGGCCATTTATAGCAGTCCCAGAAAACCTGTGATACATACTGCTCAATGTCATCCAAGAAAAGAGTATATACTTCATTCCAGCCAATTCCTTCTAACTCATCCTCATCCACCTCACTGAGCAACTCATCATTCAACAAAATCCCCTAGTGGTCCAACACTGAATTCTCTCAAGGACAAATTTTCTTCCAGAAATCCATGCTACCTTATCCTATTTCCACATTTTTTACATTCATCTTCACATTTTTTTACCAGATATAATAACTCAGGATCCAAGAGTTTGGTTCTTAGATTTAACTAAAGTTTATTACACTTCAAATTCTGTTTATATCATGTTTCTAGTCTTATGTTTACACAGCCGGTCCCAAGCCCAAAAAAAGGAGGAGGTTTGAGTTATGTAACTTGACAACCAACGTAAAACTTTTGTCCGGACTAATCCAAAAACTGGTAAAAAAAAAAGCTGAGTTGAGTTGAGTTTGGTAATAATATAACTTGGTATGGCAAATTTAGAACCAAAACCTTACTGGAATTGTAATTTTTCTTTTTTGTCTCTTTATTAAGAGCTTCAAGTTCAAGGATCATATCACCAAGGAATTGAATCTTCATCAACAAGAACACGGACTCTAGGATCAGGTAAATAGAGTGGTGTGAGTACACTTGATGTTTAAAGCTTATATTTTAAGTGCTTTAAATTGAAAAATGGACAATGTATGCTTGTGCCGCTCCATGAGGCCACTGGTTTTGTTGATTTGAAACAATGAGCTCTTGCAGCACCAGTGGAACTTTGTGCATTCACCAATCTAATTTACTTCTGATTTCTGTTTAAACATGTTTTCAAATCCAGAGAGCAATTGCACTGATCCAAACTTTGACGTGCACCGATCAAACCTAGTCAAAAGAGAAGTTGCACTAGTCTAACGTGTCACTTGCACCGACTTTAATTCTTATCCAAACTCGTTCTAACTTCTACTTGATCTCTAAGAACCATTTTATAATGTTTGTAGGAGACTTTTTCTGTATAATCAACAAATAGTATTGCATTTAAGCAGCGTTTATAGTAATCCCATGTACCAGACAACAGGAACTCACAGAAATCTATCATAGCAGCCAAATACACCAAAATTTTGGACAGATGCAGGCTGTACAAGAGCAAATGATATACATATATATATATATATATATATATATATGTAAGAAACCTATTACTTGTCTATTAATCTAAACAGCAAAGTTCCAACAACCTCCGGTATAAAGTGTAATCCTTTAGAATTTGTCAGGCGAACATTGCATTTTATTTTATTAGCGATTTTGTAGCTTACTTATATATATATATTCCCTTTCCATTTCCTATTAATGATTGACAAATACAAACGCACAATGATACCAATATCTAACTCCATGCTCCCCAGTCCTAGAAGGGGTTCTAATCAAAAGGGCCATATATTTTAGATATAATTAAATGAAAATAAATTAATAAGTAAAAACAATTATATTTATGCCTCTTATCAAGAAACTTTTTGCAATTTCTTTAACATCTCAATCTAGAAATGCATTCAAAAGTCAGAACTGGACAGTTTATTCCCTTGAGATTTTACAGCCCCAAAGATTTCTTATTCATGGAAATTTTCTTAAACTATAAATTTGTCTACTTCAAGTTAAGGCAAATATCACTTACTCATAGAAATTGGTCGACAAATATATAGATACTATCAAAGCTATGAAATTTATGGTAAAAGACGCGTAGGGATGTAAGTATTGTAAATCATTCATTCTAGTTCCATTCAAATTCTCGATTCATAATATTCTTTTCGAATTCTAACAACTAGACAAATTAATTCGGATATGTAATAAATTGATACTCTGTTTGGTTGCAGAGAAAGCTAAAGAAAAGAAAGGAAAAAAACTGACCAGATCTTTGAAGATGAGAAACGCGATGAGGAAGAAGAGGACGAAGAGGATCTCGAACTCGGCGAATCGGACGAAGGTGAAAACTGAGCTCACCCATCGAGTCAGCAACGATTCGTTCCGCTTTCGACCCAAATCGACTCGCTGTGGCATCGTTGCCTTGAGAATTGAGGATACAATCACAAAGTGGAAAAAAATTATCAACAATGATAGGCGCCCGCCAACCTCCCAACGACACAAAATTGTACTCGTATGTGTATGCGCGTGTATTCCCACTAATTCCAAAATAAAATTGTAGAATTTGAATTAAAGCTATATATTTGTCAACGAGTCAGCGCGATTAACTCACTGATTCCCATTTGGTTAGCCGTCACGCCCCCAAATATCATAGCTTGGTGCATGAATGGGTAAATTTAAATCCGACACCATATTTAGTCCCAAATGCCGAAGTTAAAACTCAAATTAGCCATGGTTGATATATCAAATGAAGTCCGTAATATCAAATATTTATAAACATCTTAGGTTCTTGCCACGATCCAAATTCATAGGATCCGAATAATGGATGGGTGAAGACTCAAGTTTGAGTCCGTACTTGAGTTCGAGGACATATTTGGGGTAGAAGAGTCATTTCATGATTTCAAAATGAAATTTGTGTTGATGCTCTCAAACACATTATAGCTGTGGCTAATAACACAAATATATTGAGGTGCTCCAACATGTCATGACACTGATGCAAAGGAAAATACTTTTATTTGTCGGATAAGTTTGGGATGGGATGCTCTTTCTCGACCTATTGATATCCGTAATTCTAAGTGTTGGATTACGAAGGGTGTGAACAATAATTCAAATATAATAGTAATTGTTTATTCAAATAATATAAAAAAATAAACTCATATACATTTATTTTCTTTCAGGATTCCAATTAACCAAAACCAAAGTTATCATTTGTTTTGTTCACAAGACAAACAATGAAATTTGGAATTGCAAATTCGCTATAATATCCATATATGAAGAAGAAGAAATTCAAATGACACTGACAAAAAAAATAACGAATTCCATCTGTCTCAAAAGAAATGTTTAATTTAATAATTATAATAATTAAGTTCAAATTTCAAAACTAATCTATAAAAGTGAAAATTGCATTAATTTATGAAAGATATTTTAAATATAACTATTGTTTAAAATTCCAACAGTTAGTACATTAATTTTCTTAAAATCAAAGCTTGTTTTTGAGACATCTCAAATAAATAAATAAATAAACTTTTATTTTGAAACCAAGGAAATAAAATCCACCCTATGAACAACCTCTCTCCTGATGCCACGTGGCAAATGCCTTAAAGTCTTCAAGAGTTGTTTTGCGTGATGACAATTACACACCACTGTGAGGGCACTTGCCCTTGCTCTTCAGACTTCTGCAAAGTGCAAACCCTCACCTTCCAAATTTCCCCAAACTCCTAATCTTATTATCTCCTCCTCAAATATTCCAAAACCCATTTAAGAAATCTTATATATAGTGACATTTCAACACCACTTTTATTTATTAGACATATCATATCAAATTAAAGCCTCATCACACCAACAAATCAAAACCCATCTCATCCAAACACACCCTTTACCAAATTCTCTTCAAATTTTGCAACACAAAGCACAAACATCCATCTTAGGAGGAAAGGAAAAGATGTCTGCTTGTGGGGTTCTCTTCTCTCTCTTCCTTCTCCTCTTCTTCAGTCCAAATGAAGTAAGACTTACCCATGTGAGTTCCTCTCTCTCTCTAGATCCCATCAATATTTATTTTATAGATACCTAATCGATTTACATGTGAATTTGAGTCTGATATATGTGTGTGTGTGTGTGTGTGTGTGTGTGTGTGTTGTGTTTGCACTAATTCCACTCCATGTTTTTCTGCCTCCACTCCATTGCAAGTGTTGGATGCATCAAAGTGTGAAGTGGAATTAGAGTTGTACCCATTAATAATGATTTTTTCTTTTATTTTATTTTTTTTCTCCATGATTTTTTCTTTTTCACCTGAATTTGAGTACTCAATGTGTGTGTTGTGTTTGCACTAATTCCACAACAGGTTTTTCTGCATCCACTCCATTGCTAGTATTGGATGTAGCAAATAGTGGACTGGAATTAGAGTTCTTGTACCCATGGAATAATGATTTTTTATTTTTATTTTTATTTTTATTTTTGGTTTGATCATATATATGGGATTGATGTTTTTTGAGTTTTGTGATATGGAGGCAAATGGGTTTGCGGCGGGGAATGGCACGGTGGCGGCAGAGGCGGAGATGGTGCCGTTGATGGAGGATGGGCGGGCGGAGATGGTGGTGGAGCTGAATGAGACCAGGAGGCGGCTGGGGAGCTTCCAGGTTTGTGCATTGTGCACTTGCTGTGGTGGGGCCAGAGGATACTGTTTGCCTTCTCCTTGTTGCTACGCCATCAACTGCAACATACCCAACAGGCCTTTTGGCTTCTGTTCTTTCACTCCGAAGACCTGTAACTGCTTTGGATGCCATATCTAAATCCAAGTCTCCCTCTCCCCATTCTCTCTCTTCTTTCTCTCTCTACAGTTTATTTATTTTTGTTTAATTTGGGGGGTTTTGATTCTGTTTTGGGAGTGTGAATGGGAAGAATATCTGTTCTTGTTTTAATTGTTTATAATTATTTGGGAACAGCTATTTCCAGGTAAGTTCTTGCTACTTCTGATGGATCTCTATCTATAATCAATACTATCTCTGTGGGAGGCAACTAGGAAGTGATGGTTTTAGTTTTTCTGGAAGTAGCAATAACTTGCCTTGGAAAAAGCATTACTAGTTTTGGTCAACAACAGTGTGAGAGAGGAAATTTTGTTTCTCTTTAGGGAAATTACTAGAGGGTCCTTTCGTCTAATCAAAACCCACATTAAATTTTCTTTGTAATATGTAATATTTTATTAAATTTTTATGGGTCTACTTTTCTTAGTTGAATAATTTTGATTGGATTGAATTGCATGATCAAGATCATCTAATATTTTGTTGTGAAAGTTATTGCAACATTTATTTATTTTTGTGGAAAAATGTTGGTGCTTTGTTGGAGCTATGGATTGTGTTACTGATGATTGGGATTTATATATATATATATATATAATGTTGGGTGCTAAATTATTTGTTTATTGTAATAGTGGGGGTAATCAAGATTGCAGCTGAGTAAATCTCAGTGGAATGAGCAAAAACAAGTAATTGTTTTTGTGGAGACAAGTTCACATAATTTACAGATGATGCCCATCCAAGTTCCAACAGATTGTCCAGTCATATGGGTCCATTGTTTGATAAATGTAGCATCCTCCTAGCTGTGTGTTTGTGTGTGTGTGTGTGTGAGAGAGAGAGAGAGAGTGTGTGTTTTAAATGTTGGTGGAGAAAATGGATATTTTCATATCAATGCCTCTGGCCTGTACAATAGCCCACCCAACCATGGAGGTGGGTGGTAGTTGGATAGGGGCAATTATGGGCAGCTACCATTTGCAACAACAATAATGTGGTGTGTTATGGTTCTTTGAAGGCTGGCATTCATTGATAGAATATGAGAATCTTTTTTCTGTTGATTTTTTAAAAAATAGATGAATCCTTTGTCTAAAAGCAATGAAAGTTACATGTACACATGTGAATTGTGAGTGAAGACATACAATGATAGTTACATGTACACATGTGAATAGTGTATTGTGTGAATTGTGAGTGAAGACATACATAGTCTATAATTTGTGGGGTCATGTGATTTGAATGGCAATAGAGCTAACAATCACTGCACTTGAAATTGGTAAGTATTGAAAAGGGTGCATTTGGGAAATCTCATTTGACCTCACTTTGGAATGACAGTGTGCAACAACCCCTATGCTTCTCCATAACAAAGTAGAGATGGGATCCTCTGTGTACAGGGAGTGGTGTATCTTGAACGGATCTCCTCAACTACACAAGTACAAGGGATGGGATTCGTTCAATGTAGTACAACACTCATTTTATCTTGCATATCCATGCTCAACAAAATAACATAACAGGGATGGGATCCTCAGTTGTTAGAGCACAGTATTATAACAGTAAAGACGATCAGGATCATTCACACATGTGAATGATTTTGGCTGTACGCCGCAATACTTAACATAGAGATGGTCTTTTGAGTTCTTGTGCACTCGTGAAAATTTAAGCTAATCTCATTGAAGTCAATTTAGAGTAGAGTTGGAAACTATTCTAACACTGCAAAGCCACCCTCAACATATTCATGCTTTTTGTGTACTACGGAGTATATTGGTAACATGGCATTTTAACCTTATTTGAATGACTTGCATGTGAACCTTGGGTGTAATTTGTCTTAGAAAGTTGGTACATGTTTGGTGGTAGGGGCGGAGTTAGGATTTTATTTCAGAGAGGGCATAATGCATTTGTTAAAAAATAAAAAAAAAATTAATAAATATGACAAATAGGAAGTATAATTTTTTAAAATCAAAAAGGCAAATAAGAAAAAAATAGTTATAAAATAATATGCTAAATAAATACTATAAAAAAATATAGTTACAATTATAAGAATCAAAATATTAATTAATAATATTTTAATTATATACAATCACAAATGTCATCGATAAAAAAAAATAAGTTAAAAAAAATAAAAAAATACATAATTATACATAAGAGAAAAAAGAATTTTTTTAGAAAAGGAAACAAAAATTAGAAAAGAAAAAAAATATATTGTATACGTGAAGAACGAATATATGTAACCTTTGTTTTTTTTAAAAGAAAATTAGAAAATTTGAGGGGGACACTATTTAAAATTATCATGTAATTACTATATAAGTATATGTATATACCAAAACTATGTACCTATATATAATATGTTGGAGCAAAGTGAGGGGGCACGTGCCCCTCTTAGCCTTAATTTGCTCCGCCCCTATTTGGTGGTACATGATTGTATGAAATGTGTTATAGGCCAAGGTTGTCAGATTGGCATTTGCCAAAGTTGTCATACATGGTTGTCTTATTTCTTGGACCGAGTGAAGGAATGGGGTTCAATTCTGGGATTAGAGGTGCTACAGAATCTAAGTTCATTTATGGTTACAAATATATATATATATATATATTTGCATTGAGTGTTATCTGCATTTAGGATCTTTTCTTAACTCTCTTTCATATAACAATTTCTAGAAAACATTCAATAAAACAGAATTTAAAATATATATATATATATATATATATATATATATATATATATATATATATTTTATTCGTCATAATTAGTTTTATGTTACTATTGAAAAACAAAATTAAATTGGTCATAATAACTAAGGTTGTAACATTCTACTTTTTGGTAATTGTGTCTTCTTCCTTGAGTTCATTTGATCCTTTTTTTTATTTTTTATTTTTATTTTTTATTTTTTTTACAACATTCACAAATATCCAGGTATGAATAATGTAGGATTATTTGTCTCATTTAGGTTCTGAACTCTTTGGAATATTTATCAAACTTTTTTATTCATAATTTAGGATAAATCCTAATCACTTTGTCATTGTTACCTTCTTTTCTATATTTTCCACTCTCCTTGGAACAAGAAAGAATTTCAAAATATATATCACTTCATTTAATTTTCTAAAAAACTTGTTGCAGTTACACGGCTGCATGAGTACGTTTTATTTTAAATATATTTGTAAAATTTTCAACACTACTGTCGTAATTCTTCTGCAGTCAGTGTGTGTGTTGTGTGTGGAATGATTAGATAGTTGATCCTCACCCAGCAACCACTTTATGAAATCATTCCATTTGATACATTGCTGCATGGAAATCAAAAGCATACAAAGCTCTCTTAAAAACAATGGAGTGGCATTACACTACAATTCAATCAAGATACTTGTAATTTCAACCAGAACAGAAAATTCCAAAAATTCATTAACTTAAAAAATAGATGGGCATAAATCTCAATCAAATTCTCTGCTAAACATATAACTATTTCCTCAACTCTCAAAAAAAAAAAAAAAAAAAAATCCAGCTATATTTTGTTCATATGTACAGCTGACTAAATAATGTTTTATCCTGAAAACTGAATGACATAATCACAAATCAAATAACCGAGGAGCATAACCTTTGAACTTGTTCATCCTGTAAAGAATTCTGTACCGCTTTTTTCCTGAAGCTGTGCCCTATGAATATTGCATGGCTCGAGACATAACTCCAAACTCATCATCAATTGCCACCCTCTTCCCGTCTCTCCTTTTGTATGTTTGCATCTTCGATGCTTTTTATTTATTTATTTTTTTTTATATTTTACATATGCCATACCAGCTTCAGAAAGCTGCTTAAATAATATTAGATGATCTACTTTACCGGCTCCGGAAATGGATCATTCCAACATTCATCTTGGTCAACAGCATTCTTCCATCGCTTTTTGAATACCTGGAATTCACTATAGGACTGCCTTCTCACCTAAAGAAAGACAAATTTTTACCGGGGTTACGAACACTACTAAATTTCTACCTCCCAAACGACAATTTGAGGGTTCGTGTACCCATAAGGCAATGGATGTGATATCCAAATATATATATATAGAAAAAGACTATTGAGATGCCTTTTCTCCATTATGCCAGAATTCAGAAAAAAAATTATAAGATTCCACAATCACGTCCTTTCAAGAGGGATTAAAATTACAGCAAAATTCCTGGGTTCTGACTAGAAGAATGCCCAAAATTTGCTAAGTCCTGGATTTTCTAAAGCACACCCCATGATTCAATATATATAAAAACCCCAAGAGTTTTGCAACTTTACTTGAATATGCTACGTTCTTAAGTCCGGTTGTTTTTCTAGGCACAGGCTTAATGTGTATAGCTTGGTGTCAGACTAAAAATGATAAGACGCTCTTTGTTCATCATCTGCCTGGTTGCAATTATTTCTCTTTAGTTTCTCTCAAATTGAGCACTTCCAGATTCAATGACGACGTAAATAAATGGTCATTATGCACTTTGTGAACTGCTAATGATCATTATTTACAGAAAAAATCCGCACTACAGAAAAAGGGTTTTGACTTAATGATGCCATAAATTCAGAGACGATAAATAAAGTTGGTTACAAAACTTACTTCAATTCTAGCATTACTCTCATAAGACTTGTATGATGCCTGCAACCAAGAGAGAGTAAATAATCAGTTCTGATGTAAGATACAATGTAAAAGGAGCACTAAAGGTGTACAAAAAACAATCGTCTCCAAGCTTGTTTCGTATATAAGTTTAGAATTATTGCCACACGCTGCAAAATTGTCTGCAGCATTGAACATTTATTTACTGGCAATTTATAACTAAACAGCACATAAAACTATAAGAAGTAAAAATGCAATACAACTACAACTTCACCAGCAACATAAAATTCTAACGAGTCTTGATTTGGACATGCATAAAGCGTAGACATAAACCTACTTGGCAAAGATGGTTCAGGAACATGTATCAATAACACTAAGGGTGAATTTGGCACAAGACAAAATAATTGACCAATTGGAAATGAACATATCTGTGAGATGGTTGAAGTAGCACCAATTGGAGACAAAATGAAAAAATCAAATATGATGGTTTGTTCATGTGGACTATTAATAATTGACCAGTAAGGAAAAGTGACACAATTCTTATTGATGCTAGTGCTAGTGGAAGGTAAAGGCTAAGACCAACACGGTCTGTGAATTTGCAATAGATAGGAAACATGGAGGTGGATCAGATTTATGAAACAAGATTCATGAAGCTGCCCCCAAATAGTTGTAAAAAGGTTTTATCGAGTTAAGTAGATTGTCGGTAAGGAAGGAGTTTGTTGGAATTCGTAGAATGTGCCATTTGAGAAATTTTGCACTAAGCCAATAATTATCAACTCAAATGAGGGCTTGTTCTTACGCATACATCTCGTAAAGGCATTGGAATAAGCCACAAATCACTTTCTTTGGTAAGCAAAATCATACTTTCTTTGGCATTGAACTGACTCGTGTCCTGTCCAATATATTTTCTTTACATACATTTTTTTTCTTCATATAGCCCATAAGAAAATACATCACCCTGTAAATAGCATAGATGATCTTTTATCTTTAAAAGTTTAAAAGATGAAAAAAAAAAAAAAAAAAAAAAAAAAAGAGAGCTGTGAAATGAGTTAGATGGCACAATGATGGACAAACATGTGGGATAGATATGATAGGTTACCATGTCATAGCACAAGATCAAATGAAATTGAGCAATTGAATTGCGACTACAAGACATAAATAACTATTTAAAGAAGTGACGCCCTTTATGATCTGATTGCCACTAAATTGTGTAGGTTTGAGTCTTCTACGTCCGTGCTCCGGACATGATTTGAACTAGAACTTCAATGCTCACACTCATAACCGAGGAACTGATTTTCTAGGTTTTCCCTTTAGACATCATATTGTTTCCAATGTTTCCTTTGTAATTACTGTTGACTTTTTCCAATTTGATCAATAATATTCCTGCAACATATGCATTATATGATGACTTTAGCCTTTCCAATTCATCCTTGTCACTCCTTCTACCAACCTTATCCTCTCTGACTTTTGCCTTCTGACACATTTCTTTTTCTTTCCCAAAGTTAAGCCGACATCAAAGAATATATTACTTGCACATCCAATAACTTAAATTTGTATGCCACAATATTATGACCTATACACACAACATTTATTTACCATTATGTGTACTGACATAAATTTTTGTTTCCATTTTATTAAAAAGCACTCATATTTTGCCCCCATGTGTATTTATAGACTTATTTATTTTTCTTTTCTTATCCTTAAAAGTTAAAAATGGATGCTTTGTCCTTCCATATAAGCTAGCTTAAAGTATTTTCACTCCAAAGTTTAAATCTAAATCACATTCCATTTTACCTCCACTTCGACTTCAACCCTATCTACTTGAGAGTATTAACAATTTGACTGAAGCAAGTTTGGCTGTCCTCATGCTCAGCTAGGTTTTAACACTTGGTTTTGTTGAAGACTAAATTCGTGCCAAATATAAATGTCTATAAATGTCTGTTCAGGCATGGTTCTTCATACTACACAAACTCAAACTCGGTTCTACTTGGTTCAGCTTGGACCAAAGAAAGACTAGCCTGTTTTCCTCTCTGTTCAACTAAGCTAGAGCTTAGCTTGGCTTGAGCTGCCATGCAAAAATTAACTTCAGAAAATCCAGAAAGATGTCATTGGAATAGACAACTAATTTCTGAAATTGATGAATGGAATGAGACAGGATCATGTTTGTGGACTACAGCGTACCATGCTTCAAGGAATAACCAATATAACGCACAATTATGCATATGCAAAAATAGGAAAGACATGGATTAAATAACACATATCTCAAGCAAGGGAAAAGACCTTAGTTCAAGAAAAAAAAAAAACTTCATATGCATCTTCCAATGTACTAATTCAAACATATCTTAAGAAGAGGCCATATACCATATAGAGCAACCAGGCCAATAATGTAACAGGTTTCTACAGAAATCAGAGCATGTAGATGTACCAAGTATCATTGCAGATATAATCATGATATATGTGAAGTGAATGACAACTCAAGGACATCCTTTTCCCTTGTCACTTCTTTATTGTTTTCCATTTTTCTCTTTGGGAAGTGGGGTTATAATAAAAAAAAAAAGGTAACCTTGAAAAATAAATTACTCTGAAGCATTGAAATAAACATAATATTTCTAACCTTCTCATCCGTGTCTCCAAGTGTAGGGAGACCATAATGAACAATGTACTCAGAGTCCACTATTCCAATGTTTTCAGTTCGATCACCCTATCAAAAGAATGCCCAAAGGAATCAAATAGCGCACCAAAAAGTGCTTAAGAATGCTCCAAAAGAGGTAAAAAGAACAAAAGAAACTTTCAATGACTAATATAGAAATTACCTGTGCACAATAACCAAGCCGTATATCTAGGCCCCACGCATGGATCAAGTCATTCTGTAAGAAACATCAAAGAAAAAATATAAATGTGCTAACCAGTGTGCTATATAACATGGCAATCTATTGTGGTAATGAGATTAAGAAGTTTAATATAATCCTCACAGGTGTAGCTGAGTTGTTTTAGGGGTTTGAAATTAACCAAGAGGTCCCAGGTTCAACTCCTACCTTGGACTAGCCCTTACACATAAATTGTAGGGAACCTCTCCAGTGTTTGGAGGCATCAATCCCATCCCTAATATTATTACCCTGCAACAAACTGCTTCCATTTTTCTAGAAAATAATCAGCCCCTGGATTCCCTTTGACCTCTAATATCTCGTGGAGCTATCGACTAAAAGAAACCCCACTTCTAATCTCGTGGAGCTATCAACTAAAAGAAACCCCACTTCTAATCATAGTTATACAGTTTTACTTATAAAAAAATAAAAGAAATCATAGTTATACAATTTTGACTTCATACTAATTGAATTCCCATATTGTGTGTCAAAATGACCACCATAACTAATACAGAAAAGAGGACAAACCTGGATCATAAACCATACACAGCGCCAGGCAGCTCTTGAGAACACGGGGGCCATTACTTCTATCCATCTGTAACACAAATTTTCTTTTTTAATCTCCTCTAGTTAAAATAATTCCAACTTTTTATCCCTCCATCATAAAGGATACAATAACAAATGCATTCAACTAAAAACCCAGAAAAAGGTGTTACCTTCAGTAAAAATGAATTAACTTTATACACCTTTATATATCACATGTTAACACAACAAGTTAGTTTACTGCTAGTTCATTTTTACCCTGTGCATGGAGGAGTTGTGCTGTTGCCATCACATCCATTCCCACTATCCCCAGACTTGTAAATCCTCCTGCAGACACAATTGGCCAAAACAGTAGAAACATGCATATTAGATTAACCAACCGAAGTAAAGGCAAACTTCCGTTAACATAAATTGATATAGCTCAGCAGAACTGGAGATATAAATAACGTGGGTCAGGTGGAAACTCTTTCAAAATGTAGGATTAAATCAAAAATAAAAATAAAGACTATGGTGATTGGAACTAACAACAGTAAAGAGACAACAATAGAATAAACGTTACATGCCACTAGAAAGGAGTCCAATATTCAACAAACATCAACTAGGTGTATTCATAGGATGGCCACAACTGAGGAGAGCAACCAACCAGTCTGTGAACCATGCATGGACTGTTCTCTCAGCTATTTCTAAAGCACAAATAAACATTACTAATTCACAACCATTGGATCGTTAACCTCAGATTTTTATATTGGAGCAACCCATGTTTTATTTTGACAAAGCCCAGAGGTAGCATTAAATAAAAAAAGACAGAGCCCTATAGAGGCAACCAATACAGTTCCGGCAGAGTGATATAGCTGCAGCCATGGTATATCTAACATTCTCTTTATCTCATGGAAAGTTGAAATAAACCATTATTCCCAGACAATAGGTTCTATTGGAACCAATTAGAAAACAGCACTATTCACATGAATAAGGATTTTAATCTTCTTGGCATGTTCAGAGGTAGAAACTGAATTTGGCTAACACTACATAATTGTTTTTTAAAAAGGAACACTGTTAGACATTAGTACACAAACTATAAGGGAATAAGAGAACCTGTGAACTTTTGAATTCCTCGAGCGTATGGTAATCTGATGATGCACCTCCGATTTGGCAAGATCAAGCGCTGGCTGTGATATCTCAAGCCCTTCATCTTCCACGATTGATATATACCTAAAGTATCAAACAAACAGAACAGAATTCAACATCCTCCAAAGAAACTACCATATAATATACATCAAATGGTCAGTCTACTATGCATAAATGCAATCTAAAGAGTTATATCACTTATTATGAAAAAACAGGACAACTTTATTAGTATGCTGACACATCAAGGTAAGACCATACACTTGAATTGGGCTATAGAATTCAATAGCTATCATATACAAATGAGTTGGCTACAAAAATATATTGTTTACCCATGCCATGTCACATCATGTATCAATCAAAAAGTATTTTGATTCATCTCAATGTAACATCCCACACTCTAGATAACTCGTTTAAGATGTTGATCTTTTCTTTTCATATAAATCTAGATCGAACAAGCTACACCAATATACTCGGATGATATATCTCCATATCAGCCAAAGTTTAGATTATGGTTCTTTATATCATAGGATAGACCATAGGTTTCATAGTACTAAGATTTGTTTATCACCACTGGACTCCATATGTAAAGTCCAGCTTCCAAGTTATAGAGCACAACAGACTCTATAATAGGCGGCCACCTGATTGGTGTTGAATAACTTGTTTAGGGCTTTAACAGACTCTATAATAGGTAAGACCTTATACTTAAATTGGTTTTGTAATCAATTTCTATGATGAGAGAATGGAGATATAGTCTTTGGCCATCTTCATCTTATTGCCAGGTGAAACATAAAATATTAATCAGCCAATCAAGGAAGCCTATACAACTAAGTACTAATTTAATTATTTATCAGTGGTTGTTACATACAATGTGATTTACCATTATTTAAAACTGATTATAAGCATTCACTCAACATTTACACTAAAATACACACAAGCAAGAGAAACAGTATATAATTAGTAGTTATTTATTTATTTTATATTCCTCCCTTGAAAAAAGAAAAGAAAAAAGGATAACAGTGTTCACATACCGTTTGGGGTGGAAATTTGCAACCCCAAGGTCTTCATCCCAGACGAAAATGTAGCTATACTCTGCGACTATATCTGGATGTAAGAATCGCTTGGCGAACCACCTAACTTGTCATCACCATTATCGACAAAGTAATAGAAGGTTAGAACCAAGACAGAGAGATATATATGATCATACAACTTCTATTTTAAATATAATTTTATTCTTTGTCCCAAAAGATAAACCTAAAAGAAATTTGGAACTGTTTAAAAATGTGAGAAAATGTTTGCAGAAAAGTACTGATCATTAATTACGAAAGCATAAATACTTCATCAATAATGAATTAGAGGGCAAACCAGTCAAGAAGAAAATATTTGTAAAAAAAGCAACTTGCATCACATATGATGATATAATTGGAGTGCTAACCCAATTACCATTTAGTCTGATTGATTGCTGATACATGTATAACACGATCACTCCAATCTAAATCCTTCCATTCATCAACAATGCCGTCATAATGGAAAAGCATCACAACAAAATTGCTCGATAGAAACTGCAAAGCAAAACAGGAGTAAATAATCATGGGTATAAGATAAAACAGATAGTGAGTATAATTCTATAAGAGTAAAGAGATTTAAAAAAGTACCTTTCTAACCATCTTATCTACCCTTTCTTTTTGCCTTATTCCAACAGCGACACAGAATAAGTTTGTTGAAGACTTGACATTCCTCTGCTCCAAAAAATGACAGTCAATTTCTTTAGTAAATCTCAAGAAGATATACCAGACATAACATAATGTGTACCAAGGTCTTATAGTTGCAGCATTAACCAATGTAATTGCACCATTGTTCCTTCAAGTAGAAGCAGCAACGATTATAACATTGACATTAAATACGCCTACTCAACTAACATATATTCTGGAATTTCCTGGCTTCAATCAGTAATAAAATGCAAAATCCATATCAATATTCGAGATTTGGTTTCTCATGAGGTTAGCAATATATTCTGGAATTTCCTGTTGAAGCAAGATCCAAAGGTATGGCAAGAGGTTAGCACCAAACCATGTTAAGAAGTGTTATGTAATTCACATCTTTCCTCTTGACCCCATCATAGTTGCTCCAAAGTCCATGAGGGTTTCTGTGGAGAAGGTAGGGCAGGGTTTCTGTGGAGAAGGTAGGGCAAGATTGAGAAGTAGTTTATTAGGAGGTTCAGGGTTCAACATGATCTACTTGTTACGAGTTAATAGAAAGAGTTCAACAGTTGGCAGAATAACTGTCAAGAAGTACTTTAAGTTTCATTCCCAATTATTTCACATTTCTTCCCCTAATCCTTCCATGATGCCTTGAAGTCCACGGGGTTTTGAGGAATGACTAGTGGAAAGTATCACGTCATCACAGAGAAGTAAATTAATCTTCACAGAAAAGCACAAGATTCAAGTCTATAGCCGATGCAGAAGTTAGAGAGAGAGAGAGAGAGAGAGAGAGAGAGAGAGAGAGAAGCTATTGTGCTAAAAGGAGGTTGGAGGGTCTAAGGAGGTTTGTTTAGGGAGGATATGATGGCGGCAAAGAGAAAATGAACAGATGTACATATACACAACATCCTTGTATGGAAAACATGTCAACTCTGCTTGAAAGTAATGTTTTTCCAAGAAACTTGGGTATGTATCAAAGAAATGTTTAAATTAATTAAGAGAATGCATATTTATAATCACAACTGAGAAGTAGATTTATATGTAATCCAAATCATTGCTTATTGAATTCTCTGTCTGTTATTTAGAAGATCAATACCTTCGGAGAGCCCCATAGCGGTCGCATTTCCAAGTTAGAAGTCATGGAGACAATACCTTTAGGTAATGACTCACTTCCAGGAGGCCTGCAACCATTCTAAATTTTTAAAACTAATCAGAACCAGAAAAAATAAACCATAATCCAAATTGAGGAAAATTCATACAGATCAAATTAATAACCATCGGGATCGTTTGGCTGCCAAGAATATGGTCCTGGAATAGGCATCTCATAACTCAGTATGACAAGTCCAGAAATATTGAAAAATCAAATATTCCTATTCCAATTTTGCAAATGTCCAGGAAAGTCTTGGAAAAGTGAATTCACTCCCACCAAAATACATGACTCATTCATATATATATATATATAGGAAATGGAATCAACTTTTTGGCTAAAATTCACCTATACCTTTAAGTCAAAATGTTTACTTATGCTGTGTAGCATTCCAAAATCAACTTTTTGGCTAAGCTTTCACCTATACCTTTTAAGTCAAATTGTTTACTTATGATCTGTAGCATTCCAAAAATGTCACTCATGCAAGCACAATGTCAATAACATTAATACTTAATGTTTTAGTTTCTTAAAAATATGTTTTGGTATTTTCATTTTTATGCAATTTAAGTATCTTTAGAAAATTTGTAGCAGATATTGATAATCTTCACTAAAAAAAAAAATTATCTTACCAAAAAAAAATTGACGTTACAACCTTATTTGGAATTAGTATATTATTACACTATTTAAAAAATAATAATACTACAAATTTGAAATTATAATTTATATATCTTATTCTTACAATATAATCTACAAAGCAAGGACACTTCAAAGAAGCTGTATTTGTGCCCGACACGTGTAGAACACCAACGAATTTCAGACATTTCCAAACACACGCCTGACACATCTTTGACATGTCCATGATTACAAAATCAAAATTCTTGATTTTGGATGCATGGCCAAGACTTAATGGATATGCGTTAACATGTGACAAATGTTAGATAAGACTTTCTTTTAAAATGGATAAAAATTATATTTGTAAGAAAAAAACAAATTAAAGTTTACATAGTAAAAATTTATCTAAATTTGAACATATTTGAAAAAGAAGAAGATATAGGAAGGTTTTATTGAAGGAGTGAGCACTGGCTTAGAAAAACAATCATTATATTGTGTGCTTACATATATGATATACATACACATCTATGTACAGATGTATGGCATATCCTTGTTAAATTTCCTTGTAATGTTTTCCTCTATGTGGTAGAGGTAATTATAGTTATATAACTACAGTTTACAAATTTCTTACTGCAGCCATAATTTATCTATTTGTCTTGTATAATATGACCTTCACATAAAATTAAGTGTCCTCGCCATGTCTGCTCTCTACTTTTCAATATTTTACCGTGTCGATGTGTCTGTGTTGTCTCATGTCCATTTTCCATATTACTAATGAAAACTTCTTAAATCATAATTTATATTTTGAATGATTATCTTTGCTTAGAAGTTCCTAAATGACTGAGCATTTGATTCCCATGAGCATGGAATTGAGAATACCACCTCCTGTCGGGAATGAGATGCACATGTCCCTGAGTTCCAATTGTCAATAGCACTTGCCAAACATGGGAATGAGGTGAAGGGAAACGAGATACCCATTCCTCCCTCAATTTTTATCAATTAAATGTACCCTCGAGGTTTGAAAGGGTTTTTAATGACCCACTAGGCAGTCTAGTCTAATTAGAACCCTCTATGAGTTGATGAATTTGTAGTAGGATAATTGTTGGCTGGATAAAGACAGCAATGAATATTGTCCAACACCAGTTGGGAGGTATGGAAAGAAAATGTTATTGTTGTGGCAATTTCCAGCAAATTTAACAAGCGAAGTGAAGTAAAAAGAAAAAGAAAAAGAAAAATCAATCATAGTAAACCTGTCAAGAGAACAACAAACCTCGCATTTGTTTAATATTGAATCTTGCATACTTTCCTCAGACCTCAATCTCAACAAATTCTGCACAATAGAACCCAAAATTATACCATATATGCAGTACTTTTGAATACCCTTCTGAGATGCATCAGATAAAGGTAACAAGAAAAAAAACGAAAAATAGAATGAGCTAGACAGATTTGAGATAGAAAGAAAAAAAAATTTTGAAACATTTAGTTAGTACAAGAAAACCTGGGGGGAATAAATGAATCCAACAAAATTATGTTAAGAAGGAAAAATGTCACAAGAAATTTAGTAACAAGCTAAGCAGTAATATACCAATTCACTTTAAAAAGTAGTATAACCAAAAGATTTTAAAGTGCACAAACTTGTATAAAAATTTCAAAATTAGAAAAAGCTATGGGATTTATAAAATAATATGAATACCTCTTTATGATCTTGTGTAATGATTGCCCAGATGAATAAAACTATAAAAGATAGAGAAGCTGTGGTAAAAAGGCTGCAGCGACATGATCTCCTACTTCTTGGATCAGCTACTGGTACCTGGAAAAGAAGACACTATCAAGACAGCATTTTCCATCCATAAAATTAAAGAGGTATAACTAAATTCCATTCATAAAATTATGGAGGTGCATTTTCTCTTGGAGACACATCCCAACTCCCAAGAAGCCTTGACAGTCATATCAATAAAGAGAGAAACAAAAGCTTGACAATATTTGAAAGAAGTTCCCACATAGAAGGCCAAATATTGTTTATTAAAAAGGTGGTCAAGCAACTTAACGGTCAAACCTCATTGCGGAATGGAAACATAGGATTTAACTTTTGGTGGTTCCCTTCCCCTAGTATTACCTTCAATGTGGATTATGAGACTTTCTAACTGGCACATACAAAGGTCTTCTTTGCACATGTCCAAACCATCTTAACCGGTTCTCTCCTTTTATCTCCAATTTGTGTTACTCCAACCATCTCCTGAATGTGATCATTTCTATATCTATCATTTCTAGTCTTACCGCAAATCCATCTCAATATCCGCATTTTCACTGCTCACTTTATACACATGTTGTTTCCTAGTTACTCAACATTTTGTGCCATAAAGTATGGTTGGTCTAATAGTAGTTCGATAGAATTTTCCTTTCAATCTTAAGGGGATACACGTATTACATAGTATACTAGATACACTCCTCCATTTCACCCATCGTACCTTGATTATATGATTAACAACATCTCCAATTTCTCCTTCATTATGGATAATTGAACCTAAAAAACAAAAACATTCACTTTTTTGTACCTCTTGATGTTCAATCCTCATTACATCCTCATTTGTATTTCTAAATATATTAAAGTTACACTCCATATATTCAATTTTATTTCTACTTACCTAAAACCCTTTTAATTCTAAAGCTTTCCTTCAAACCTCCAATTAGGCATTAACTCCTTCTCTAGTCTCATTGGCTAAAAAAATATCATCAGCAAATAACATACACCATGAACTCTCATAGTGGATGTGTATTGTCCCGTCATCTATAACCAAGGCAAAATGGTACAGAATTAATGGTGACCCTTGATGTAAGAATACAGTGATTGGGAATTCACTTGTTCCCCCTACAGGAGTTCTAAATATTGTTCACATAACCATTATACATGTCCTTTATTGCGTCAATGTATCCCTTTGTGACTCTTTTCCATTTATTTTATCCCAGAAACCATAACAAAAGATCCTTTTCAATTAACAAAATCTTTTATCAACAAGATAATCCTGACCATCAAAATGTTTAGCTAGTTCCTTCGAGTTATGCAATAGGAACCCAACAATGTAAATTCCCATATCAATTTTCGATTTTGATTAACAAAGAAGAAAACAACAAACAAAAAAGTTCAGCTAAGATCCACCTCGACGGAGATTATAAAAGACAAACATTAAACTTGAAAAGTTTGGGAGTTCTGTAAGAAGAGAGTACCGGCTCGATCATCTAGTTTATTGAGGCATGAATCACAGATTCCATAAATCATCCTTATTTACCATTTGGTTTTGAGCAAAAAGTTTGTCTTTTTCTGTTTAAAGAAAACAAATAAACACTTTCGAAAACAAATAAACACTTTCCATCTGTTCACCCAAACAATATCTTGAAGCATAACTCCATCTGCTAAAAACACAAGCCCTATGAAGTCACACCACTAAATATCTTCATTTGACTCTCAATTCGCTATGAACTCTTTTTTTTTTTAAGAAATCCCATCATCCTTCCCTTTATCCCATATGAATGGGGTCGGCCAAATGAAATATTTTTCCATTTTTCCCGTTACACACCATGTCTTCTCCTTTAAGTAGTTTTTAAGAAATCACATATCTAAACCAAACCCAAATACACAGTCGTGTACTCCTCAAAAATAAAAATTGTTCAGACACCAATACCAATAGAAAATCACTTTTCAAACCTCAAATATGTAAATACAACAAATATGAAACAGATACAGCTACACAGTCCAAGAACAACACATTCTTCAATAAATAACCATCAACTAAAATATAATTCCCTGTTTGTGTGCGTGTGTATAGAGAGAGAGAATAGGCTTACAAAATTAGGTGACTTCATCATCCCTAATTGTCGGCACCTGGGTTGCACCTCCCTACTGAGATTTATGGTGTATATATCTATATATATATATATATATATATATATATATATAAAGATGTGGATCAATATATATTTATATAAAGTGAAAGAAAATAACAACCCAAACCATAAAAAAAAAACCGTAAAGTTTCCAACTAGTACCTGTATATTGTCCAGAGAGAGAGAGATTGGACTCTGGAGTTGGGTTTACACTTTGCAAGAACCACCTTCTTAATTTGAGAGAGAGAGAGAAATAGACAGAGAAAGTGACACGCAGAGAGAGATAGAGAGTGGTGAGAGCGAAGTCTACGGCCAATTATGGGAGGTAATCTTGCGATAATGCGTATCTAGTCACACTTTACTGTAAAATATGTATATAAATTCATTAAAAACCTTAACAAAGATATTCCCATGCTTTCTGTCCAGTTAAAAACAGATGCTTCGTGCTACTGTCTTTTTGTATGTTTGTGTTGAAATTACAGGTTTGCCCCTGCACGTTTTTTCTATTGTCTTTGAATGGCATTTATTAGGGGTGGAAAGAAAATGACTGGGTGGGTCATGTTTGGATAACCGGGGAAAACAAGGAAAGAATCAAGCAATGGTGTCAAATTGGCCAGAGTTATTTTAGGATGCTCCAATCGTTTTTTTCTGCTCCAATAAATAGTATCTAATAAGGTCTCTTACATACCATTAGATTTTTCAGTTATAGAATTTTTTTCCTTTTTTTTTTTTTTTCGGTTTTAGTGTTTTAATGACACTTCAGTTCGTAATAAAAATCAATCTATATTTCTATATCGTAATAAAAATCAATATATATTTCTATCATTTCTTTCAATTGTTAAACCATTCAAATATATATATATATATATAAAAGCCTTTGTTTAACTGAATTTTCAGTCAAATCAATTTTAACATTTGTCATTTAAGTTTGTTTGTTTCAACGAAACAAAACATATTCTTCTTTTTGAGATAAGTTCACGATTGGGCGTGTAGAACAAATTGTTAAAAATTGATAAATAAATTATTTTTATTAGATTTTAATAATTTTTTTTTCGTAAATATTTTACAACTACCTAATATCAAAAAATTTTAAAATATAGATATTTTTAAATATTTTATATCCAAACAAACAAAGACCAAAAAAAATTCATTTATTTCTATTATTTGAGATAGAAAATATTTTTTTTCTTCTTTGTAATGGCAAATAATACACAACTACTTTGGCTCTATAAAGACTAGAACCATGGGCTTCTATTCGAGAGATAAATACCATTGTGTTACAATTTGTAGGGATAAAATTTTAAGATTTTTTTTTTCCTGAATAAAAAAAAAATAAAAATAAAAATTTTAAGGTTTAATTTCACTGACGCTCACTCCTTAGGTTTGGCCATATATTACCCCTCAAACTAAGAGTGCACACGATCTGGTTTGGTCCCATTTTGAGCATTTTTGGAACCAAACCGCTCCTTACGGTTCCAGAAAATTTTAAACCGAACTAGACCATTTGAGCCATGGAACCAAACCAGCCCAAATTGTGAAAAAATGGTTTAGTTCGGTCAAGTTCCGCAGTTCTAGTTAAATTTTATTTTCCTATTTTTTTCCCCTTTAATTATATATATAACAAAAAAATCAATAAAAACATTCACATTCCCGAATTTAAGACTAAAATAGTAAGAGAAAAAGAAAGGGGAAAGTGGATGAGATAGACCCAAAAGTTAAACCCTATAAATTAAAATAAGACTGAATCTTTCTGAAACTGAAAATGATGACAAATCCGTGGTTGAAAATTAAAAAACTTGATTCGTTATCGTTGTTGATTGTGCTTGAGGCGCAAACACACTGTGAGACTCAGAGATCTGCGAATTGAAAGTGAGAGAGAAGGGGAGAGAATGTGAGAAAGGATGTCACCGACGGCAACGATAAAATGATCGACGGCGATGACCGAACTTCGAAGGATGCGTGAGAAAGATTGATCAATAACTGGATCCCGCGGTAATAAAAACTAAGAAGTGAATGAGGCAGCGTGAACAAAGAAAAAAATGAGATAGATATTGCAGGAATATTGGCACACACCCAAAAATCAAAACATTGAAAGAAGTAAAAATAAATAAAAAAAAATATCAGATAGTGATGAATGTTGGCTCACATTTTGTAACGAACCACTCCACCATGAAGTGTTTATGTGTAGATGTGTACTCCAATTGGTATGAGGCCTTTTGGAGTAAAACCCAAGAGCAAAAATTGTGCGGGCTCAGGCCCAAAGCAGACATGCAATATCATACCATGCATTTGATCGTTGTGCCGAAATCCCTTGCAAAATTAAGAGTAATATTTAGGTATAGCTATATATATATACATATGTTTATTATAACGGCTCAATCTGGTCCTGTAGGAGCCTAATCTGGGACAGAACAAAAAATTCACAATTCCATTATTTTAGAACCGTAACTGGACCGAACCGCTATTGAACCGGCCAGACCGCCCAATTCAATTTGGTCCAGTTTTGTTTTTCAAGTTGATGGTTTTTTTGCACACCCCTACCTCAAATATCTTTCGAAAATAACTATCATTTAGAACCATTTTCACTTTTTCGTCTTAGTCTCCATTAAAAATATGTAAAAAGACAATTTTGCCCAAAATTTTTTAATCTCATTTATCACCAAATATTAGATTACTTAAATGACCATTATACCCCTCATCCCCACTTCCATAACCACCATTGTCATCCCACCTTAACAAGGACCACCACTATCACAATATGACGAATGTATAATCACAAACGTCTTAATCACAAAATGCATCACCTTGCAAACAAAATCCACAACTTGAACACACACACACACATACACACACACACACACACACACACACACACACACACACATCTCAAGCCCTTCAATTCACAATCTCCATTGAGAAAACGAGTGGTTGTATTCATTGTCTCTTCCCGTATATCGTCGGACGGTGGTGGTTTGGTGGGAATGAAGACGTCAAACTAGAGATTGCGGGTGGAGTCGACTGTGACGTCCGAGGTCTTGATGCCTTTCACAGGGGGAGGTCACCGGATTCTGGTGATGATCCGATGGTTTTCTGAAACGTCGAGTATATCTCACTGTTTAGAGACCTTCAACAGCGGTCGTCGCCATCCATGGCCATGACCTTTGGAAAAAGACATATTCGGTACTGAGTTCTTCTTTTCGTCACGTCATCACCGTCCACCACCACCATAACTATATATCCACAACAATTATTTGTCATCAACTGATGTCAATTGTAAAACACAGGAGCACTCACGTCTCTCAATTTCAAAACTAACCTAACCAGATTCATAATCTAGTATCAAATAAAAAACACATTCACACACATCTGTGTTTTAATGAACCTAATATTTTTGTTCACTGATTAAACCTAATTTCACAAAACAAAGTCGGCATCTCTGACGACCCTGATGGCATCTTCCTTAACTAAGCCAACCGTTAACGTTCATTGTGCACGATACACAGATATCCATTTGCGGCAAGATAGATATATCATTCTCGATTTGGTTATTTGACTTGTGCTCGAGGCTCTATGCGTGTTGACATCTCAAAGACGGATGATGAATTTGGGCAAAAATTATTTTGTTTTAATTTTAGTGGTTGAGTTATAGAATCAGTGGTGGGGGTAGGGAGAGAGAGAAATGGTGTTGTGGTGGTGGAGAGGGAGGAACGGTGATGGTGGTGGTGGTGGTCGAGAGAGAGATGAACGGTGATGGTGATGGTGGTGGTGGTGATCGAGAGAGAGAGGTACAATAAAATATATGTCTATGTGAAATATATATATATGTGTGTGTGTGTGTGTGTGTGTATACATATATATAATTTGTAAATTTACAAAATTTTAGGAATATTTTAGTCTTTTAATCTAATTATTTAGGTTAAAGAGTTTTTTTTGACAAAGTTAAAGGGTATTTAAGTCATTTTATATCGTGTTCAATTAACAGTTGGGATGTGAGTGAAAAATGGAATAAAAGTTTGTAACGCGAGGGAAAGTTATTTTCGAGAGATATTTGCAGGTAATATTTGGCCAAACCTGAAAAAGTGTCAGTGAAATTAACCCAAATTAAAAAACTACTAAATTAGCCTAAACACTTTATTCCTCTCCTTCCAAATCCTTTCACTCAGATAAAAATAGCAACATTAGTACTTCAAGTGTTAACAAGCTCCTCAAATTTTTTATTTTTCTTTTTCTTTTTTTCTTCTTTTTCCCCAAGTGTGAACAACTCCACTTTCTTCTTTTTACTTATTTCCTTTCTCACCTCATTTTCACACCATACTAGTATATGATATAAACTCTCCACTTCTCCTTTTCTTTCAACTCTTTCGATTCAAACATACTAACAAAACAAAACATTTTTTCAGTAAATAATTTATTGTTTGGAATTCGGACAACTCCAAATGAGTTGAGATGACTCTTAGAAGTTAATATTATTAACTCTCTTCATATCATTTAATTTAATTGTAATTAAGTTAGACAAGCAACTTTGTAATTTTTATTCTTTTCTTCCATTGCACCAAAATCCTCTGGAAGTGACATACCCTTGTAAGGTAGTTCTCTAACGAAAAGAATCGAGCTCAAAAGCTTCATCTTATAAATTAAAATTTTTACTCTTTCAACTCATTAAGTTAGGGCACATCCTAAAGGCTTGTAGGCTTCAAATAAACAAAGTAAGTATGCGAGTGACGTGTGTTTTAGTTTTTCGTGTACCGACAAAAAAATAAATAAATAAAATAAATAGGGGCACAAGAGTTTTTATAATTACGAGTTCTTTGGTTTCCACATTAGTAGTCACTAGTCAGTGGTCACCATCTCACAAGAAAAACAAGTCTATGGTTTACATGTGAGTAGGGGCCCATATGGTATGTTTATGGCTTGTTAATTGATGGGTCAACCCAGCCCTAGCATGGTCCAACGCTGGTTAAGGCAGTGGCCCTAATTAGATAAAGATAAAATAAATAAATAAGAATCTTTAAAAGTGAGATCCATTATATTACTTCTATTTTTTTTCTTTTCTTCAATATATGAATGATGTATCTTCTATCTTTCCCATGGCAATTATATATATATATATATATATATATATATATATGGCAAAAAACTCATGTACCCGTATGTCCTATAAAAACTTAAATCATTGACCTTCTATTTTAAAAAGTAGAAGAAATACCACATTGATTTAACCTAAAAAGGTTCATTTTATTTATTTATTTATTTATTTTGTTAAGAGGAGTTTTCATTTTTTTGTTACTTCTAATATTTGAAGAACAATTTACGCACAAGCTTCACCATATCTACTTCAAAATTTTATAATTACAGTCGTGAAATTTTATCGGCACAAAAGTGAAATTTCATTGATTTTATTGCTAAAATGAATCATATAACATAGGTCTTGATATTCAATTATTTATTCAAAATATCAAATTTTCAACATGTCATTTATGAATCAAGTGATTTTTCCATTTACTATGTTTTGATTTTTCCTTAGTTTGGACGCATTGGATTTTTGTGTCCCTCAACCACCCCCACAAAAACAGAGACAATGGCACATGAAGATGACATATATGAATATTGATTTGATACAATAACAACCAAGTCCCAAAACTTGTGATAAGAAAGAGATATATGTGTGTGTGTGTTAGAGGTTAGACAATAATTTTAGTCCAAAGTCCCATAAGCTTAGGACAAAACATTCAAAAGGACACTTCCAAATAATGATACAATTTAGTAAAGTTTGAAAACAATTTAACTAATTCCCTCAAGCTTCACCATACGAAAACAGTAGTGGTGAAAAAGTATGAGTACGTATTTTTTCCGACAAACTAGTTACAGTAGAAAGTCCCATAGATACATGTATAGATTCCGGAAAAGGATTTCCTGAATTATGAATTGTTGTTGTTAAATCTAGATCTATACTTTTATGAAATGGGCGGAGTAACAAAAACTATCCCTACCTTTCTAGAGAGGGTTACAGAAAATATTAATTCATCTAATGTACGAACTCTAAAATTGCATAATATGCAACCAGCAATGGAAGTGACACCAACATGCCAAATATAACCCTGAAATCAAAGAGAGTGTATAATTAGTCAATTTCGAAATTTCAAATGAAAATCATGGAATGTGTTGTAATTTTTTGCTCAATTAAGGAAGACCACACTTGATAATAACTCTATGAAAAAAATGTTTAATATTGTAGTGTAATTGACTTACGCAGTGCTAAGAACATCTGCATGTAGTCCATATTCTTTGGCATATATGAAGGAGGTGATGGATTGTGGCACCGCTGCCTGCAACAAGATGAAACAATTCCTGACCTAAATATATATGTATATATATATATATAATGTATGTACATATGCAATAGATGAGTGATATTAACTTTTTAAAAGAAGCACGAGTCAACATTACAATAATCATTGCTCTAGGACGTGTAAAGACCATTTGCAAAATGTTGCAGAGGACTTATTAAATAAAACTATTTTGTTCTTGCGTTGCGTCACTTTACATAAAATATGATAATTTAGTATTAATTAATGAATTGATTTTAATAATCTTTTCTGTACTAAGAAGACCCTTTATTTCTCAAAGCGTAATTATATTTTATGTTTAAGTGGCCAAGTTGGAAATATAGTTCGATCTGAAGCTTCAAAGCATTTTCAGAACTGAATTGTCTAAGAAGAGGAAATCTCTCTCTCTCTCTCTCTCTCTCACACACACACACACACGTCCATGGAAGTACAAAAAGAATCTAATAAACTCACATCACAAGCACTATATATATTAAATAAATCATGTGTCAATGTTTGATAAACTATACCTATGTATTAATTAGTGAGCTCATCAGGTAAATCATGCGTCAATGTTGTTTTTTTTTTTCCTTTTTCAGTGTTTTAATGGAGCTTGTGCAGCAAATAATGTTGTCCATTATATAGGAACTTGTTTTATATGATTTTTAAATATTAAATAATTTGATTTTTGGAAATTGAGAAAAAATAAAAATGACTATAAAAAAACAACCTTGTCAAGCTTTATTATGTGCAACAATAAGGTTACACGGCTTATGCAACAATCCCTTTTTTGCGATGCACGACCGAGGTCCATAGGAGCAGGTCCAGATTCCCTTAAATATACCCAATTCAACAAAATATTTTTTCAACTATTGAACTTTTAAAGTACGCTTAAAATATCAAAAGTTATTAAATAAAATAAATTATAGACCATTTATCTTTAAGTTCTAGTTTCCTCTGGCTTTTTCTGAATATAAAAATAGTATTTGTTTAAAACCACTTAAATCCCTTAAAATAGAAGGTTACTTCGCCAATTTATTTGTATTTGTCACTTATAAAAAAAAAAAAAAGTTTGACATGATTTGAAAATTGTTAAAAAGAAAAAGAAAAAAACCACTCTAAGAATTTGTTTACTAGTTTTCTTGTCCGTTTTAAAAAAGTTTAATTCCCACTCACAAAAACAAACTCTAAAAGATTTTAATTGTTTAATAATTTACAAAAAAGAAAATATTCATGCTTAATCACAAGAACAAACATCGTCTCCAGTACTTTATTTCTACAATTGATTTTTCATTAAACAACACTATGTTTTGAGAAAATCAATACCACAATTAGCTGACATGGAGTGTTTTGATCAGATCGAGTTAAAAGTGAGAGAGATATATATTGAGAGGACGCTAATCCTCAAAGCATTATTCCACGTCCAGATTCTTGTATGCTTTGTATATAAGTTTAACAATATTATATATATATGTGTGTGTGTGTGTGCATGCAACAATTGCTTATACATGCATGCATGGTTAAAGAATTAATCTTACCTGGATAATAGCAATACGTAAAACATCTCCATGCAAACCAACGGCGATAGCACCGATAGCCATCGCCGCAGGTCCGGCAATGAATCTCAAAACCATCCCGAACGCTGTCAGATTACCACCACAAGAAATTAAATTCTTCTGCAATGCCATAAACAGTCCTGCATATGGATTAACAAAAACGAGTTATACATACATACATACATACATACATATAAATATATTCACATTATAATTGCAGTTTTAAGCATTTTAAGAGTACGAGGTCTGTTAGGGATAATACTGTAAGTGTGTGCATGTTTAATTCAACTTTGGAAAAGAAAAAAATCCATTTTATGGTGGCGTATAATATTAAGGCTAGATGGCCTTACCCATACTAAACATGGCAGTCCCTGTCCCAGCTTTTGACATGATCAGTATTGATCCTTCCAAAATTCTTGGCATTTGAAAATGCCACCTAAAATCATTTAATTACAAGTTAAGACAATTTATAATTAGTCATAAAATATAAATAATTAAAAGTGACACCCTCTCTAGTAGCTCAAGCTTTTATGTTATATAGCTTTGTACCTGTTCGATAGAAAAGCCCAAGTGATTCCAACAATACAACCATATGAGTTGGGATTCATGGCTAGTTTAAGCCACACAACCTTCATCAATGACCAAAACGATGGCCTAGTGATCTCTACATGTACCGCATTTCCCTCCAAATCTTTCTCTGATTCAACTCCCACAACTCGCGAATCTCCAGCACTCGGAGCAGAAGAGAAGTCCCTAGCCCGTCTAAATTCCAACACAAATAACAGAACTGTAAGCCACACGATGGCCTGCACGACCGATGACTGGACAACAAGGTCCACCCCAAGCTGACCATACATGGCCTCCATCAAGGGCACCCCTACAACCAAAGCATTTGTCAAGGTAGAGAGAGAGAAGCTTGTAATGGACCAGCAATAGCTCCCTTTGCTACTGCACTTAGCCCAAAACGCAAGCACAACCACAATGACCACTTTGGAGATGGCATCAGCACCAATGAATCTATAATTCATCTGGAATGGATCGACATGGGCCGTGAATTCGAAGGTGAAGAGAGGGAGGGTGAAGTAGCACACAAGGCTATTTATGGCATTACATTGTTCAGGTGTAAATATGCGCCACCATTTCACAGAACCATACCCTAAAACTAGGGCAACATAGAGTGGTACCATGGCCACCACCACCTTATAAACATCTTCCCACCCAATCATTCTCAGTATCAACCCCTAGAGAAGAAGGATGTTTTATAAAATCTAGGGTTAGGGTTTTAGCTAGACACTATTGAAATGAAGAGAATTTGTTGATGAATAGCAGAGGCTGGGGGTATTTATATCCGTGAATAGTTAAAAGGTGACAAGAGTTTTGGTGGTGGTGTATGAAACGTCAGTGTTTGGTTTTACTACAAATGGTTTAATTATTTGTTGTGGTCAGCAACATATAAGAATAAGAATGAGGTCCAGCGATTTATTCCACCCAACTTTGCCAATAGGGTTTCAGATGTTGTGTTATTATTGTTAATGATATATTCTCATCATCTATACCACATCTTTGAAGTGGGTCCACCAATGGAGGTGTATGAAGCTATCAAGCTTCTTGTTGGGATTGATCAGATAGTGACACATGAAATATTAACCAAACGAAAGAGATTGTACAAGTTTGAAAGTACCTAGCTAGTAGCTTCGATTTATTAATGAAATGTGATGAGTCTTAGAAATCCCATATTCTATCTTTTAAAGCTTTAAATTTTACTCCTGAATTCCATGATTTTCATAATTTAAAGAGGTGATCGCAACTTTGAATTCTACTATTGACTTGTTCGATTTTCATAATCAAAGAGGCGATCGCAGCTTGCAGTTTTAAATTTTACTCCTGACTTATTCAAGTCCTGTAATCTGATAGGCGATCGTAGCTTTAAATTATACTCCTAACTTATTCAATTTTCGTAATTTAAGAGACGATTGCAGCTTGCAGCTTTAAATTCTACTCCTCGCTTATTCAACTTTTGTAATTTAAGAGGCGTTCACGACTTGCAGTTGTAAATTATACTCCCAAATTCTGATTTATTCAATTTTTGTAATCTAAAAGACAATTGCAGCTTACAACTTTAAAATTTATTCTTGACTTATTCGATTTTCGTAATCTAAGGGGGATTGCGCATATGTTACTACTCCAACAAAAAAACGAGTGGAGACACCTTTAATGTTATATCAATCATTAGTAATCAAATCATAAATCTTATTAGATTCCCTACTGAAATAAATATTATTAAGACATGCTCCTATTAAACAAGCTGCAACTTTTTATTACCTCAAAACTTATAATTCATTTTCCATTTTATATGCAGTTAGTGGTATTTCATATTTGAAGCAAGTCATGCTTGCGAGAACATCATTTTCTTGAAAGAGCTGCACTCTTTGGTAAATGTCATGACACCTTATCATACTATGGAGATGAGCATATAGAATAAATTCCATTTGTCATATAATTGTATATATGCTGGCCAAAATATATATAGTCCTGCTTGGTACAGTATATCCAAAGTTGTAGCTTGTTAGCCTCTTAAATAGAACTCATTCTCCACTAACCATATTCCTCTTCATTTGATCATGGGATAACAAATATGCTTTTTTTTTTTTTCTTCTTTTTTCGTTTATTATTATTATTTTTGGCATTAATTCAATGGTTCAGCTGTTTTACTCAATTAATGGTTGTTTAATTTCCACCATATATAATTGGATGGTTAAGTATAATGGCTTTGAATAATTGTAATGCATGTATGTAGAGGTGATGAATTAATAGTCATGCCACATGCAAGACAAGACAGAGTTGTATGTGAGGGAGGGTGGTATACTTTTGAGACAATTGCTGGTCTAATTAACATGTCTTACATATATGTGAGGGAGGGTGGTATACTTTTGAGACAATTGCTGGTCTAACTAACATGTCTCACCACATGTAAGACAGAGTTATGTGTAAGGGAGGGTGTTTCTGTAACAACCCAATCATCCTATTCGGATACAATATTGTTCTCTTTTGGCTCATCCGGATTAGAGACTTTTCAGGGGTGTCACCTATTTTGATACGCAATTTCTACACACATGCAGTCCCTCGAGAAAATTTTCAGAAAGTAACTTCAAGAGAATCGGAACTCTCAGACTTTCATGCAAGACGGAGTTGTATGTGAGGGAGGGTGGTACTTTTGAGAGAATTGCTAGTGTAATTAACAGGTCTCACCCCATGCTAGACGGAGTTATATATGAGGGATGCTGTTTTGTTTGGATATACTCTGGCCACATGATCAGTCCTCCCTCTTACATACACACTAGGTAAGTAATTATCGATTTTTTTTTTCTTTTAAAGTGGCTCCAAGAGAATTGGAACTCTCGACCTTCGTATAATGAAGTGAGAGTCTTTGTCATCATCCTATCTCTGAGTTCTCGAGGATGTTGGATAACCTTGATACATACATTGTAGGATAAAAATTAGTTTTGTTGGTATTATATTCACATACTCAAAAACTACCAGATTCAATAAAGTCAGTGGGATCCAGGGCTTGTCTTTGGGGCATGTAAAGTCGGTTCACTGCTGTTATTGAAATCATTCTCCAACAATTAACCTAAGTTTTGGGGATCAGTATATACATGTGTGTGTGCGCGCGCGAGTGCAAGTGTCAATGTGTATATGGTCCATGAATGTTTGTAACATGCATAACAAGTAAACATGCGAGTCCTGCTCTTAGGGAACTAATCCTCCAACAACCTAAGTTTTGGGGATCAGTATACAGGGCTGAGGAGGGGGGGGGGGGGGCCCTAATTTTTTGGAAATTTATTTTTTAGTATAGTTAAAAATAAAATAATATAGTATATATAGTATAAAATCTATACTTGGCCCCCCTAAGAAAAAAAAAATTATTTCTTTAATTAGAATTTAACAAAAGATAGTTTATATAGTGGTTTAATTAACGACTCTAGAATCCTGATAAAAATTTAATGGGGCTATTTTAAAATTTCAACTCAAATACCGTTTTTTTCATAATGTGACTACAAGCACGATTCTTTCCATAACCTTATTATTCTAAAATTCCATCTCATACATGATTCTTTCCATCACTTTTTTTTTTTCTTCTTTTTATTCATTTTGATTGAAATGCTTTTATAAGAATTCTATAAGAAATTAATTTTTACAAAATCAAGAACAAAAATTTCATTTGAAGTTTTGAATATCAGCAAAAATTGATGATTTAAGAATCTAAATTTTTATTTTATTAATTTGTTTGTGTTTTTTTTTTATTATTATTATTATTTTTTTATTTTATAATTGTTATTTTTTTTGTTAAATTTTCAATTGTTACATTTTTTTTAAAGTTATTTTTGTTTTTTTTTTCCTTTTAGGTAAATAAAGAGAGTTATTTAATTGAATTTTTTTATATTTTTGCCATAAATCTTATTTGTATTTGTTCAGAAAGTTTGATAAAAAATTTCTTTAAATAACTAGTTTTTTTTTATTTAAACAAATTGAAAAAAGTTTAAATATATATATTTTTGTATGAATATAATAAATAGTAACATATTTTTGCTTACGTAATATATATATTTTTTTCCAAAGTTCTAGCTAGGTAATGTTGTTTATAATGTTGGCCCCCCCAACCTCAAAATCCTGACTCCGCCCTTGTCAGTATATACATATGTATGTGTGCAAGTGTCTATGTGTGTATATATACATGAATGTTTGGAACATGCATAACCGGCAAAAGCAGGTGTCCTGCTCTTATTGAACCCACTCACCAACAACTAAGTAAGTTTTGGGGGATCAATATGTGTGTGCGCATCTATGTGTATACGCATGAATGTTTTCCCAACTAAAATTGAGTGCAACATGGATAGCATGAAAAAATAGGTGAGCACTGATCTTATTGAACTCATTCTCCAACAACTTAGGTTTTGGGTTCAGTATATAAACATGTGTGTGAAAGTTTCTATGTGTATATATATGCATGAATGTTTGCCCAACTAAAATTGAGTGCAAAATGCATGACATTCTAATAAAAAGGAAATGGGTAAAGTGCAAAAAAATCCTTTATTATAAAAAAAATAAAAAAATAAAAGTGCAAAAAGACACCCATAATTTTGATCAAAAACTTTTATAAAATTCCCAAAATACCCTTAGTATACCCATTGAAATCAGTGTTTTATATTTTTATTTTGTCTTAAGAGAATTTTAGGTATTTTAGCCTTATTTTTATTTGCTCAACTTGAAAAATGTGAAATTTTTTTTGCGTTGGATATTTGCACATTCGGTATATAATAGGGGATTTTTTGCACTTAAACCAAAAGAAAAAAATAAACTTGTTGGACAGTCTCTTGTTACCATGTGATAATTATTGATAGAAATACTTTTAAAAAGAGATGGTGTATCTTAGACACTATTATTGGAGTGGCACAAAAAATGGAGCATTGTAGCTTTACTCACCTAATTAAATACAGGTTCATAAACCATTCTCCAATATCAAAGATACGAAAAACAACCCTAAAGCATGTTTACAGTACATATCACATCATTCACGTACAAAAAATACCTATAAAATTTCTATTTTGTGCAAATATGTCCCTCTGACAAATTTAAACCCTAAGTTGATTAAATTACCCTTACTGAACCATTTTATAAATTATATAAAAATAAGTAATTTTGTAAAATGACCGAAAAGGATAACATTGGAGGATGCCTCGGCTCTCACGTGCAAAAAACACATAAAGTTTCAATTTAGTGCAAATGAGTTCCTCTAACAAATTTAAACCCTAAGTTGACTAAATTACCCTTACTGAACCATTTTATAAAATATATAAAAATAAATAATTTTGTAAAATGACCGGAAAGGACACTATTGGAGGATGCCTGCAATAGACAAGTAAAGATAAAGATAAAAATAAAAAATAAAAAATGAAAATAAAGTGCAAACTGAAGAAAACAAATCAACTCCAAATTTTGAAAACCATTGCACACTGTTATTGGGATTTTTCCTCTCTCTCTCTCTCTCTCTCTTCTTTTTCTTTCTTTTTTTAACAGTGTTGGTATGAAAAAGAATCAAATAAAGAAAAAAAAAAAAAAATTTACTCTAAAACAGTAAACTGAATTCTCAAAAAAATCAAATCCTTATTCTACAAATTCTCAAAGTTTTTTTTTTTAAAAAAAGTTTAGAAATATATATAGAGAAAAAAGTTTCAAAAAAAAAAAATAGCAATGTGTACATAACACTGCTATTCTATGAGATTAGTAACATATAAATCCCTTAGGCATTTTCGAAAAAGTAAAAGGGCAAAATGGGTATTATAACACTAATTTATGTCAGATTTCTGATTGAAGGGTTTTTTTGTACAATGTGAAAATATTTAAGGTGTTTTTTACACACTTTTTCAAATAGGAAGTAAAATTGTTACGCGAAATATATTTTTGAAGTGTTTTTTGCACTTGTTACACACACACATATATGTGAATGTCTACGTGTATATGTATGAATGTTTGCCCACTAAAATTATGTGCAACATATATGCATAACAAGCAAAAATAGGTACCTTATCAAGTAGTTGTATTCTATTTGTGTGGTCAATTTGGGCCCCTTGAAACCACAGCCAAAGGTTGTCAAGACTTTTGGTTTACATGTCTCATCATTGGCCCTAAAGCATGAGAAGAGCATTCCTCAAAATTGGATGATGCTAGCATTTTTCTCCATTAGCTAGAGGACAATTTTCATAGTGGAGATGAGAAAAAAAAGTAGCTTTTTTCTTCATTCCTTTTTATGATCAATTCTCTCTCTGATGTGCATGTGTAAATTACGAAGTAGCCCCTCAAATTTTGTTTATAGCATATTAATTTGTTGTTTCTGCAACTTAATTTAACGATGCCAACAAGTGATTTCTTAGTCATGAAATACTAAATTAATAACCACTCTCTTCCATTTGTGTGGGACATTGTCCAACATAGCAAGAGCAATGAGATTGAAGTATATAATAGATATTTAAAGAGAGAGACAAAGTCTATGGCACTGCTTGAGCTAAATGTGAAGGCAATATTCTCATTGATTTTTATTCCTTTTTTGTCTTATTATTGTATGCAGCTACCTCTTACAAATCATGCGTCTTATAAATTAAGAAGAGACAAATTATGCACCTTACAAATTAGGAAGAGACAGATTTAAACGTAAACACATCCGTTCGAAGGACTGAACGCTCTATCAATTAAATTAACTAAATATGTATTATATTTTTTTTTGTTTGGTCCCCACCCAGGAAGAGACAGATTTAAACGTAAACACATCCGTTCGGAGGACTAAACGCTCTTTTTTTTTGTCCCCCACCCCCGCGGCGACAAATTCCACATTGGATGGTTCCTAACAAGACAAGAGTCCATGAATCAATTCAACTGGAAAAACTTTTTTTTTTTTTTTTGGCATAAGATGACAAACACATTGGAAACCCTAAGAAGGACTCTTTAATCAAGCTAACTATAATAAACAAAGAATATTTTTTCTTGATGTCAATTAAACTTAAAAAGAATTCATGAAAAAGAAGCTCAACTTAGAAAAGAACAAATTAAGAAATAAATCCATGTGGCCATCTATATATATATATATATAATATTATGTGAAATAATCAACAGAAAAAGAGAATGAAAGTAGGGGGTTGTGGTGGTTATCATGACAACAACTCCTGAAGAAGGTATAGCACTTTTCATAGGCATCTCTTCTTTGCAACTAGCAAGTATATATGTATTCATCAAACCCATGAAATGCAATATTCTAGGCTTATTTTGCAAGCTCTGGTTATATCACCCGACATGTGATATAAAGTTACAATTATCAGGTGAAAAATATATATCCACCTTCAATAATGAACTTATTGGACCAGTTGGTTGAAGACATTCTTTCCTTAATGCCTCAAAAAAAAAAAAATAAAATAAAATAAAAATAAAAATAAAAAAGGAAAAGGAGAGGAGGGTGTAGGCCCCACTATCATAACTCATGTGTATATATATATATATATATATTTAATAGACCAGGGTCATCACTTCTACCACTTGAATTTTTTATTTGTGTCAAAAAATAAAATATATATATATATATATACACACACACACACACAAGGGATTGTTTTGAGACTCTAATTGACACCAATAACACCAATGTTCATGCATTAAATCCTATTGTATTAGAAGATAACACTTCTTTATGGTTTGTTAGCAGTATATAAACTTAAGCTAACATACTAAGAGCCCTGTTTGGTACGCATTTTGTTTGTAGTATTTTTGTTTTTATTGGTACTATAACAGTGAATAGTAGAAAAAACGTGTTTCGTAAAAAATGTTTTGTTTTGCATAGTGCCAAAACACTACACAAAATACTTAAATAACATTTTTAAACTAACCATTATATTTTTTAAACTTACAAGACTATTTTATCAAATATGTTTTCATATTTTTACTTCTAAAAATCTTACAATAAATGGCCGTTGTCAAACATGTTTTTGATTACTATTCAAAACGCTCTACAACCAAACAAGACTTGTTTTATTTTAAGTCATAACAAAACGTGAACCAAACAAAACAAGGCCTAAGATTTTGACTTGTTTAGGATGTCCCCCAAAAATATTCGTTTGTTAGTTTTTAGAAGTTGAATGAAGTCTCCTAGAATATATGCCTTGTGATATAGAGAATTTTGAATGATTTGATATTTATATTAAAACATTAGACAGCAAGTTTTGTTTTTCAATTTCATAAAAGCCCTTCAATTTTAAATGAATAAAAGCACCAGATCACTGTATTTTGTTGAAATACATTTCAAATCTTGTTAAGGTACCTTAGAGCAAGCCAAACTCAATATCAAAATACTCCCAATAGGTTTATAAAAATTGATAAAAAAAACCTAAAAATCATCATCATCATCATCATCATCATCTTGGAAGGTCATTCAAGGAAACTGGACCAGATTTCATAGAAAATTAAGATGGTCAAATTGGCAAAAAAAGCTTACGGGATTCTTTTTCCCCCAAATAATTTAAAATAAAAACGGATAAATTCCGTTGATAAATTTCAGTGGGCAGGCTCAAACAAACTGAAGCCATCCTGAAACTAAATAATAACTGGATACAAACAGCATAAATTTCATTTTCACACTTCGAAACCAAATTGTAACAAACTCACAGGGTATGCATAAGCCCCACCAAGAACAAACTTGTTTCATATCCATATGGTCCCAATGTAAATATGCCTGGAGCACAATCTTAGAACTCATTTTTTTTTAATTAAAAATAAAAATATGGGGTTTTTAGTACCTGAACTTCGGTCCCAAACTACTCTCGAGGTCCCGGAGTCTCAAGATTAGATGCAGCTGGTTGTCTGGTCACAGCACTCAAGATGTCAGCATAACCCACAACACCAACCAAAACATCATCATTTTCGGGTTGAGTCACCCACACGTGTGTTGCCCGGTGAGAGAGCATCTGAGCCATGACTGCAGCTACTGAACTCGTAACCTTACATGTCAAGGGTGCACTTCTACCCCTATACATGCTCCTACCGGCACCAGTACTGAGGCTAGCTGCGGTGCTAAAGAATCCAATGCTTCGACTACTGAATTTTCTTAGCCTTGTTGAGCCACCCCCATTAACCAAGTTATTGTCTCCAACCCTTGGACTAACCATGAGATCAGGTAGCGTCCTTGAGGTCACATTATCCTCAACCCCCATTACAAACTGTCCCGCTGAGAGATTGACCAGGGCCCATGCAGCAGCCAAATAGTCACATTTCCATAGTTTACAAGCTGAGATCTCTCCAATAATCTTAAACTGGCCATCTGATAATGCCTCCACAACAGCAACTGCACTGGGGTCCCGGGGAAGCTTTTTAGTAGCTTCTATGGCTGGGAGGGAGGCATCAATGAAGCAGTAGTCGGGGTTGATAGCTCCGAGGGAAGAGATGGATGACAGAGGGAGGGGAGCCAATGCACCCAGGCAACCAATGAGGAAACGTATGATATCTTCTCTTGACAGACAACAAAACCTGTCAGGAGTGGAAGTTGTAGATGATGACGAGGGATAATTAGTGTTGGGAGCGAAGCTGTCCAGGTGCTTGAGCCACTTGCCATTGTAGAGAATTGAGAATCGCTTGCTCATACCTTTCCAACCGACACTTTTAGGAACAAGGACACGCTTCACACCCTGCTTCATCATCTCCAGTGCATCTATCAATCTTGCAAATTAATGAAAAGATTAGGATTGATTCCACCAAAAAAAAAAAAAACCGATGCCTACAAAAGACAACGGATGCAGATATCACTGTATTTTTATTCTTCACTCTTCTTTCTAAGGAAAAGAGATAAAGTGAGGTATGATGACATGGGATGCGTGCAGTGCATTCTCATTTCTTTCCCTCGGAAATATAATATTACAACAAATGTCTGAGGTGCAATAAACTTCATATATTTCATATTAATTAGAGAAACAAATGAATCCAAAATTTTACATTTCAAAAGTTCAAAGATCCAATCATACCTTCAGTGTTTACCAACTTGCACAAAGCTACTGAAGTGGCTTTGCCTTTGCAACAAGTTCCTGCTACGGTGCTACCAATTCCATCTAACATATTAGTCAGTCAAGTCAACCCCAATTCACAATTCATTTCTATCTATAGTAACAGAAGAAGGAACTTGAAACCTCACAGGTGGAACACTTCAGTCAAATTTAATTACCTTCAATGAAAGGAGATCTACTATTCCATGTTTATAGCCCAAAAATCTGATGAATAAGGTTCAAGTCATACATATACAACTGTTGGAGAAATCAATATAATAGCTTTTCTCCATCTCAGTCAAAACCCAAAGGCTAGCAAGACAGTTCGGTAAAATTTCAAATACCTTCACCCACTTATCACTTAAAAGGATGATCTACTCCTCCACATTTATTGCCCCAAAAATGTGATGAATAGGGTTCAAAGCATGTCATATAGAACTGTCATAGACAAGATAGCAAAATTGAGCTAATAGCATTTCACTTTCCCAGTATACCATTTCTATGGAAGAGGAAGAATATGTTAAAGACTAAATTTTTAGCTTCTTGAAGTTATAGGAAGAACCACAAAGGGTTGTAGTGCAGTGGTATCTCCTCAACCTCCCGAAGTGAAAGGTTGAGAGTTCAAGTCTCCATAAGGGCAAAATAAGTGTGTGTTATTTCCCCGGACAAACCCCCCCCCCCCCCCCCCCCCCCCCCCCCTTCTTCCCAAAAAAAAACCAGGAAGCATCAATCCCCAGAGCAGAGTCATGTGGTCTCAGATCATTAGAATACATCATTATGATTTTTTGAAGGCATCAAAAGAAAACTAACTCCTACTATTGTAGTCCTAGCTTTGTAAGCAGAAGAAAACTTTTTTTATTTTTCCAAAAAAAAAAAAAAAAAAAAAAAGAGAAAAAAGAAAGGAAGGATCTATGAACCTTCTGTTTTTCACATTCACAAATGTGAAACAAACCTAATTCAACTCGAACTTGATCCTTGTCTACTAACTCACTGACCATAAAACTTATTGCTAATCCCAAAGTGCAATACAACCACAATATCCAACATAATAAACCTTAAAATCAGGGACCAGCTTTTGCAAAGAACACTCTGCACGTGTAGGCATGATAATTAGCGGTAATTTAATTGGATACCACTACATTCCCCCCACCCCCCCCCCCCCCCCCCCCCCTCCTCTCTCTCTCTCTCCAAAAAACAAAAACAAAAAATATAACAAAAAACAAAACCCATCACCCCGCCATACTGGCAAGTAACTCACACCCACTTTGTCCCCATGCAGACATGAACCCTCGACCTTCCACTTTGGGAGGTCAAGGCGATACCACTGGGCTATAGCCCTTGGTAAATTAAGTGAAAATTAAAGCATAAATTGCAATATTCTAACACGATGGTTGCAGGATGCCTTGCTCAACCACAATTTACAGCAAAGATGTCATACTATAGTATTAACTTTACCAGTAATGTCGAGGAGTTTATGTAGCTTCACTCTAAACCCCTGCCACATCAACTCATCATAATTTCCTAATATTGGCTAGGGAATGTGTAAGAATCTAATTTCATTGTTAATTTAACCAAGACTTTTTCCTTTTGCCACTTGAACTTTGAAGACAGCTTCTTGAAATTCAATTGATCAACAACTATGAAACTTCACATCTATGCATCCAGAGTGCATTCCTCTCATGCAGCATATTGGAATGTGTCTGATGCAATGCATAAGAGGCTCATGAATGAGCATAGTCAAAGAAGACAAAAAAATTGAAGAATTGACAAAATATGAAGTATGTGATTGATTCACACCAAAAACTGAGAGAGATTGGTTTTGAGATGCCTTCTCAGGATCTTGAGGGGGTGGGGGGAATGGTGCTGGTTTTAATTTAAATTTTGTTTTTTAGTTTTCACTTTAGTTGAGTATTTTTTGGGTTATAAAATTTTTGTCTAAGATATAGTATAGGCCCATTAGTTGCTACATAGTAGATGGGTTTATTTCAGTTAATGAAAATTTTTGTGAGGCTTTTGGACGCTTTCTAATACATTCTTACTTCTCAAAAAAGTTTTAAAAAGAAAAAAAAAAAAATTGCTGTGAGGATTAGGTGAGTTTAGCCTAACTTTACAAGTCAATTTCAAGTTCCTGAATTCAAATTTCAAGGAAAATTACTACAAAAGCCTATAAAATGATGGTGTATTGTTTCAGATTAACAAAGATCAGTTTTTGATAGTTCCCAGTAGAAGCTTAGCATATAAAATAATGGTTAGTTGTTTCAAATTAACAAAGATCAGTTTGGAGAATTTCCCAGTAGAAGCTCTTTCTGGATTGTGTGATCCAATCCTAGCCCTAGGCATTATGCCTAAAGGATTTTACCATAGCAAAGTAAATGAATAAGCAAACAGGATTTATAATGAGATGATTCACATTCAATGCCAGAAAGTAGGGAACAAAAAGGGAGGAGAATAGGTGAGCTAAGGAGGGAAAGTGAGTGAGAGAGAGAGAGAGAGAGAAGGCCAGAATATGCTAAAAGAGGAAAGACAACACAGGAAATATTCGGCCCCTACAACAGGATATGTGCTGCTATTTATAGAGAGATGGGCACGTGTCCTGCAGGTGACATTCCACATGTCATAACAAGGATGCGACACATGTTCCCCTTTCAGCATACTTTGGGTCCGATCGTGGATACCCCTTTCCACCTAAGGACCTGGCAGGTCCCGCCCAAACAAGCCATTCTTTCAATCCTTCATGCCTCAACAAACCCTCCTTCCCACTTGGGCCTTGACGTTTCCACAACTAGTGTTACATTATGGCCGCTTCGGATCATGGCATTGCGCACTATGCCAACCTATGGTCTGCACTTAGTTTCAAAAGAGTTTTCCGGAGTGGGTTGGAATCGTACCCGGTATACCATCATGCCCCAACCAACCAAGGGAAACTGCTCGTGAACCAAGGTTCAGCTCAGCTGTCCCAGGGGACGCAACCCTGGGCGAAGGGGCCCCAATAAGATGTTGCGCCCCGTACTGACTTCACCAGACAATCTATGTGATTGTCTAGGTGATATCAGCAAAACAAGTATGTGCTGCATGACCCTCTTCCTTGTTTTCTAAATTCTTCCTCCATCGCATCCTTTAGAAACGGGGTCAAAGAATAAGTTTCTTAGACATACCTGTAAGAGGGACTCTTCATTGAGTCCGTGGAGACTAGCATCCATAGTCTCCATCTGTTAGCTATGCTTGGTCCCATGAAGGACCCAAGGTGGTTATTCACGGGCCTGTTATGGCACTCATGGATTTTCTATTACCTTCCACAGCTGAGATGCCTTCCATTGATGCTGCTCCATCTGAGTCACTGGTGGAGCTGCCATCTTGGTCGTAGATGGTGCATGTTTCAGAGTATCTTCCCTTTACAACCACCAACTCCTTTGTAAGAAAAATTCATTATTCAAATCACAACCATCCATTATTAATCCGAATCCCTACTTTTAGAACTCTATCCCTCTCTCCAGTCTAAAGCTTTTATTGCTTCAAAACTCCAAAGTTGCTCCCCAGATTTTCCAGCAACTTATCAATCCTGAATCCTGAGTCTGGTCTAGCCTTTTCCCATCCATAAAGCCTAATACATTTTTCCAAGCTTTTAAACCCTAATCCTTAAAGTTGTCCATAACCATAGTTCATCAAATATGAAATTCACAAACAGCATTATCAAATTATTATCCTACATTAGCATACTAAGTCTGTCTTCAACCATCTACTAGCCCACTCATTTGCAAAAATAAATGAATTTTACAAACAACATACATTATTGTCTGGAATTCAGTACTAGAGTAACAGCTTTCATTGTTACAGTGCACAAATTTGATATTCCAACCATTTCAGACAGCAACCTGAATTCATTGAGCCACGCTCTTGTTTAAGTTTTCTCCAAATTATATTTCAACCTCAGGTGTTGGTGTGGAAACTGTAACTGTAGGGTATGAAATGCTTTGTTAAAATGAGTGAATAAGGTATCAAATTCTCCCTCAGTGAAATCCATGGAAGCTGACGAGATGAAGCCATACAAAGACCCTGAAGCATTGTCATATTCCCTCTTTTGGAGAGTGCAAGATAAACGTCCACCATTTGAGCCACTTCTTTTCAGTGGCATCAAGTGATGCTGAGGAACAAAGGAATCCCTCAAATCTTGTCTGGCTGGGAGATTACGCCAAACAGTATAGCAGAGGAAAGTAGAGGACTGGGCAGCCTGGCCATGTCACAAATCCAGATTATTTCCTCCTCCTCCTCTTCCTCCTCCTCACAAAGGAATCCCTCAAATCTTGTCTGGCTGGGAGATTACGTCAAACAGTATAGCAGAGGAAAGTAGAGGACTGGGCAGCCTGGCCATGTCACAAATCCAGATTATTTCTTCCTCCTCCTCCACCTCCTGCTGCTGCTGCTGGTTGCCTTTTTTGTTCTGATTTTTATTGTTAATGAAGGCACATATTGTTCTAAGAAATAGGACTAGAAAGAAAGAGGGAGGATGTCTGATCCTTGACATTAGGTCTTCCATAGTGAGATGCTTCAGTCGAGTAAAGTGAGGAGAGGTAGGTTTCTGAAAGTTGAACACCCGGACAAATTCTCATATGTGAAATAGACCTAAAGGGAGTCAACAGCTCCTTTGTTTGATCAAAAAATTTATTCTTTAAGACGACATCTTTAAAAATAAAAAATAAAAAAACAAAAACAAACAAATAAAACAAAACAGGAAAAACCCCCAAGTACAGAGCATGATAAATTGCCTAGTGAATACAAGTCAGCATTCAGTTTCTTCAACAAGTTGGCATCATGCACCTACAGATTTGGGTAAAAGTACATTTAGACAATTTCTCAATTCTATAACCAATCACCTAAAGTATGCTTAATGCTAATGGATGCAACCAGTTTTAACTTTCTGTTTGGCCCACTGATAGTATGCCATAAGGATCAGCACTTTCCAGAGCCTCGTTGAATAAAATTGTAGGTAACTTGATCTTCACGATGCAAATTTCGCATTATCTAAAATAGAATTATGTGATATTTGTCGTTTTGATAAAGCCTTTAAAACACATCCCCAACACAAATCTGAGGCGTCAAATAACGTTGTTAACAAGATTAGATTGAACACCTCCGATTAACGGCTGTGATGGAATCGGAGCCGGTTGTTTATTCACTAACGTAAGTATGCTTCCTTTTTCCCTGTGAAGGAGCAAAGATAATTTTCAGTTTGATGTTAGTGGATTCTTCGGGATGAGAAGTAAAATTTAACATAAAAACTTCTTCATCGCTGAAATTGATTGGGAAAAAGATTTTTCTTTAACTCACATTAATTAGGTTTTTTGATGGTTATTTTATTCCTCGAAAAGATGTTCGAATCAACCAAACTCGCCTAGCAAAAATCTTCAGCAAGTTTGATTGTAAATTGAGGATCTAGACAATCCAAGTCCATCCTATACTAAAAAGGATGACTTAAACAAGTATCCAATAGCCCAACACGGCACTTATCTTGATCTTACACACAACATACCGTATAAAGATCATTTGAAAACTATTAATGAGTGGGCACAATCACTAGCCATCCTCATCAATAACTATAAAGCCGTTTGGAACAAAGAGCGTTTTCTTGACTACATAGCAGCAATCCTTCAAGGCAGTGCGCTAGGATGGTTAAGACAGTGGGATCAATCTCCTAAAGGAAAAGAGCAAAAAACCGCCCTTTTAACCAATTTTAATGAATTCGACGGAATACTTCATAAATTTGTTAAAATCCTTAAGGAAGAAGAATGTGGTCAGTCAAGAGACACCCTCTAGACTGAAGATGCAAATTTCACATTATCTAAAATAGAATTATGTGATATTTGAAACTTCAGAACAGCTCAATCTAAACCAGTGAACATGTCTCTTGCTTTTTCAAGAAGACAGATTCTGTTGATTTTTGCAAAAATATTGTTTGGAAAATTATTGGTAAATTTCAAATTATCTGATCTTTATCCTCCTGATCCAGATCCATCTCAGAAAGTAGATGAAACATCTACTTCTTCTTCCACAATAAAGGTAAAAAGCCTTTAGTATGGAACTGAAGATATACTTGTAATTCATGATAAACCATCAAAGAATTACAACAAAGATGAGTACCAACAACATTTTGTAACTGGTATCAGAGCTTAGAATACTACTATTGTAAGTTCTCTTTACATATATTACACTTCTATTTCAGTATCCCTTATTGTGCTTGTTCACTGTTATAAATCGCATATGCTTGATTTCTGTTTTAAAGCCCATATCTTCCTTGTTTAGCCATTGTCAGTAAGACAGTTTAAGCTTGAAAAAGTAATCTCTGGTCTTAGGCACCTAAACAGAATTAAGAGGTCTTACGAACCAATAAAAGTAATCACATGGCACAAGCACGAGCTGCTTTTGTAGACTGTATACGTAACATAGTAGGTAACGACCCAAATCTGCACACACACCGTGCACATTTTGAAACTTCAGAACAGCTCAATCTAAACCAGAATGGTGCTAGTATAAACTTTGTAATCGACATGGTTAATGATTGGAATAACAAGTTCCAGAATAACTTACATACATCAAACACTCAAATAGAGTCGTCTCTTGATGATATGCAAAAAGCTATGGTGCTTCTTAATGAGAAGTTACATCTACTAACTCAACTCATAGATCTCGCAGATAACATGGAGACCAAGGATAAAATCAACCAGATGATTTTTGATATAGAAAAACGATGCCAAACTCAATACAATACATCTGTTTAAATAGGAAAAGAAAAGTGATTTTTACTATTTGGTGAATAGTAAAAAAAGTTTACTGTTCATGAATAGTGTTCAGATAAGATCGAATCTGCTTTTACTGTTCATGAATAGTATCTCAAGGACTTGAAAGTTTATTGAAAAACTGGCTTAACCAGCGTGCTGTGCTAGCAACTGGTAGGAGATGAAAATACGAAATAAATCAACATATTTATCAAAACGACAAATATACCGCGACTTTTTAGTTCGAATAAAAAAAGATGTGCATGGTGTTTGTGCAGATTTGGGTCAAAAATATCATTTTCTCTTTTTGGTGGCGAGAAATTTCTATCCAAGATCATCAAATGTCCAATCTGCTGATTTCCTGGGTGAAATCCAGCAAAAACTACAAACCACTTGTTTAATGGTTGTGATGGAGTTGGAGCTGGTTGTTCATTTTTCCATTTAAATAGATACATTGTATTAAATTGGCATCATTTTTCTAAAGTTACTTACTACTTTCTCTCTCTTTCTTGTAATATCTCTCAGTCTTTTCGAGCCACGACCCTTCGACTCAATAATTGAACCAAAACTCTTGAGATGGACTGATCTTGAAATACCAAGAAATTGGTTATTTGAAGATATCAATAAAGATAAGAACATTGAAATAGCGGAACCAACAGTTACCACTATTCAAGCCTCCGGAAGCAATCTCTATATAAAAAATATATAGATGGAGAGGAACTGGCACTCTCTCTATTGAGTATACATCTTAAATGTTCATTATTCTAGGTTTAGAAAGTAATTTTTTCAATTCAAGTCAGCAGATTAAAAAGATTTGCCAACACTCAGGCATGATAGAGATCATGCCAAGGTCAGAATCTCACAGTCCAGTGGAAAAAGCCCAAATCCTGTTGTATGACAGTCTTCATTAGCCTGGATAGGTCCTCAGTAAATCTCGCTACAGATGTTTCTTTGTGTCAAGAAGAGCCAGTAGACCAACAATAACAAGAAGAAAAAATAACAAAAAAGGCTATTACTAGTATAGGTACACATAATTAGTCATTGACAAACCAGATTCACAAAACACCTCAGCTTCCACAACCACAATTATAAACATTAGGACCACATAGTCACATATTCCCACAAATAGAAATATCAACACTAGGACAGTAGGACCATAAATTCCCACAAAATTCAACATATGCAGTAAACGATAATATAAAAAACAACAACATTATTTAATATAAGGATAAAAAAAATAATAATAATAAAATAAAAATTATGAATATAATGAATTCAAAAAATAACTGAACTTCCACAACCACAAAGATAAGCAACAGAAACTAAAATGAATATTGTTCTTTCCAAATTCAAAATCCGCTTCCACGAGGACCACGACCACCAATATAAACATTACGACCACATATTCCAACAAATAGATATATCAACACTAGGACCATATATTCCCACAAATCCAACTTGTGCAGTGAATCATAATATCAAAAAAAAAACAACATCGTTTACTATAAGGATAAGAACAAAATATTTGATCAATAAGATTAATATAATGAATTCTAGAAACAATTGAACTTCCACAATCACAAAGATGGGCAACAGAAACTAAAATGAACAATATTCTTTCCAAATTACAATATCCTCGAATTTCATATATAAAAAAACAAAATGTCCCTAACCCAACAGGATAACATAAACCATATTATTATAGACTATGATATTACATCTACATAAAAGATAAATTCAAAAAACAACTAAACTAAACTTCTACAGCCACAAATATTAACTACAGAACCAACAATAATCACTATCCTTGCCAAGTATAATATCATCATGATTCATATAGAAAAATTAAGTAAATGTCCCTAACCAAACATTATCAATCATATTAGCATAGAATATCGTATTATATATATATATATATATATATATATATATAACAATCAAAGTAAAAGAGCTAACCTTGTAGCAGGATCAACCACTTTGAGCAAAAAATTGTTGGGAACCACAGCTTCTGAGACTGGAGTCTTCATGGCCTTATCCTGATCCTCCAAAAACCCATCTTTAGCCAAGAAAGTGATGATATCTAGCGAATTGAGGATGCCCACAAATCTCTGTTGCCTCATCTCCGCATTCTCAAGAACACCCTTGTTTGATCTCTTCCTCCAAATGGGTATCCCACCTTCGGTCGATTCTCCGATTGCCCGAATCGCCGCCTCCACCGTCTCCGTCTCCGCGAACTCCACAAGCTCCGGCTTCCCCACCGTCAGATCCCCGACCACATGGTACAAAAACACTGATGCCATGTCTTCTGTAGCTCAATTTCAGTAAAGGGTCTAAAATTTATTGGGTTTTCTTGGTGATCAAATTGAGATTTGGTGGGTTTTGAACCGAGGGCTATAAGAGGGAGTGAAGGAAGATGAGGAGGAGGTGAAAACCGGTAATGGGTAATCTGTGAAGTGTTGTCAGGTAGAGAGAGATCGGTGTCGTGAAGTCGGTGTGGGAGAGAGAATTGGCCATAGAGTAGGAAGGTGAAGTCCCATGAAAGGTTGTGCTTTTGCGAGTGTGTGTTTCGAAATCTCTCTAGCGGTTGATTTCTGTTAGAATTTCATGCTGGAAGGGCGGAGAGAGAGTCCTAGAGAGAGAGTCAATAGCTGGATGATGAATAGTGGGGAGGAGATCAAATTATTGAAATATTGGTTTTTGTTTAACGATGAAGGGCAAATTGGGCAAATCAATCCGACAGCATTATTTTCATTATTATTAGTATTATTATTATTTTGGGTAATACTTATTTTTATTTTTATTCATTCTGGATTATTTCATGCATTATATTAGTAAGGGAAACAAATATTTTATTTCTTTTATTTTTCATTATGGATGCTTCCACCCATTTTCAGTCAGGAAACCGGAGTATTATTTCCCATCCCATATTAAAGGTTATTAAAAGTTTTTAAAGAATATGTAATTAATGCCTGATCCATTTTTAAAATCATCAATTTATTTTTTTTTAATTTAAATAGTATTTAGAACCGTCTGAAATTAATGTGTCGATGACTGGAGCCGGGAAGGAGCCTTGTTGGGCAATGCTTCAAACTGGAGTATTACTTTCCATTCCATATTAAAGGTTCATATTTGGTATTAAAAGTTTTTAAAGAATATGTAATTAATGTCTGATCTATTTTTAAAATTATCAATTTATTTTTTAAAATATAATATGTATATTACAGATGGAATTTTTTTGAAAATTTAAAGAATAATAATAAAAAGATAATATTAAGTTTCTTTTTGATATTTTTAAAGAAATAATTATTTTAAAATATTTTTAAAAGAAAAGATGAAATACTAATAAAAAATAAATATAAATAGGATTTTATGTCTTTATTCATTTGTTGAATTTCATATGATATTGTGTATACTTCAAAATGACATTCTTTTTAATGCTTTAGGAACTTTTGCGCAATAATTACCTCTTCCAGAATTTCTTGTATTGTTGAATAGGAGTGAGTGACAATCTAATCATTTATAACACTTTTATATTTAATAAATGAATCTTTTTGTATGTCACATCAATCACATATTTGATGACAATTTATGTAACGTGTATATATGTGTTTTTAGCTTTATTACGTTGAAAAATTAGATCTCACTCTGATCTGACTCACATTAAATGACTACAATCTTATCACCACTCCGCGACAATTATTTTTATGTGAAAGTCGACAATTGTGATGACATCACCTACCATCTTAAGAATTAACTTTAAACCTAACAAAAATAAATAAAGTGAAAATGGCCCCACTTGCATCCAACAGCTTAGATGAAGTTTGTCCAATTTGAATACGTGGCTTAATAAGAGCATGACAAGTGTTCTTGAACACTATTCAACTTTAAGTTGGGTATTACTTAACTTAAATGGGTTTGACCCGACTCATTTGTGTTTTTTTGGGCTTTGCTTTGCCTTCAGACGATTGCTCCCTTTCCTCTCTCTCCAGCAATGCCCTAGTTTTCTGTCTCTGTTTCACAAGCGCGACACACACATACAACTCTCGAGAAGAGACTAAAACAAGAAGAAGAAGCCAATTGAGTTTCATCAGATGCGCTTTAGGGTATGTTTGGATAGTATTAGTTATGAGAGAAAAGAAAAGAAAAGAAATGATAGTATTAGTGAGAAAAGAAAAGAAATGATAGTAATAATTTCTATTTGTGTTTGGATAGGGAGAAAAGAAAAGAAGTGATAGTTATTTTTATTTGGATAAGATAGAGGAGAGAAGAAAAGAAAGGATAATAGATAAATTACTTTTTTACCCTTTCATAATCATGGGACTTGAATGGAATAATAAATCTGTGTATTGATTTGTGGAGGCTAATTTTGGTATTATCAAAATACCACTAAAATCACTATCCTTTCTCTCTTGATCTCTCCCTATCTTCTCAATTTTGAGGAGAAAGCAAATAAGAGATAAGGGGGATAGCTATCCCTCCCCTATCTCTCCTTATCCCTCCCTATCCCTGCACTTAAGTTACCCAAACACAAACTTACACTATCCTCTCTTTTCTTTTCTCTCCCTATCCCTCCAAATCAACCCTACCAAACACACCCTTAGTCTCTTATTTGCTGCTTTCTATTTAGCATCCACATTGATCTCAACCAACAAAGAATGAAACCAGAGATGGAAACAAGAGAGAGAGATGAGATTTCTAATATACCCAATTTGAATTCTATGCAATTCTCGGCACTAATTTCCTCAAATCTCACATGGGTCGTCTTCTTCATCTTCATCAATTTTTTCTCACTCTCATAGTCCGATCCTCAAATCTCCCAGGCCAGCCTCTTCTGTGGCAACTCCACACCGCCACCAAACGTCCCAATCTTTGTCAAAGAAATGGAAGTTCTCTCACAACTCGTAACCACCCATCACTAGGGCACTGCAGGAGAGAGAGCAAAGGGAGCGATGTTCTGAAAATAAATAAATAAAAATTAAAATTAAAAAAAAAAAAAAAAAAAATTGTTTTGCCGGGTCAAATTCGGATAATACTCAACTTAAGTTGAATAGTGCTAAGAACACTTGTCATGCTTTTATTAGGCTACGTATTCAGGTTGAACCAACTTCATTTTCCCAATATAAATGAAAGGTGTGAATACAAGAAATATTTCTATAATATTAAAATTTTGTTGGTCGCTATCACTTGAAAATGATTAAATGAATGAAGAACATGAGTGAAATAATTAATAAGAACATGGGATATGTCAGGCCCTTTAAATAACACTGCCTAAATGAATGAAGAACATGAGTGAAATAAATATTGAGAACATGGGATATGTCAGGCCCTTTAAATAACACTGCCTATATATCTTCTATCTCTGAGTTGTTTCTAACTTATATAGTGGCATTCACATTTTAGTGTGTCCAAAGATATACACGTATTTTATAATAATAACAATAAAGTGTCCAACAATATATTAAATTGAAGCAATGCAGTTGGAGCAGGTTGATGGATCCTAGCTACTACAGACATTAGCAGGCGAGACATCTCTCTGAACTGTACTATTAGAGATGAAAATTTGGATTGTTGGGATTGTGATAGAAGAAGATGTTAGCATTTTTTGTTAATCAAATTTACCTTTTTTCAGTTAGACTTGGAGTAGAAAATTGCTCTGCAACATTGCTTCAGAACTTTGATGTCAGTTATAAGAGGTGACAAAATTTGACACGACGTGTTAATATGATTCGAACACGATACAGGATAAACAAATTTAGGTTTATTTTAAATGGATTAACACGTTTAATTGATCAAGGAGTAAAAAAAAAAATGAATATAATATTATATGCATCACCATACTTACCAGGTTTTGAGCTAAAAAAGTCCAAACTAACCATACATGTTGTTCAAAATCGGGTAAGAATGCTTAGTTTGGCGAATATTCGGCTTGTTGTTGATTACCGGCTTAGTTCCAACATTTTACCGGCTTTGTTCCGAATCTTTTTAATTTCTCGTATGGATCACCCAGATGTCTCACAGTGTTGTTCCGACCCATTTCTCGGCTTTGTTCCGACTCATTTCCCGGCTTTGTTCCGACCTTTCAGATGCTTAATTTTTGATCCACCATCGTTTTCAAATTTTCATTTCCAAATTTAAGTTGGCTTCAAGAAACCCATCTTCAGTTTGCGGAAAAATATTGAAATATATATTTTATATATTATACACATATATTATATTCGTTTTTCTTTTCTCTTCTCTTTGATTTATTCCTTTTGTCTGCAACTTTATTTCCTATATATTGTGTATCAAAATAATATAAACACATCAAGAAATACAAACAATAAGATAAATGTAGTTTCAGTAATTCTTAATTCATGGATGAAGGTCTTAATGCCGAACCATATATATGTTGTGTTCTTAATATTTCTTTATTTCATATTCTTATTTTACATCATATATTTTCGCATCATAAATTTAACACTAACAACCTCTGTCAGTCTGTCACATACTTCAAGTCATGCAAGACTTGCATATGAAGAGGGTACAAACTTGCACTACAACACAAGGAAACAAATAAAAGACATGGAGACTTCTTTAACCAATAACATCTTCAAACCAACTCAACACGTTAATTTGAACAAGTACCAATTATCCCAAATATCGATTAAGCTATTGAAAAATGGATTAACAGTGTATATCAAGCTCACGGTATTTTCTTGCGTTGAATGAGAGTGATGTAAGATCCAGTTAAATATATCCATGAAATGAGGAGTCTTTTGACTCTCCATTTCGTTCACTCTTTGATTATTATTACTCTATTTATATATTTATTTTTGGTGTGAATGCGCAGAGGGGGGAGGCATATTGGTCTTCTCAAATCAGGGAAAATTAAATTGGATTTGAGACTTGTAATTGTTGTCTTTCATGTATGACTATGTTTTTTAAATTGGATTTAAGACTTGTAATTGTCTTTTATTTTGTGATTGCATTTATACTTGTACTTATAAGCAGTGTAGTAATATAAACTATGACACAGCAAAGCTTTGCATCTCATGCTCTTCCTCAAACTGATCAGTCTTTTCAAAGGCAAAGGTCTTGTCAAAGCCACAGGAAGCTCGTGTCACCAAGTGAACATTTTTTGTTTTTTTGGAAATTTAAGCATATTTATAAATAAAAAAGAAATAATTAGCATGAGTGGGCCGGTTGGCCGAAAACAATCCAAATGAAGGAAAACAAAGACCAAATAAGGCCCAACAAGGGAAAGGCCCAGGACCAATTTCCAACCTAATGACCAAGTGAACATCCAAACAACGATTCAATGCTTCTGCTTCAACTAAAAATTATTATATGGTCCATCAATTATTAATTAACACGTGTAAAAATTACTATGTATTGTATAGTCCTAGGTTGTGACTGTTTTTGTAGTCTGTTTGTTTTAATTATTGCAATAGTTATGTCTGATGTTTTAAATTGAATGGTACTGTTGCTAACATTTGATATTTTTATTCGTATTATATGAAAGTTTAATACAATATGTTTCAAACCCAGTTTATTAATTTCACTTATGCCCTTTTAGATTTGACTAAATATTACATTCAAACACTTTTCGAAAATTACTACTACTCATATTATAAACGTTTGATCCGTTTTTTATTCACAATCCAAAAATTTTAATTGATGCCAATAATTGTAAAAGTTTTGCCCTTTGATTAGGTAAAAATAGTTTTTAAAAAGAAAAAAAAAAAAAAAAAAGTTGACATTTTTTAAACTCTTGAGTTTGGATGGCAAGGAAAAAAATTTTTGAGAGAAAAGTAATTTTTTCATAATTTATAAAAGAAAATTTATGAAAAATACATTAATTTACAATACTTTTATTTCTTTTTTATAAATTTCATACAAATCATAATTTATCATAATTTTCTTGAAAAATTCTGCATTCTAATCAAACGCATTTTTTAATTTTTCTTTCATTGACTTCACTTTTTTTTACTAAACCTAAAGATTTTTAAAATTGAAAATATACCCTTTCTAATTTTAGAAAAATTAAAAATTGGGTTGAATTTTAAAAATATTTTTGGTGACACTAAATTTCCTTTGCGCACACAGAATTATTGAGCTGATTTGTACAAAAGTGGGAACGTGGCCCGTGTTGATAGGCTCTGAGAAAGGTGTTGCAGAATCGCATACGTAAGAAAAAGATGGAAAGGTAAAGTTTAAGAAAGAATTCAACAAAGAAAAGAAAAGTAGTTCACTTTATACACTGAGAGCTTTGTAGACTGAGCTTTAATGGCGACAATTTGTGTTCTTATCAAAAGGGAATGTTGGTTTTCCTGTACCATCAACATACACTCACATAGTTGCAGGTATTGATGCTTTCACCCACTGTTGTTCTCTCTCTAAAACACTCACATTTTCTCACTCTAACCCATCATTCATCCATGGAAGAAGGATGGGTTTTAGCTTCTCAGACCTGTAAAATCCCTAATTTACTGTTTATCTCACTGTTATGGGTGATGCTGTTGTGTTTATCAAAACCCTTTTCTGTTTATGCTGTTTCTGTGTATAATGCATATGATGTGCTTGAGATTGGTCCTGATGTTTATGCACAAGATAGGGCTTCACTTTTGTTGTTCAAGTCAAAGCTCAAAGACCCAAATCAAAGCTTGTCAAGCTGGGGTGTTAATGGGTCTAAATGCAGTAACTGGACAGGACTCACATGCTTTAACCTAACTGGTCATGTCATGTCCCTCAACCTCACTCACATGAACTTGTCAGGCCAAGTTCATCCCAGTTTGTGCAACCTCTCATCTCTTGAAACCCTAGTTTTGTCACACAACAACTTTAGTGGTTCAATTTTGCCTTGTTTTGGGGCATTTAAGAACCTAAAAACCCTAAATCTTAGCCATAACATGTTTAGTGGTGTTGTTCCAAACACACTCATGGGGCTTAAGAAGCTGAGTGTGCTTGCTCTCAATGCTAACAAAGATTTGAATGGTGTTGTTCCACCCTGGATTGGGAATTTCTCCACCACACTTGAAAAACTCTATTTGGGTTTCAATTCGTTTTACGGAGAGATTCCCGAGAGCTTGTTTTACTTGAAGTCACTCAAACATTTGGATTTATCCCATAATTCTTTGACTGGAAATCTTTGCGATTTTTATCAATCTTTGGTTCATCTCAATTTGGAGTCGAATTTTCTTTCGGGTACTTTACCTTGCTTTATGGAATCCCACAAATCGCTTTCAATTCTCAATTTAGCTAACAACTCTATTGTGGGAGGAATTCCCAGTTGTATTTCATCTCTTCGAGCACTAACCCAACTTAATCTGTCATTCAATGGGTTGAAATATGGGATTTCTCCAAGACTTGTGTTCTCGGATAAACTCAATGTCTTGGACTTGAGTTTCAATGATTTATCTGGGCGTCTTCCGAGTAAAATTGCCGAGACATCTGAGAAGTCAGGGCTTGTTCTTCTTGACCTATCACACAACCAATTCTTAGGTGAAATTCCCACAACAATTACAGAGTTGAAAAGCTTGCAGGCATTGTTTCTTTCCCACAATTCTCTTACTGGTGAGATCCCGGGGAGGATTGGGAATTTGACCTATCTCCAAGTGATTGATCTGTCTTACAATTCATTATCAGGGTCGATTCCGTTGAACATTGTTGGTTGCTTCCAGCTACAAGCATTGGTACTAAATAACAACAATCTTTCTGGTCAAATTCAGCCAGAGCTTGATGCCTTAGATGGCTTGAAGATACTTGATGTGAGCAACAACAAGATTTCTGGCGAGATCCCTCTGACTTTGGCAGGCTGTAAATCGTTGGAGGTTGTGGATTTCAGCTCTAACAATCTGTCAGGAGCTCTGAATGATGCAATTACAAAATGGTCGAACCTCAGGTTTCTTTCTCTTGCTCGGAACAAGTTCAGTGCAGCTCTACCCAGTTGGCTCTTCTCCTTTCAAGCAATCCAAACAATGGACCTCTCTGGCAACAGGTTCTCTGGCTATATACCAAACGGTAACTTCAATATTAGTTTAAATTTCAACAATGGTGACATTAGCAGAACAACCCTGAGAGAGCCATTGGCAGCACTGCAAAATATAGAGATAAAATTCTCCGTCATTGTTGCTAATAACAATGAATTGAGCTTCAATTATGATCTTTCTTCAATGCTTGGAATTGATTTATCTGATAATTTGCTACACGGGGAGATTCCACAGGGGCTGTTTGAATTACATGGTTTAGAGTACCTGAATTTATCTTACAATTTTCTTGATGGTCGAATTCCAGCGAGTTTGGAGAAGATGTCGAGTTTAAGAGCCTTGGACTTGTCACACAATTCATTATCGGGTCAGATCCCTGGGAACATGTCTGGCCTCGGAAATTTGGCACTCTTGAATCTGTCCTATAACTGTTTCTCTGGAGTTGTCCCCAACAAGCAAGGTTTTTGGAGGTTTCCGGGAGCATTTGCTGGTAATCCGGACTTGTGTGTGGAATCCTCTGTTGAAGGGTGTCGGACGAAAAACGTTCCAGCAGTGCCAGGGAAGACGTTTGAAGAAGAAATGGAGGGACCGGTTTCAGTTTGGGTGTTCTGTGTAAGTGCTTTTGTTAGTTTCTACTTTGGTGTTGTTGCTCTCTTTTGCTCTGCTCGAACAAGACAATACATTCTCCAAACAAAAGTTTAATGGTGTATAGGTATGAAAATGAAAACCTACCACTGTACAATCCAATTTCTCTTTTTATTGCCTAGTTTTCTTGTCAAAATTAAGTTCATTTTTCTCTGTATGAGAGGATGTGCTTCTCTCAAATTCTCTCCTGTTTGCTAATATGTATAACATCAGTAAAAAACATTTTCTCGGTAACAAGATGCTGATCAGATTGCATAACTAGTACAGAGAACACCCCCAAACCCCACACACACAACCTTCAATAGGCAGAATCCCCTTCTTGCTGCAAACTGGGCACATATTATGAAGTACGGAGGCAATGAGTTGAAGCCTATTAGCCTCCCTCGTAGACAAGATATTCTAAGTAGTAGTCATCTCATCAGCATAAACCCCCGAAATGAGGTATTTTTCTCCATATGAGGGGAATTTGGTTGTAACTTTGAAATGCATGTCGCCCCCTTTAAATAGGAAAGTATTTCTGCGAATGAATTTTGCTTGAGTTTCCATTGAGCTCGAGTTTCCATTGAGGACATGAGACATGAAGTAAACACGTTTATGTCTTCGTATATAATCTGATTTTTCAGTTCTATAGTACTTGATTCTTATACCTCAATTCAATGTAATGCTGCAGTTATGCATATACTGTTGCTCTTCACTACTAACAGGTTGTCTTCCAAACATTTCAATGGTAAAAGGAAAATGATATACTAATTGGGGACTTGAATTCACCGACTCTTAACCGACTGATGACATGACTTCTCTCTCTTTTTCTTGTTGCAACAATTTCTCTCCTCTCTGTATTTTTCTTTCCTCATCTCGGAACTCTCCCTCTCTCTTTCTTCTGTACAGAACACTCTCAACTGTAGCAATTTCTCTCATATCCCTATTTCTCTCTCCTTATCTGCAACAATTTCTTTTTTCTCATCTGCAGCATATCTCTTCCTATCCAACCTCCGCTGCCAACGGCTTCACCGACTCCTAAACCCTAAACCTGCAATGTTATGCAATTTTTTCTTTCCATGATCCTCTTCTTTTTGTTTCTGGACTCGGCTGACCTAATGTGCAAATACTCCCTCTCAATACTGAAAAGGCAACAAAAGATCAGCAGTAACTCAAATGCACCACTCTTTCCTCCTAATAATTTGACTCAGCCAGACAGCCACCCATGAACCCCGTTCTGCGCCATGAGATTCCTACACCACAATCGTATGCAGCCCATTGGTTCACTGCATTCATTCGAAAGAATGTCCCATTCCGATCTGAAATCACCTTCAAACATCAACTTGTTTCGACTCGTCCACAAAAATTCCAAGATATATAAGCAATCAGACTCCAAGATTCATCACTAATTTAAGAGCTTCCCCACTTCTTGTTGTTGGACAAGACAAATAATTAGCTTTGATTATTATAACAATTAATAAATACTTATCAAAGTAAATAGATTGATATTAATGATCCAAGTACATATCTATATAAATATATTATAGCAATTAACAAATACTTATCAAAATACACACACGCACACACACATATCTAATATACACAATTTGTTATATATGTACGGGTCCAACATTTTAGAGCCGCAGTCTGATGTATATACAAGAGGTACACAATTTATTATATATAGCTTATGTATATCAAATTGGTGATTGAAACTTTAATAGCCTAACAAAGATACCTAATTGAGATGTGAAACCCTAGATCAGAACTTGACTCGCATTAGGAGAAAAGAGCAGGGCAATTTTCCAAATAGTTTATTACCTCATATTTTCATACGGGTTTCATTATATTTGACACATGGACAACCAAATAGACGAGGCGAAGGAGTCAGTTTTTATTTGAAAGGCTAAAAAGTTGAGTCTGAGTTGGCTCAATCCCCAATAAAATTACATTTATTTTTCCTAGTTAATAAAATTACAATTATATAAGAGAACTTGATAGAAAATTGATTAGCAGCAACAATTCAAAAATCAAGAACTGTATTGCCAGCAATTTTCCAGCATGGTCATTGTAGAAGCAGGCCCGGCTAAATCACAACTGCAATGTCTCCACTTAGGCCCAGAAATTTGTTGGTCAGCACCAAGATAGCTTCTAAGAGTAGGGTTTCAGATGGAGAAAAGCCAAAGTTTGGACGAACCGTTTAACTCTTTTCGGTGCATCTCTCTGAAAACTCTCCATCGGCACCAGAAGATCCGCAAACAAACATGGACTCTAATATACCATGGTAGTAACATATGTGCTAATATCTAATTGGCCCATCCAAGCTCCCAGATGCAAACTGAAAACAAAAACAGAATTATATATAACTGACTAGAATCAATGCTGAGTCTAAATAAATCATGCAAGAAAAGGCAAGAAAAATGATCATTTAAAACTTAATCCTGTAGTGAGTGAGAATGATGATGAGAGATTTTTAAAAGGTCGAACCATCTTGAAAAGAAAAATCAATGTAAAATAAAAATAAAAATAAGTTCTGCCAAGCTTACTAGTCTTGATAGTTTTACAACAAATGAATAACAAAAGAAAAAAACCACAACTCAAATTGAATTGGTGTGCTGAGAGTCAAGACCTCAAAATTTTCATTGAGCATAATAACCTTTCAAAATCAAACATTTGGAACACTATAGGTTACATTAAGAAAATTATTTTCTCAATACTATTACAATGCATGGAATTAGGTTTCACACTTCCTTTTACAGAATAAGTGGAAAGATGTAATCTAGCACCAAACCTAATCCAGAAAAGCTTCTTTTTCTTTATAAATTAATCCAGAAAAGCAAATAATGAATGACCTTAATATAACAAAAATACTGACAAATTTTAAATCCTATTATCAAAATTTTAGGGTAATTTAGAATCAATTTGGTTGATGAAACCGAATTATAACCAAATTTTCAGGTTTCAGAAACAGTTCAGTCATTACCTGCTGAACAATAGGATTTGTTGATGAGGTGAATTCATGAGTCATTCCTTGCCATACAACCTTTCCCTCGTAGAGAAATAACAACCTAGACAAATCAAATTTGATTTTTGTTTAGGTACATACAAAGCAGCAACACACTTTCCAAGACCTCTGGTCAAATAAAGATAAGTATACACACACACACACACACATTCAAGAACTGCAAAATGTTTTGGAAATAGCAGTACCTATCAACAGCTCTTCTGATGGTACTATGCTGATGGGTGACAACAACATAAGATGCAATCTGCCCAGGCTTCCCAAGTGCATCTTCTTCACCTTTCGAGTGAACAGAGCGAATGAGATCTTCAACTACAGTAGATGCAATAGGATCAAGTCCAGCTGTTGGTTCGTCATACAAAAGCACCTGATGAGGAGGTGCAGAACAATCATCAGAGAGAATTCAACAATTTACTAGTTGTACCCAATCACATTTATACGTGTGTATGGTTGTACTACCAAAACCAGTGCAAGAATCAATTATAGTGGAAATATTTATGAAGCCTTTAAGCTTCAATACCATGTTCTAGACTCTAAAATCTCTAATGCATTTCATCCTTGAAAGTTTTGATTCCAGCCTTACACGGGCTTTATGGGATGGAGGGGTGATATTCTAATCGGTTATGGGGGTTCCAAAATTAAACGGGGGCGGTTATGGGGAATGGGATCCACACCCCAAACCGCCCTGTTGCCATCCCTACACACCATCCCTAGTATACTCTCTATAGGCAAGAATTGCAAGAATGATGAAGGAATAGTTGATTTGTCTAGTTATGGGAAAGTTGTGGACTGTTCTCTTTTCACTCTTTGCTATGCAGTTGGTCTTTCACAGTTGTAAAATGAATGGATGCTATGGTGAATAGGAGAGTTCTTCCAGTTTAGCAGGTAGCTCCTTGTCTATAATGGTACCTTTGGATGGATAAGTCTTTAAGACTGTTGAGGTTTTTATTTTGAATTTAAGTATATTCTTTTAATTACTTCGACGTTTTGGACTGTAGGGAAATCTTCTCTATTGAAAGACGTATAATTTGTGAGTACATACATGGGTCAGAACCCATTGGTGCTCTGTATTGAACTTTTTAGTACCAAAAAAATCCATATATTTTTTACCATAACGGTATTTTCTAGTCAAAACCTTATACCCACTACCAAAAACCCCCCCACAGAAACATATAAAAACAATTGATAAATAAAATCGTAGAAGAGGTGCATCTCAATATAGAGGTACAACACACCCAAAAACAGATCTAATAGAGGCAAAACAAACAAAGGACTTGAATTGGGAAGTAACTTCGGCCATGCCAAAGCATACTTAACATGCAAGTGCATAGTGACCGACAACCAACAGGACTGACTAAACTAGGAGTGTGCTTGTACCGTAGACTATTCAAATTTTCATTGCCAGAGGGTTGGAAGGAACTACATCCTGGTGTATAGGAGGGAAGTTTGCAACTATTTGCAGTAACTCAATATGGCCTTGGAAGTCCTAGACCAACATAACCAATGGACGCAAATTGGATCTTTAATTACAGAATCAATGGTTGGCATCTACTTTGAAATAATTCCTGGTGTTTGAACTTTCATGGGTTCAACCATCAACCAACCCCAGGCCACAACCAGAAATTTTCTTTTCCCACATATTGTCAGGTTAACTACAAAGCACAGTGTCAACCTAGAACTTCTCTTGCAACCCTACCTAAACAATGCGACAAAGCTAGCTGCCAGATTATTTTAAATGCATGCCACAAGGACACCAGAAGACTCATCCGACAAGACTGACAAACTCGCTTTAAATCATGGAACAAGGGGGAGAGAGACAGAGAGAGAGAGAGAATATTATTTATGAAATTCTACTATCCATTGACAGGAAATCCTAGAAGAGATGCCCAAGCAGATGGTTGAAAGAGAATATCTATAGCTTACCGGCAAGTTAACATACCTCCGGCTCTATTTCATCCCTTGTGGTATCAAAAATTATAGAACGGGCTAATGCAACTCTTTTCTTCATCCCGCCGGATAACTCAGAAGGTAATCGATCCTCAACTCCCTGCACAAAACATAATTCAAGATTTCATGCATCAATACAAGTATCAAATGGTTAGGGTATATACCTATTGAAACTATTATTTTCTTTTCTTTTATTTCCCTTCACAGTTTTCTGTTTTGTGGATGAGTGAATCCTAAGCTCGCAATTGGTTGCTGATTTTAGCAGGAGAAAAAATGGTCAGGCTTAGGCTGGGACTTTAAACCCAAGAATGTGCTACAAGACCCCGCAAAATTCAGTCAGATAGCTAACACATTCACACAATTTCCGAAAAAGGGAGAAGAACGACCCAGAACTCAATTATTTCATATTTTTATACTAAAAATGAACCTGACTGATTACTAAAACCAAAACCAAACAGATTCTTTCCCTGGTTCTTCACTAATTTTCAAATGATTGAAGAGAATGTAATATATACCTAGCAAAGGATATTCATAAACTGATAAATATTATTACACTGACTGTAAACCATTGGACTGAAGCATACACTCCCATAAACCATTGGACTCAAACACACACTCCCATATGGTCATGGGATAACTCATATATTTCCTTTTCTCAGACTTTGGGTCGAGCGCTATTATATTGTGGTCTAGACCCCTGTAAAGCAAACCAAATGTGACCTGGGTAACTAATGGATCCTCATTTCAAGTTTTCAACCATACCTTCAATCCAACGGCAGCCAATGTTTCTGCCACAAGCTCCGCAATTTGATCCTCAGGCATGCTCGAATTCTCATACCTGTACAATTCAAGAAAAAGGGCCTAATCTTTGGATTTTATGGAATTTACTAAAATAAATAAATGAATTCAATCAAATTATAATTACTCAGTTTCAGGAAAAATATAAAAGGATGCATCAAATAATATACAGAAGCTAGAGTAGAGTCTCTTACAAAAGGAAACCAACATTTTCACGAACAGTTAAAGAGTCAAAGAGAGCTGCACTCTGAAAAACCTGTTATCAAAAGGGGAAAAAATAAAAAAAGAAAAACGAGACAATGTCTCAGATCATCACCAACAAGATAAACCCAGGACTATTAACAATATGTGTAAGTTACAATTTACCAAGCCAATTCGAAGGCCAGATATCTCCTCATCACTGATTAAACCAAGTCTCCTTCTTCCTCGAATGAAAACCTCTCCCTGCTCACAAAATAACATAGTTTATACAAGAGAGCCCAAAAGGTAATCAAGTAATAACCTGTTTTAAGCTTATTATTGTGCCAACCAAAACAATTACGCAAACATAAGGTCCATAAAATATATTTGAGAATAAATACCTTGTCTGGTGCAAGAAGACCAGCCATTATCTTCAAAATAGTAGATTTCCCAGTGCCAGAAGGCCCAATTATTCCAACAGCTTCCCCATGCCTAATCTACACATTGGGGATAAAATTTCAAAGATGAAAGAGCAAATAAATTATACACCAGATAACTGAAAGTTGGGGGAGATATCATGCACGTAGGTTAATCAGATAATCAAATTATACATGTTGTTCTAGTAACATGATTATTTTTAATCCTCTCTTTTTTTTCTTTTTTTGACAAGTACAACACAAGTGTTCCAACTAGGGCTTGAAGCCTGCACCTTATACTGATGGGATGGCAGGAGATACCAAGCTTGAGAACTGGTGATATTCTAAATGACATTATAAGTTGCAGCATTGCTTGTTTTGTTGAAGAATGACATCTACAATGAGCATTAATCATTGCATAATTAGAACCATGTAACACATGTACAAGGCAGAACACCTGAGAACCTGAAGTTAGACAAAGCCTGACCACAACTTTCCCAATACTACGATTTCTACTGATCTTAACTGAGTTTTATTCTCCCTATTGATGTTATTTTTGACTATCAATTTAGATGATACCACACAAACACTGCCACAACCAGAGCTCAAGTAACATCGTAAATGTTACTCCATGACAATTACATTTTACCACCATCACTACCTCCACCACTAATGCACCTTCAAACAGCCTTGATTACCACCACAGAAGAAGAAGAAAGAGAAGAGAAATGTGTAAAGGCTTGAATGAGATTAATAATATGCTTGAATGAGGCTTAAACACTCATTCACAACTCTGGTATTTATATACTAAAAAGAGCACATGTTAATATTACAACAAAGGAAACTGAATAAAATCATTGCATGTTCTATGCCTAGACATATGCGTAAATAAAGTCAGTCCCCATGACTCTAGCTCATCATATCTCGGCTAGTATGGTAAGTTACATCCGTGATGCTAGCGTATCATATCTCGGCTAACAGCAACCATGACGATCATATCTGCCGTAAGCTTACACTATCAGCCACAACTGTAATGACTGAATTTGGAAGCTACGGGAGGTATGTCTGGGTTGATTCAAATTCTCAGTCTCTTCAGGTTTCTTTCATCGATCATAACCCAATCAAGGACAAAAATTTCAGGACCATTTCTCCACCAGTTGATGCTTCTCAGGCTCGGCAAAAAATCTAGTAGCATGCCAGAACCTTCATCGAATTGCTTATTGGATTTGATGTCTCTGGACATGCTGTAAATTCTCAAATACAGTCACCATGTCCCAGACAGTTCTGATTTCCCAGGACGCAACCATGCTATAATATCTGCAGTTGTTGGGTCCTCCCCACACCATATTGGAAACCCTTTCAGCAGCGTCAGATAAAATTCCTTTTAAGGATTTTCTCCCTAGAAATCCGAAGTGTGAAATTGTTTGAAAACTTTTCCTTTAGATCATGAAATTTATTGCAGAGATGTCATTCCTCTATTTTCTGATAGGAACTTGATTATTTTCTAATTGCAACCCTCATTAAGCTGTTGCCCTCTGGCTAGCAATAGGTCACTGCCTCCTAAGTTAAGAGTTGCTGGTGCGAAGGAAAAAAAAAATTAAAAAATTGTCAAACCTCAGATTGAATCTTTTTCTTTTGATTGTTGATTTTGCTATCCCAAGTCAAACTTGGTCAATATGCTAGCAAGCATCTCTGTGTGGATTATTTTGTGGCTGATATCAAAGATACATTTAAATTTACAAAATAAATTGAAAACATTGTAAGAAATAAAAAAGGCTAAGTCTTTAGCCAATTCAACTTGAGGTCTATGGTTCAATCCCTCTAAGGTGCAGAATATATACAAATATTTTCAACTCCCGGTAGGACCTCTTTTACAATTATATTTTATTTTACCTCTACCTTTTACTTATCAAAAATAAAAAAGGAACAGCTAATAAATGGGAATAAAAAACACAAGATGTACCCTCCATTTACGTGAAAAATACTCACACTTTGAGATCTGACTATGAAAAATACTCCCATTAAAGAGCAGAAATAAATGCTTTAACTTCTGAATTCTATAGATAATATATCTCTGTTGAAGGAGATAAAAGAAAGTATAATTAAAAAATTTCTTTGATTCCTAATGTAACATTGTAATATTCTTATTATAATTTATTGAAATGTATTATCTCCGTGGATGTAGGTTGAGTATGGCCAAACCACGTAAAATATTATGTTATTATGTGTGCTTTTTTGTGAGTTGCTTTTGCTGTGCCGAATGAAGGGGTATATTTCCCAAGAAGTGGTATCAAAGCCAAAGGTTCCGTCGGGGAAAGTTTGTCAAGAGCTGAAGGTTCGTCCTCAAAATTCAACAGTTGTTAATAGGGACCCATAAAACACAATAAAAAGAAGGACGATTGAGCTATTCATCTTCAGATAAGGTGGAGAATTTTTGCCAAGGTGTAGAATTGTTGGGGATGTCTCAAATTCTTATTGGGTTGGGTTTTATGTTGTATTGGTATGGGGATGTGTTGCTAGACTTGGGCCCAAAGTTATTCTGCTTAAGCCCCAAGTAGTTGATTTCCTTGCCCAATAAGTATTTGTATTACTTGTTCACCAAGCTAGGGTTAGGAACTCTATATAAATAGAGAGGGAGATGAATGGAGAAGGTAGAAAAGAAAAAAAGAATAGTGGAGCAAGTGAAAAGAGAAGAGAGTGGGTGGGTGCAAAGGGGCACCAAGGGTTTAGAGATGCAGCTTCATAGAATTTGGTGAGTGTGTGGAAGTAGAGATGATGAGTGAGCGGATAGAACACCGATGGCGAGGAGTGGAACACCGTGAAAGGCTCGAGTATCCAACACCATACCTTGGGCAGAGAGAGTGTGTACACGGTTAGGTGTTCAAAGCCTCCACTGGTGTAATTTCTCATGAGGCAGTTATGGAGTGGGAATTCTCTACAGTTGTATATTTTCTTCTTAATTCATTATAGTGAAATTTCTTCTCTCCGTGGAAGTAGATTGAGCTCAGCCTAACCACAGAAAATATTGTGTTATTATGTGTGCTTGTTTGTGACTTGCCTCCGCCGTATTAAAAGGGGTATACTTCCCAACACTTCATAACATATTGTACCATTGACACTGTAAGATATTGACAACTATGATAAGGCTAATCCTCCTCAGCTGTTGTTGTTATTGATCAATCATTGTCACTGTGTTTTTTATTTTTTCAGAAAATAAAATGCTACTCCTAGTAGCAAAATGGTTTGACTTTGACATTAATACTAATAGGCAGTTTCTCAGTAGCAGGTAAATTGTAATGACCATAGGACAAATAACAAAACAAAGATAGAAATGGAAGGTCGAAATGGGGGAAGTAAAGAAAAGGCGGTTCATCTGAACGAGATGGAGGCTCAATCAAACCTCCCCTATATATAGTAGAATGACGAGAGTGCAAGAAGAAAGGGGGAAAAGGGAAGGAAAGAGAGAGAAAGGGGAGGGACAGAAAGAAGGAAAAGGAAATGAAGGGAAAGGAAAAAGGAAAAGGAAGAAAGAAAAGAAGAAAAGGTAAGGATTTCTCCACCTAATTCTGTCTTCCTTGCTCATTACTTTTACATATTATACATATAAAACTAATAAGAAAAAGTACGGATTTCTCTGCCTAATTCTGTCTTCCTTGCTCATTACTCAAACATATTATACACAAAAAATAGAGTCAATTCTGTTGTTTTGCATGTTTAGGTACTTTATACGTAGTAAATCGGAATGTTAACATGGTATGCATAATACATGCCCATTCTCAAACATATTGCATGATCAGAATGTGAAATGAAGAGGGCGGACCCTGGCGGTTGGCGCAACGGTAAGGGTGCTCCATTGTGACCTACAAGTCATGGGTTTGAAACAGAAAATAGCCTCTTCCCATCCAAAGGTAAGGCTATATATATATCTGACCCTCCCTAGACCCTGCAATAGCGGGACCCTCGTGCACTAGGCTAGCCCGGGACCCTCGTGCACTAGGCTAGCCCTCTTTTCATTAGACCGCGAAATGAGATTCTGAAAAACTGGGAAATGGAGTAATTGATAGAATTATGCGTGGTATAACAAGTATCAGCGGAGTTTGCATGAAATTATAAGTAGCATTAGGTGTGATAGAATAATGAATCATGTTTTAAATGACTGTGTTATTAAGTTATTGTACAAGTATGGGATTGAAATGAAAGGAAAATTATAGAATTCTTGAAACTGGTTGGTTCCTCTGAAAGAAGGTGTCACTCAATTGAACCGAGCTGGATAATTAGGGATGATTTGGCAGTTGTGCGTTCATACGAGCTACCATCTCGACTGGACGAGGTTACTAAAACTTGATAAAACAGGACAGCTAGACACTACTGGAATGGGGAACTGGATAGCATGCACTACACAAATTTTGATGCAATCAAACATGATGATTATGATGATGTGCTGTGAAGTCATTGTACTCTACTGATTCTATTTGAGATGTTGCGTTAAACTAATATCTGTGATAACAACTGGTTTTGTTTTGATGTTTGTCGTGCCATAGCAGTTACGTTGAACTGTTGTTTATAAAGTTATAGCTGCATGGAACACTCACTTCCAGATAAGGTGATTTGACTACCTTTCCACTTTATGCAAATATAAGGACCACATGACCAAGAGCGAGAGGAATATAAGAATTGACCAGGCCCATTCGAACATGGGTGGCGACAGTAACAGACAATGAGAAACAGCAGAGAAACTAACATTCAGACTCAGTAACCATGCCACAAGCAATTATAAACAGAAAATGATTAGCAATTGACATAGTAAAAGAAAAATTAAATGCTCTCTTTAGGACATTTACCGCAGTTGTTCCTCCTCATACCAACTGCAGTTCAGTATAGTTCTAATTGGTCCTAATAGAACATATTTCAATCTAGTCATATAACTAAGATCAGGATATTTAAGTTTTCAGTATTTGTTTGATAAAACAAGTAATCATTTTCAGAAAATTGCCTATCAAGGGTCCAAAAGGTTAATGAGGATATGGACCATTACTTGCTAATCACCTACAAAAGAGAAAATAAAGTAGGTACTTCAGGAAAAAGAAACAAGTGACTATTTCGAGCAGTACTTATTCGAGATCTAGTTATTCAATGGGGGTTTTGCGAAAAAGTATTTGATAGTCATCACGTTGTTATGTCAAACTTCTGACAATTAAATCCCCATTGAAGAGTTTTTTTTCCTCATAATTTCATAATAAATGTCATCAAAGCATTCAAGCAAATGCACAAATGAAAATTTAACAAAATTCACCTTGAAGCTTACACCGCTTAGGATGTGCTTATCCCCAAATGACTTGTACACATCTTTGCACTCAATAAGAACATCAGAATCATCCTTGAGCTCCCGCACTGCGCTCAAAGTTTCTGGATTAGATGGATCCTGGTAACAAAATACAAACAAATAACTCATTAGATATAAATCCTAATTAATTTCTAAATTCGTTTGACCACTATCCTCCAAACCTAAACTGAATTCAGAAAATGGCCCACAAATCCGAGTTAGTCCAAGTGATGAATATGAACCCGCCTCCAAGACAAATGATGGGTTATGTTAGTGGTTGGATGTCATTCAGTTTATCAAATGCCTCTAGCACTTTCATGCTCATGATAACTCCAATATTGAAATTTGAAACCACTTATTGGTAAGTGTGTGATTTGATTATTTTGGTGTATAATCATAGCATTGAGGACCACTTATGCATGTACGCTTTTTTTTCAACACATTGAAGAAAGAACATTTGTATGCTGGCGTAAATAAGTTTATCTTCATAATCAACATATAGGTATTATAGGGCTAGCAGTCTCTTACAAAGGTATTACGGTAGATGAGTACAAGGTAAAGACAATCCTCAAATGGCCCAGGCCTACCTTGGTGCATGACGTGAGAAGTTTCCGTGGTTCGGCAACTTTTTAAAAGCAATTATCCACAAATTTCAGCACCATTACATCTTCACTCACTGATCTCTTCATCACTTTCTAATTGCATGAAGAAAAAGCCTCTTGAGTGGAATTAAGAGGCGGAGAAGAGTTCCCAAATTATCAAGAGGAAATTAACAGAGGTTCTTGCTTTGCCAAATTTGGAAGAGGTACTACAGGTAAATTGCGATGCTTCGGGTGTTGGCATTAGTGTAGTGTAGCCCTTAGTTGACATGAAATTTTATGTTGTTCTTCAAGCCTTTCGACACTGATGGCACTATGTTGCTTATAAGGAAAACAAATTATATTCACATCATGAAGCACTTAAGTACCTCAAGCCGATGTAACTTGAGTTCAAGGCATACTAATAACAGCGAGCTACTTGCAACAATTTACCTTTACAATCAAATTATGTAGTTGGTGTACTGAATAGATGAACTTCTTTGCTTGTTAATATGTGCACACAAGTTCTGGTGGAAGGATTTATATGTGGAAGATCCTTATTTTGTATCAATGTTGGAGGAAATCAAATCTGGACGAAATGTAGATATCTTTTTTGCCTTTTTTTTTTCCTAAATGATTTCGTATTAAAAGATAAAGAGAATAAGGTACCGGATTAAAGTGGAGGCATAGCCCCACTAAACATCACAATGAGAATAAAATAAGTCCACTTCCAATCAAGGTCCGCAGTCGTGGTCACGATGTAACAAAATCAGGCATGTATCGGCGTTATGTAACGGAATCGGTTATCGTAGTCATGAATTTTTTTTTTTTTATCTTGCACGTAGGGTCCAAAATGCACTGATACACAATTTTTTACAACATAATCCAATAAAAATAATTTTTTGTGAATTTTAGTACTAACTTTTATTTAATTTGTGAAGACCATCCAACACAAGTTATGATTTATTAATAAATTTTAAGTGTTGTCATTATTAAACGCTTAATAATTTATATATAATACTAAATGTATGACATAAAATACATAATGTATAAGTATACTAATTAAATGCCTTACATAAATAAAATTTATGAGTATTTTTTAAAAAAAATAATAATAATAATAAGAGGATTGATAAATGTTAATTTTTTTAGTTCAGTTAAGAAATTTTGTAATTACATATTGTATTAAGTACCTTCTTCTAATTATGAAATATAATAGAAGCTGATATTTTAATTTGGCAAGAAATTGAATGGCTTTTTTGTAAAAGCTCAAAGATCTGTATAAAAGAAAGTAACTTTTCATTATACTGCTATTCTCAGATCTGTAATAAAGGGAAAGAAACATTTGTCGTCATTTCCAATACCTGGCTTCCAATACTCACACCTATCTTACCAAGAAACCCTAGCTGCTGCCGAGATTTTTCAGGGCAAATCATCTTCTAAGCTGAATTGAAAATCGAAGAGATTAAATATTTTTCAGAGGTATGCCTAATTGCTTTCCTTCACCTCTTCTTCCTCCTATTAGAAACCTTTTTCTTTTTTTTTTCCTTCCTCCTCTACTTCTCTAGAAACCCTAATTTATTCTTCTTCTTTTTTTATTTATTTATTTATTTTTGCATTTCCACAGCAGAAACCCTTTTTTTCCGCCTAGAAACCCTAATTTTACACGGCTTTTGCTTTGAAATTTTTGCGGTCAAAAGCGGAGCAAATCCCAAGAAAAGTACACAAGGCCACAAAGGACCTAAGCCTTCATAGAGGCCAAAAAGTCAACAATCTCTTCTAAAAATCTATAATCTCTCCTTGAAACCCAACAAAAAAGAGTGGAAAGAATAGAGAATTTATGAATAGAAATCGACTTCTCCTGCCCATTAAAATATCTCTTGTTCCCCTCAAGCCAAATGCACCACCACACACACAGAGGCGTAGCCCTCCAAGCATCCCGAATGAGAGCTCCCACAAAGCAACCACTCCAGGCCTCAATCAACCCTCTAACGGATCTAGGCATGACCCATGGAAACCCAAACAAGCCAATCATCAAATCCCAGCATTCTCTAGCAATGGTGCAGTGTAAGAGGAGATGATCCTCTGTTTCCTCATTGCGAAGGCACATATAGCAACGATTGACCACCACCTGATTTCTCTTCCTCAAGTTATCTTGGGTTAAAATCTTTCCCAGAACAGAGGATAAGGTATAAATCCTGGATGTATTTATTAGTGATACAGCAACAGTACCGGCCGGTTCGTCGCGAATAAGCCGGTAGACATGTGCATACCGGCACTCACTGATATACTGCTAAGTCTCAGTATTGTCACCTTCACAAACCGGTGCGAACCAGGCCGGTGGTTCGTATGGAACCGACCGGTACTACGAACCATGCTTCCAATAGGAAGCAAAAAGAAAAACAAGCAAGCTAAATACTTGCAACCAATTACAGGACATTTCTTTTTATGCCTTTGCTGGTACTTACTTGACCTTGGGTAGCTACTAAAATGGATTTCGTGCTTAGGTTGTCTCTTGCTCAAAGGAAATGTGATTCTGTTATGGTGGTAGCTGGCAGGTTTCCATACCTTATAAGAAGACTACGGATGCCTCCAACATTATTAATCTTTTAAAGAAATTTACTAATTACATGGAACCCGGCATTCCATTGTTTCCAATATAAATATTAACTACTTTATGGAAGAAGATAGGCATGGAGTTTAATTTTAGCACTCCCGTTTAATCGCTAAACAGTTAATAAAAAATTTGTAATGGGCAACAACCAGTCAACCACGATAATTGGAATTTCATTTACCACCTCTTGGGTTTGCTTATAATTTTTCAAGGAGACTAACGACCAATCTCTCCTTTTGAGGTTGACTATGGAGCAAAGCCAAGTAGTGCTCTTGATTTGGCTCCATTTCCTACACATAATAAGGTTAATGTGAAGGCCAAATAAATGGCTGAACTTGTGCAAGAAATTCATGAGAAAGTAAAGCAACAAATTGAGGAATGAATTCTACGTATAAAACTAATGTTGATTCTTACAAAAAAGAATCATGATATTTTAAGTTCGAGATTATGTTTGGACCAAAGAAATGGCTGAACTTGTGCAAGAAATTCATGAGGGTAAAGCAACAAATTGAGGACTGAATGCTACATATAAGACTAATGTTGATTCTTATAAAAAATAATCATGATATTTTAAGTTGGAGTTCCAACCGGGTCGTACAATAAGTTGAGGGATAAGAATATTAGCACATGTGAGGGCATTAAGAAGATTAATGACAATGTCCACCAGCTTAAGATGGCCAGCCATCTGGCACATTAGATGCTTGCAATGTCCAGCACTTATTTCCATACAAGAGATATTCTTATGATGAAAATTCTGGTAGCTCCAGTTCTTTCCAACCTGGGGGGACATGAAGACAAGACAATTCTTTGCGGTAATGGGAGCATACAAAGATGGCAAGGAGTGAAAAAAGGACTAGACAAACCGAATAGAGAAATTCCCATTAGCATCTTCCAGATTTAGCAAATTTTCTGTTTTTCATTTACATTTATTTTTCTTAATAAGACTAATCACGACCAGGGTTGAGTTTTTCTATCGGATGGTTAGGATTGAGTCTATTCTAGTGGGGAAACCGTATGTATTCTTGTCTAACTAGGGTTTATTTTATCATTTGTTTTATTCTGGTTTTACATTTAAATTGCATCAACAGGAGTTTCCTTCCTATGCCCTCCTTGTTCTTCTTGTTTTCATTTTAAATCCAGATGCCACTGATGATTTGATCAGCCTCTCTTGATAAAGCAGTATCATTTGCCTCCAATGAGGTGCTTTTGTCTCTGAATGGGTTCCCCTCTAGTTCCTCTCTAGATGGATTTCTAACCAGCTTTATCCAAACACAATAATAATAATAATAATAATAAGACTAGGTTCCTGTCAGTATGGAGAACTGAAAATGACTAAATTTTAGAAAATAAAAGAAACTATCAAGAAAACGGAAACAACAAGAAAGTGAAAAATTTAATGATCTCAACCCAAAAATTGAAGGAATCAAAGCATGCAGATGAAAAAGGTCAGACTAGCATTGAAAGCAAAACCCAATGTGGCAAATTGGCCAGAAATATGGGCCAACCAAAAGGAACTGGAAAGTGCCCATTGAAATCATATAATTGACAAGCAAAATGCAGAAATTACAGGAAATATAAAACATAAAGCAATACAAAACCATATAATTGAACAATCTCAATACAGAAATTACAGGAAGCAGAGAAAGGAAAAAGATTTACATTGACTTTGGAGGGAGAAAACCCATCGACCGGCCTCAAATCCCGCGGCGGCGCCATACAAGCACAAACAATCTTTCTCTGCCGAGAAGAAGAAAAACACTGGGAAGCCTTTGAAACAGAGACATTGAATCTGGTGGAGCGAGAAGAGCCACTGCACATACTTGGAGGGAATATCACCGAACACATGGAAGACGACATGCTTTTGGACATAATTGTAGCTCTGGGCAATCAAAAAACAAGATTTTGAAGGTGACCCAGATCGATTCGAGAGTCAAAACCCATCCAAATCAATCAAATTTCGTCATCGAAGGCAAAATTAGAAAGTGGGTATTGGGGATTTGGGTCCCCACAAATACAATTTACAAAGATAGTTGGTGTAAAGAAGGCTAAACAAATATAATAACAAAAAAAGATGCTACAGAACTTTTCCTTCTTAGACCATGTGTTCAATGAGAACTTTGTGCGTTGCGTGTCGTTGTTGATGAATTGATTTGACTGTGGGTACTGTTATGAAAACAAAATACTGGTGCTTCCTGATTTGAGGGTTTGGATCCAGAGATTTTTGGGTTGGATTTTCTTGCCCCACCCTGTTATCTTTCGAGTCTTTCGTAAATTGTGAAGTCTTTGTAAATTTTCTTGCCTCTGTTATGATGAGCTGAACTGAACCCAAGGGCTGGTCAAAAAGCCGTCGTTGTAAAAATTGCTTCACCTTACAACCAACAAGTGTGTGATTTAGATTCCTAATTTATCTTTACCCACGAATAAAAGTTTCATTTTCACTTCAACTTCATATTTTACATTGATTTTTTGAAAAACATTTTTTATATTTTTGGTGTTTAGTTGTGATAAAATATTTATGAAAAAAATAAAAAATAACTTAATAAAAATAATTTATTCATCAATTTTCAATAAGTTATTTTATATTTTCTACTCAATGAATTTGACCTCAACCTCAAATTAAACCTTTGTCAAATATCGAAAAATAAAAATAATAATATTTTACCTTAAAAAAATATATTTTCTTAAAAAAATATTTTAAATCAAAACAAATAGAGCCTAAAACAAAATTACTTTAGCTTGGGATATCTTTAAAATGGTACAAAATGTTAAGAAAAGAAAATTAATATTTCTTTATTCTTTTTTTCCTGACAAATACAAACCACCAATAAAAATATTTTGTGAGAAAGCCTAATGGAGAAAAGCCAAACCCTTAGAAAAAATTTAATGTCTAAAAGCATTGAATGAATGCTTAAATTATGCGCATGATTCCGTACTTTTAAACATAACGAAGTAGAAGCTTTTGAATACCTCAAAACCAGAGTTGATGCGAAGACTATAATTTTGAAGGGGGGAATTGGTGTCAAATGCTAGTAGGGAGATTTTGGTGAGAATTGTTCATTCTTCTCTTCCAATTTATTTCCCCCGGTGCTTTATAAATCCAGCTAATGTTTGTGATACCATCTCAAGTATGTTAGCCAACTTTATGTGGAGTGATAAGGAAAAATTTATTAAAATTAATTGGATGAGTTGGACAGGTATGTGCCACCCATTTTTTTTTTTGTGGATTAGGGTTTAGAATATTTCAGCTTTCAACTTGGCTTTGCTCTCTAAGGTGGCATGGAGGCTGGAAAAGGGAGGAACTTCTCCATTCTTCAAGGTTTTTAAGGTTAAATACCATCCCTCTTCAACTTTAATAGATTCTTATTGCAGTCAAAGAGCTTTTGGGTTTGGAAGAGTGTTTGTGTTGCCAAGTCTATTGATGCAAATATTGATATAAGGTGAATATTTGAAGGATAATTAGCTCTCAGATCTCCATAATCAAGCTGTGACTACTCCAAGACCTAATGCTGGATGTGGGAAAGTATCTAACTTAATTAATCAGGACACTCAAATTTGGAAAGTTGGCCGGGTTAGAAGTTTATTCAATCCTAGATATTAAAACATAATTCTAATTTATTATGTAATACAACTCGTCTTCCCTATAAATGAATTATCAAAACATTCATTCACACATTTGTTAACCAGCATTGTATGATCACTACTTCTATAATCACAAAAAATAATCATTTCTAATAAAATCAATTATAAAATTGATTTTAATCATTAAAACTCAATTGTTTAGTAAAACTAAGTCAATTACTCATAACCATACAATCAATGTACATAATCTAGAAAATTTTCCAAAGTTAAGAACAATCAAACCATATTATTCAGCTAGGTTTATATCAATGCCCAATAAAGGATTTAGCTACTCATGGTGAAGGTATAAATCTTCAATTATGTGATTAACGCCAACTCCATGGAGTGCAAATCTGATCAAGATCAACCTTCTTCAAGTTTTGATAATTGAGGATTGCTCCAAGCCGCGAAGTGTATCTCTTATGTGTTCTCTCCCTCTTCAATATGCATTAATTATGACCTATATTTGTCAGCAATAGGCCCAAACTTGTGCTCCAACTTTTGACATAAATTCGTCCCAAGTAGGATTAAATAAGAGCAAAACATAGATTTTCCGGATAGAATAAGAATGCTGCCAAGGGATGGGGGATTTTTTTCACATCATTCTGCCAACTTTTTGGTTGAGTGGGGGATCGATCCCCCAAAGGTGGAAATTGCATTTAGGCCTTATTTATGCTCATTTTGGCTCTGGATAAGCTGGTTTGCTTCTTGATACTCGGGAACATCATTAAAGGCTCAAAAAAGACAGAATTGACCGTTTTTTAATGATAAGCACCTAAAAGTACCCAAACCAAGAAAATGATGTAAGTAATATGAAATAAACATTACTAAGATATTAACATATGCAAATTTAAGGGCTCGATTGTACAATATTCAGGGCTTACATAGTGGAGTATCTCTTGTTCAATATATAATCATTAGTAATATTTTCTCCACCTAAAATAATTTCATAAATCTATACCCTGGATGTTTGCTCTACTACAATTTCATAAATTTATACCCTGGACGTTTGCTCTACCACAAGCAGACATTGTATCAACTATGAATATATCATAAATCTATGCCTTTGGCATTATGTGGATGATGTCCTTTTCAACATATGCCCATGAGTGTATGTTTTTCCACGGCATTTTAATATAGAGCTGATTCTAAACATGGCTGAATTATATTCACTAATAGTTTTATAATCATAAAACCGCAGTTGCATCCATTCATACTGAGCTTTTGGGATGATCACAATATTTTAGATGATCATATATCTCCAAATTTTTGCCACAAAACAAGTGAGTTTTTTTTTATTTTTTATTTTTACCGTGAGGTGTTGAATTTCAATTTCTCATTTTTGTGCAGTCCTTCAAGGACGGTTGATTTCCCCACTTACTTGTAAACTCGATATTCATAAAAGTGGATCTCGTCAAATTTATGAAAAATAATTTGCCTCAATATTAAAAGAACATAATCAAGTCTTTTAAATTTGACATATTTCAAGATATAATAAATGGCAAAATAACACAGTTCATTATCGAATTTGAAGAATGCATAAAAATTCAAAAATAATCAATATGAAATCATTGAAGTGTCACAATCACTATAATATGATTAACTAATAATCTTTCATACGATATATAATTCGTCTATTTTGAAAAATAAATAAGCTTTCTTATGTATAGTGGTGTAATCATATTTATACATATTATTAAGCTTTTAGTGGCGAGTTACCATTAATCATCTGAAGTAATTACTTCTACAGAAGTAAAAAATCATACCATCGTAAACAGTGGTGAACAAATTGAATATATATATATGTACACTAGGAAAAAGCATTTGTTATGCGTGTGATTAAAAATCTATAGCGAGTACTAAAGCAAAAAATTTAAAAATAAAAAATTACTATTTTTATTTTTCTACAAATGCAGAGTTTGTTAAACATTCAACATGTCTTAGTTAATCTGTTTAAGCGTTGATGAATAACTTGCTATTAAAAGTACATAGATATGACATTATGGATATAATATATTTTTGGCATTTCACATTATAAATATAACATAAATTATGGAAACTTGCTGTATGTAATGAATTTCATAATAATGCCAACTAAAAAAAAAACAACTCCTCAGAGGTATCTTTATATTAAGAGAGTTATCTATAGTCTCGAAATATATTTTTATTAAAAAAATATTCTTGATCTTTTTTTTACTTAAATTTTGTTTCTGAAATTACTTCAATGAAAAAATAAAGGAAAAGTACAAATATTTTCTCACTTTAATGTATTGAAAACACACTGATTATAGGAGTATAAGAATCACCTTTTCCATGAATAAAAATTGGAATTGAGATTGTAATATTTTTGAAAAAATGGAGAAATAACATATTTGTTCACTCTTTTTTGTTTAGAGTGACAACACAAATAATTTTTTAAAAACAAACACACACACCCATATCCCACATGTCCTCAATGGGACCTGAACCCTAAATCCTTATTTGGGAAGGACCTCTTTGGGCTAGAATTCTGTTAACGTGTAGGGGAGATTAAAAAATAAATGGATAGTGTATTGAAAAATCATGCAGATATTATCTTCCAAGTTTTCATTTTTTTTAGGAAAATAGACAACATAAAAATATCATTTTGAATAAAATAAATACAATAAAGACAACATAAAAAAAAAAAAAAAAAAATTGAGTTACTAGAATTTTTGTGACAAATTTTTGAAAGAAAAATATCATTTTGAATAAAATAAACATATGCCCCTATAATACAAATACAACAACTATATAGTGCATTTTCTTCTTCAATGTGACTCCTTTGCTCTGCCTTCCTCTGTTCTTCGATTTCCCTGCTGCTACTACCTTCCTACTATGTTTCACAAACGTTTTTATCCTTGAAAACCAAGATTAGAATACACCCTTCAAAAAATTGATATGTATTAGAATACAAGGTTTCAAATGAAATTATCATTCTCTAATAGTAGTAGTTTTCATTTTTGTAGAAAAGTAGACAACATAAAAATATCATTTTGAATAAAATAAACACATGCCCCTATAATACAAATACAACCAACTATATGGTGCATTTTCTTCTTCAAAACGTCCGGACTCACTCAAGAGCTTGACTCCTTTGCTCCGTGCTCCGTTTTCCTCATACGTATTTCATGGAAACCACTTAGAATTAAGATACGTGAAGTTAAAAACCAATTCCGAGCATGAAAAGTGAGATTGTGCAAAAAAGTGTTCTTTGATTCCTCTGCTCCTCCTGCTACCTTCCTATTGTGTTTCACAAACGTTTTAATCCTTCAAAATCAAGAATAGAATACTAACCTTCAAAAAAGGATAAAAAAAAAAATACAAGGTTTCAAATGAAATTATCAGTTTGCAATAGCACTGAACATGTTAAACATACCATCTTCTCTCGATCTTTGAAGTACCCTCATGACCTCTTTTCTATTAAACCATCCACCTCAAGGGTTTGTTCGGTACTTAATATTCTTTGATATATATATATATATATATTAGAATTAGAGAAATGTACAACCGAAGAGTTGTAACAGTTGAAATAAATAAATGATAAAAAATAAAAATAAAACATGCATAAAAAGTGGAGGAGAAAGGACAAATTAAGAGTTGTAACTCTTAAAACAAATAATAGTGAATATAAAAATAATGGACAACTCTAATAAGGAGAAATGGACAACTCAAGAGTTGAGTAGCTCTTGAAATAAATAATAATAGTAAATATAAAAATAACAGACGACACAAAATAAAAGAAATTAAAAAAAAAAAACTCAAGAGATGTAACTCTGCCTTAATAAGAATTTATTAGAAATTTTTGTATTTATAAAAAATAAAAATATTAAAAAATTGAGAGAGGGAATTACACTTTTAGAATAGTATAGATACAGATATGTATCATATAAAAATTGTATGCAAATCAAGAGGTTTAATCACTCAACATGTATATCTTAATTTATTAGAAAATTATAATCTAATAAATGATTCTATAAAAACCTCAACAAAACAATTTGAATCAACAGTTGAATTAATAAAATAAAATAACAAATGTTCAATGGAATTCTCGATCAATTGCAAGTTTATGCATGAATACCTCAACCCAAAAACACCCATATAATTGTGTATATTTCTAATTGAATCATTAAGCAATAAAAGTGGTAAAATTAGCCATATTAAATGAGTTAATTAAATAATAAAGGCGATAAGACCAACTTAAGGAAATAAATCATTAAACTAAAAAAGCAGTCAAACCAGTCATATTTACTATGTATATATATATATATATATATATATATATATATATATATTGTGTGTGTGAGCACATTTATCACTTAGGCGGACAAAACAAATAATGAATAATAAATAAATAAATAAAATTTGTTATACTTCATGCTCAACAATTAATATAAGAATTATAGAAATAAAATTTTATTCTTAATTGTTTTAAGCAAAACAAACAAATTCAACAATTTGTCATAACTAATATCAAAAAAGATATATAGAATTGACACAGAGGAAAAGGGAGCTTCTTAGAATAAAGATCCGTTGATTAGACCTCTCTTATAAATATAAGAACAAAGATCTGTCGACTCAAACTAAGGCAATAAGAGAGAGAACTTTTGAAAAGAGAGAATTTCTTTTATTCATTTTTCTATATCTTACTCCATCCCGGATACATTATATATATATATATATAATATATATATCTATAGCCACCAACCGATCTTGCAGAGTAAGGTATGGAATGCCTTCAATGCAATCACTATAATATTCACGTCTACAATACATTTATTCAATTCCTTGTAGCAAGTTGCATTTGCCCATTCGGAAGATGAGAATTGTATTGAAAAGATAAATGTACACAGGCCAAGGCCCAACAAAACAGAGGCCCAAGTTGCATCTTTCGAAAAAAAGAAAAAAGAAAAAAAAAAAAAAAAAAAAAGGTTGCATTTGCCCATTTCTACGGATGCAATGAATGGCACTGGTGAACAACAGAATAAGTTATCAATGTTGGAGTATTATACAAGTAGTGGACCCCATCACTACAATATATATAACAAAAAAGAAATTTTTAAGTGGACAAAAGTAAAGTACAAGTAGCATCATTTCCTCTTTTCATAGTCTAAAAAGAGGATTTGTGATCCATTTGGGTCGCATATAAATTCGGAATTCAATCAAGCTGACAACAGATGGCTCTACTGTTGAGACCCACTGCTTTCTCTTTACATTTCAAACCCTCAAAAAAATCTGCAAAAATGGCTCTCAATTTCACCAAAACCAACAACCAAAACACCAACAAGACCTCCTCAATCGTTGCCTCCTCTACTGGCAACGACAACAATAACCCCACAAGAAGGCTGCCCATATTGCTCTTCGATGTCATGGACACCCTTGTTCGCGACCCTTTTTACCAAGATATCCCTGCCTTCTTCAGGTATATACATACATATATATATATATATATATATATATATATCATATCGCTCATTCATTTTAGCTCTGAGGTGTTATGTTTTTTTTATGGATTTCTTATATTCTTGAACTTGTGTGTATTTTGAAATTCTTCTACTATACACACACACACACACACACATATATTTTAAAATTTTCCAATGTGTGGTTAATGAGATTATTATTTTTTTTTTTTGAGATTTTTTTTTGAACTTGTGTGTATATATATATTTTTGAGAAAATGCAGGAAAGTAAAAGAATAAGAAATCATAATTTGGGTCTTAAATTTTATTTTTTATTATTCGGGTATTTGCAAAATGAGATTGTAGGTGACTGATTAAAATAAATAAATAATTACCCAATTGCCATGAGTTTTTGGTGCTCCAAAAAAATGACAACCTTCAAATCAATCTTTTATTTATTTATTTTCATTTTCAGTGACCAAATATAGGGCTAAAAGTAATTTCAAACGTGCAGATTGTTGAAGAGAATGTTCTTAAATGACACTCACAATTCATATTTTTAACTCACATTCTTAAACTCCACTTACCTGAAAAAGGGATTTTTTATTTTATTTTATTTTTTCAAAGTGCCCACTTAAGCTGGATCCATTTATCAATCTAAAGGCAAAGCGACTCATCGATAATAATGAGATGACATTATGCAATTTATGCGGGACCATGAATATGTTTGTTGACCACTTTTCATTATTGTTTAGTCGGTTTACTTTGTCGGCTCGAGTAGCATTACTCTTCGAGACAAGGTAATGACATTATAGTTTTTGAAAGCACTCTCACACTTCACAATTATTAAAAAAAACACTCTCGACTACTTTTGTGCGGTAATTGTTTCATTTCAAATTCTTAGGAAAACGAAACGGAGTGAAAGATGTATGTATGGCTTTTTTGGTCTACCATGATGATAATAAATTTTCTAATGGATTCCGGTGTTGGTGCCTTTTCAATTATCTAGTAAGTGGGTGAAATTGAACTGAATAATTTATTAATCACTTGAAGGAAGGTTCAGAATGAACCTCATAGACACGACAAACCTTAATTGCGCACACATATTACAAATATGAGAGAAATTCAAGTATTATACAGGAACTTGAGGTATGAATCAGCTAGTTCCATTGATGATTCGTTCAATAATGTCCCGATCAGAAACCTTACGTCGTAGGTCTTACGGCAACCACTTTGTCTTGGTTTCCACATATGCTGTTCCCATTCAGATTATAGAATATATACTTAACCGAAGCATATGCTGCCTGGTAGCCTTGGATGCATATGCTGCAGTGATCTGCTGGCTGATTTATATACATCTTGTGAACTGAAGTTAGTCTTCCGCCACAATAATGTTACATGATGTCTTTAAATGCTCCAAGAACCCACATCAGGCACAAAACATTTAGGTATGGGTGACATATTTGGTTGGACATGTGTCTAGAGGGCTTATGTGATAGTTTGAGCTCTTTCATTACGTGGTCTTTTTAACTTGTTAATTCAAATGAGTGAGGTTTCTATGTTGAACTTTCTAAGTTGCATAAAATACCATACATGGTATATAATTTATTTCCCTTAATAAATACCATATATAATTGAAGAAGCACATTTAGAAATTTGATATTTTCCCATCTCCTCGTGTCCTTGTATTGAGGATTGATAGATCCGGTTTAGACACATTTTTAAAGTAGTATAAACCAAAAAAACATTAATTTTAATAACACAAAATAAAAATATTTGAACTAGAAATCCCATTAAAATATTATCTAATAGAGCATATGCTATTAAGTTATTATCTAAAACTAAAAATTAGAAGAAATAGAAACAACAAAAATAATACCAAGTTGTTAAAATCCTTGCATAAATAACATATGTCGTTATGCTACTTTTCAAAAAAATATATATATATAGAAGAAAATAAGAGAAATGAATATGGTGGTAAAAACTTACAACTAATATGATATTGTGAGATATATAATAAGATTTTTGTCCATCTGCTTATTCATGAAAGAGTCAGGCTATAATGATAAAATAAAATAAAGCCCCCCAAAAAATCAATAATGCCTCGGATATGATAAACAACACTTAGATTTTGTTGTTCTAATATATAAATCAGTATATCTAAGCTTCCAATTGAGTTTTGGAGCTTTAGAAGAGGTTAGAAAGAAGTAAAAGATGAAGAAATGAGGGAAAAGTAAGGTTGGTGCTGTTAGACCTCAGGTTTTAACAATCTGCAATGGTTGTTAAGGTAATCTTAATAATAGTCATGAGTTTCGTGTCCACTGATATATTAGTGGATTACCAACTCGGTTCCCACTTGTGGCATTACATGACGTAAACAACTGATACGTTCTTTTTTTTTTTTTTTTTTTAAGGTAAATACTCTCACACACACACAAACCAAAAAATGCACACTATGGCTTTACGTAGCATAACAACTGATACTTGATCCAATGGTGAGGCCATTACATAGTATGATCTTTTTAGTTGGGGGTTGTAAGAGGAACAAACATGGACAATAGCTACAAACCTAATATTTGACATTATTTACACAAAATAATTGTAATCGTACTTGAACCCCCATTGTCCAAGCTTTTACTAATGCACCATGTAATGGCCCCTTAGTTCAAATTTGGCATCAAATATCTAAATTTAGTGTGATGCTTGTCTGTCCCTAACATTTTCTTTAGTAACATGGTAAGAGGACAAAGCATCATTTGTGATGCTAATGTAGTCCTGATGGTGTCAAGAGGTAAATCTTGCAGAATTAGTTCCAGCATGTATTGAGATTTTTTTCTTGATTCTTGTAGTTGTTGTAGTACTGGTCCTGCTGAATCATTTCTTGACCTACTACCTTCCAGAATTTTTGTCCATTTTCTATTACCAAATAATTAGTTATGAAATTTTCTTTTATTCGTTTTTTGTTGTATATTCTAATTGATCTTTTGTTCAGAATGTCTTTGAAGGAACTAATAGAATGCAAGCATCCAACTGCATGGATCGAGTTTGAAAAGGGGCTGATCGATGAGGTATACTAGGAAATGGTATGAAAAATTTAAATTTGCTAAGATATTACTACTTAGGAACTTACAGTGGATGAAAATGATTTTAGCAATAAGGCATATTTTATTTGAAATGCTCTTTCTTGAACCTTTTTTTGGACTGCATCAGGATATTCTAAACTTTGCTCTTTCAGCAGTACATTGGCTATTCTGACTTATGGAGTTCTGTTCACTGGCATACTTTGACCTTTCTAACTGATTTCCGATATAAAATATTTCCCACCCTAACCACCTCATTAAGATGGAGGACACATGTCTAAGTGGACCCGTGGGCCCTATTTACACCAGATCTTCTCCCAGTAACTACATCTTGTCACCTACGTCCATAAATTTGGATCACCATATTGTATGAGGAATGTAACTCTATGAGCAGATTCTCAAACCGGACCTGTCGATTCCTTAATTGCCTTGGATCATAGATTCCACCAGCAACATAGTTTCTCTACAATCCGTTAGCCCCTTCTCTAGAAGGGCGCTTGACACTTGATCCTCACCAAAAGTAGCCTTAACCTACTAAAAATGAAAATATATATGTATATATATAAAAGATATTTTAGAGAAAGATAATTACATCTAGTAGCATAACATTGCAATTGATTGCCCTGTAGTTAGGTGGGTTGAATTATTGGCTAAGTTTTCTGTTCACTTTAAATTTTTATTTTTATTTATATATATATATATATATATTTTTTTTTTTTTCTTTCAGATGGAGCTAGCTAGCAAATTTTTTAAAGATGGAAGGCCTTTTGATTTGGCAGGTAGGTGAGATTTCTTCAAGACATTGTACCCCTAAATAACAGTCTTAGTGGTAATTGGAACTTCCTGATGGTGCCTACAATTTATTCTCTCTTTGCATCGGAAAGATGGCTAACATGAATTTGTATGCTCAATTTATTATAGTTAATGATATAATAACCTTATAATCAGAGATGTGAAGTATCTGAGTAGATATTTTATGCTAGCTATGATGCACCTTACATTCCTGTAACAACAAATTGCCTGAGTTCCAACTATATGAGAATATAAAAAGTTAAAGTAAATTACGTATTTTCTCCTTTAATTAGTGGCATTGCTCCTATCATCAATATTACAAGGCAAGTACATGACGTTGGTCTCATCAATCTTGGATTTTAGGAAGGATAAGCTGGTAATGTACCTAATCTCTTGCTTCATTTCCATGAAGTTGCTGCCCTTGAACTTATAGATCAGTGGAAATTCTTACATGTGTGTAGAAGTAGTGATGATTCCTTATTGTCTTACGATTTGCAGTTGGTGTTGCTAAATGGTGTTATGAATCTATTTTTCTATTGGCTTTCCTCCTGATGTGTAGTAACTAATAGTGTTTTCCCTTGCAGGGCTCAAAAAGTGTATGATAAATGGATACTCTTATCTAGAAGGTGTTGAAGGATTGCTTCATGATTTAAAACAAAGCAACTACGAAATGCATACTTTTACAAATTATCCAATCTGGTAAGTTTAAATTGCAAATTTTAACTTAATTTTATTCAATGAATTGACTGGAGTCACTTTTTGAAAATTTTGTTTTGTAGGTATAAAATGATTGAGGACAAATTAAAACTCTCAACTTACTTGTCTTGGACATTCTGTTCATGTATATCTGGTATTTCTATGAATTAACCTTTTTTTTATTTATTTCTATTCTTCTTTTTTGTATTTGCATGTTGTTGTGTATGAAATGCTCACATGAAAGATATTTTTCTGTGAACATACACATATAGAATGTAAAAACTTGCAAATTAAGATGGAGAATTTATGAGGATACCCTTTTAACAAAGATATAGATGTATTGGACTACTCATGCTTATAAAAAATACAACTAGATGAAAAGGACCATTTGCTTTATGATATTAAAGGAGGATCTCTTAATCCATAAGTAGTACTTAAATTTGTGTCATTTATGATTATTAAAACAAATTGAAACGCATATAGAATTTGAAAACTTGCAAATTAAGATGGAGAATTTATGAGGATACCCTTTTAACAAAGATATAGATGTATTGGACTACTTATGCTTATGAAAAATACAACTAGATTAAAAGGACCATTTGCTTTATGATATTAAAGGAGGATCAAGAGATCCGTTAGTTGTACTTAAATTTGTGTCATTTATGATTATTAAAACAAATAGAACCAACATTCTGTTAGGTGTGAAAGGTATTCAGTTGCCACCAGCTCTTAGTCACATCCATTGGCCGTTGTGCCTTGTGCCATAGTTGATAGTTGTCAACTTACTGACTCTCTCAATGTCATTGGTGGGTAAAGCCAATTCCTCATCCCTTTCAGCTGCTAGAATGACACCTAAAAGCAACAGATTTTGTTCACACCATTTCACCGAGGTTCCTGTTCGATGCTAGAAAAAATTTAAATAGGTTCTTTGAGAAAATCTTGGTTATGAGAATACAGTTGCCCTACAAAAAGAAAGCCTTTTAGTCATGCGTTAAATCTTACAGGTTCCTGGCTGCTTGCTGGGATATGATATCTAGGGTAATACATGTGACAACGTGGCTTAACTATGCTAAACTCTGGATAATTGGGGTCAGTTTGATATAACAATAATTTTGTCACATATTTCAGACTTTTTGGCAATTTGGTACCATGCTTTTATTATCATGAAATGTACCATATCATGAATCCAGAGATACATTGAAAATTTTGAAGATAGTTCGAAAAATAGTTTTTATTGGTATAGAACTTTTTAGGTCATTAAGCAGTGCTGGGCCCCCACTTCCATGGAGTGTTGGCCGTTGGGAGGGAAAGACGGGAGACAGACCCAACCTTTAGCATTATTTTGCACAAAGTGGTTGCTTCTAGACTCAAAACCATGTCTTCACAGCTTTTACTATTGTGTCAAGCAGTGGCCCCTTCTAGAGAAAATGTTCGGTACTGTAGGATATAATGATATATGACTTTTTTAGTGAAGTGATCGTGCCATCTAAACAAACAAGGCACTTAACTTATACACCACTGTCTCTTCTGATTTTTTTTTTTTTTTTTGTACATTACATTAACATCATCAAACTTTTATTCATGAAAGTGATCCTGACCTCATGACAAGAAGGCTCTTTTACAATTTTACCATACCAATCTTTCTACCATCTTATCTTTACCAGATACAAGGCTTGTTATCAAAATGGAAACCAAAGCATGGCCAAGAATGAATTTATCAATGTTTAGAATAGTCGAATATTGCTCTTTCCTAACCCTAAGGGTATAGCTTAATAGCAAGGCTCTCACCTCACATCTTGGAAGTTGTGGGAACACACCCTGGGGATTTTTTTCCTGTAATTGCCATATACATGTGGGACGGGATGACTGCATGTATCCGATGGTGGATCATGTGTGCTCTAAAAGGCCCGACACCAACATTGTCAAAGAAAAACTACTACTCTTTACTCTCTCTTTCAAATATTTTTTAAAGCTTTCCAAATGTTGCTTTTTCCTTGGTAAGATATATCATAATGTTCTCAGAACCAACCATCCAGCCACCGTTATTTCCATACTTTGTTTTAATTTCATCTATTTTTAAACAAAACTAACGCTGATTTCCAAAATTTGTTGATATTTGAGAACAACTTTTGTAGATCCGAACAATATTACCAAAATATACATTACCACAATAATTACACTTTGAATGCATTTAAACGTTTCTAATCTTAGTTGCTTTCAATCGTTGACACTTGTGCAATTGATCCTATGTGGGATCAGAAATTCACTTTTTTTTTTTTTTTTCTTCGTTTAGCAACTTTGTAATAGAAATCCAAAAAATAAAAAAAATCCAAACAAAAAACAAAAATCTCACATCGAAGACCAAAGCCCAACAACCATTTCTAACTCAAAATTAGTTAGTTTGAAAGAACAAACATTCCCGAAGAAAGGTTAGCTCGAAATAATATACATTCCTAAAGCCCATAAAATGGCTTTGGAAGTATATTGTGGAGAGAGAGAGAGAAGGGGAGGGGGGTAGTAGTTATTATATTATTATTATTTTTAGAAGGAGGGAAAGGTTAGCTTGAAATGTTTCCTTCATGCATAAGAACATCTGGAAACAAATAGTTTTGATTTGGAAATTAGTAGTGAGAAGAGAAACATCAAATTCCGTGTCTTGAAAAGATTCTAGAGATCTTCAAAGCATTAAAATAGGGAAGATAGACAAAGAATATACATTCCTAAAGCCCGTAAAATGGATTTGGAAGTATATTGTGGATGGGAAAAAACAGGGAATTTTTTTTTTTTTTTTTCTTTTCCCAGCTTATATTATTTTTAGGAGGAGAGAAAGGTTAGCTTGAAATGTTTCCTCATGCATAAGAACATCTGGAAAGAAATAGTTTTGATTTGGAAATTAGTAGTGAGAAGTGAGACATCAAATTCTGTGTCTTGAAAAGAGTTTAGAGATCTTCAAGCATTAAAATAGGGAAGATAGGCAAATAATATACATTCCTAAAGCCCTTAAAATGGATTTGGAAGCATATTGTGGATGGGAAAAAACAGGGAAAAAAAAAATGTTCCTTTTCTTTTCCCAGCTTAACAGGCTACCTATCCAACAAATTGTTTCTGAATCATGAATCTTGTGATGCCCTTTTTGATTCACATAGATTCATTAAGAATTCATACTAGGAATTCCTGTAGCCATTCACATGGAAGAGGAGTCAAAATGAATTCAAATCATAAGGATTTGAATCGCTGACCTTGAGATAACTATTGGTATGACTGTACTTATGTTGGCCACTTGCTTGCGAGTTCTTCTCCCTTCCTTTGGGCTTGGCATTACTGAATGAAGGATAAGACACTTGCATGACATTGGTGGAGTTAAACGAAACAATACATGTCATTGGCAACCCAGGTGGTTAGGAGGGGTGGATGGACTATAACCTAAGCTTTAGTTTCGTATACTTTGAATGCCCTCGGACTTGGACCTTTCTGCTCATGCTTGACAGTCTCAACTTCTCCTGTTGCTTGTTAGCGTTAGTCCTGCCAATGAAATCCTTAGCTACGAGAACAGATGGTTGAAGCCTAGATTCCTATCTACTGACACGGAACGTATTTAGAACCAGCTTTTAGCTATTAAGATCCATCATGGATCAGATCAAATCTTATGGAAACATGGTGCCTCTTCATTCAAATCAGCCTGGAAGAATCTAAGAGTTCATCACCCAAACAGCGGTACAAAGTTTGTTGGAACCAAAGTAGACCTGCAGCATGCTTGAAATCTTGGGCCCTTCAGAATAGGATTCCCTCCCTTTCTAATTTGCAATTGAGGGGTATTTGTCTCACTTCTGTTTGCAGTAACTGTTATAGGGATGAGGATCAAATTGAACACCTATTTTTTGAATGCTCATATGCTTCTAGTGTGTGGAAATCGTTAATGTCTTGCATTGGAATTGGGCGCAAATATCTTCATGGGCACAATTGTTTGGTTCCAGCAAAGTTTTAAGCAGAATTCAAAGAGAACCAGTGGTGCAGGATGTTTTTCTCTTCTGTCATATGGGGTATGTGGCGAACTTGTGGCTGGGTGTGCGTGGGCGGGTGCGAGGCACCAGCAGGCTACGGGTACGGGTGCACAATTCCACATCGCCTGGGTGTGAAAAGGGAAAGTGCTATTTGTGTAGGATTTGTACACTCCAATTGATATGAGGCCTTTTGGGGTAAAACCCAAGAACAAAACCGTGTGGACTCGGGCCCAAAGCGGACAATATCATACCATGTGGTGGAGTAGGTTGTTACAAATGGTATCAGAGCCTGACCCAACTGGAAGTATGGTGGAGTGGGTTGCTACAAATGGTATCAGAGCCTAACCCAGCCGAAAGTGTGGCCAACGAGGACGGGAAATTAGAATTGAGTGTTGTGTTTTAAAGTTTCCGGTGGTTCATTGATGTTTGTATCTCATGCTGGAGGTAGTCCTCAGTATTAGTGTTCTTTTCCTTATTTTCTTTTTAATTTCTGGGTTTTGGAAATGGTCTCTCTCAATTGTTAAGTGATGGTATGCCCCCCTCTCTTGTCCTTGTAGTTCCATTTCTTTGGTTAATACAAGTTTAATTAGGGAAAAAAAAATATACATTCTATCAAATAATGTTGTATAACTATTTTTTGACTAAGGGTTAGGACATTAAAAATGCTTGCAACTTCAACAACAACAACAACAACAACAAAAAAAGAAAAAAAAAAAGAACAAGAACAAGAAGAAGAAAGAAAGAAAAGAAACCCAAAGTTCAATAATAATGAAACAAAGCATCGTAATCTGTATTTGGGCTCCTGATATTTCATATGCCTTTCCACCTCATCATTTTGAGGTTCAGAATTTCTCAGTATATTAGTGGAGTTTTTTTTTCTTTCTTATCCTTTAGGATTGAGATAAAACTTCCCCCCCTTTTTCCTTTCTCGTCTGGTGGGGACTCGATTCATTAACTTCCATTGCTACTTGTCGATTATAATTTAATTGCAATAACATGTCAGGCTGAAATTTACATTAGAAAGCCTTAGGATTTAGACTCTCGTCAATGGGATATAGTTATTATTATTATTTTTTTTACTGTTTCAATCATAATTCCAGTTATTATTATTTTATTGATAAATATAATTTCAGTTATTATTATTATTTGTTTTCCTAAATGCAGGAAAAAGAAAGCCTGAGCCTGATTTTTACTTAGAAGTTCTGAGGCATCTCGACATTGATCCAGCAAGCTGCATCTTCATTGATGACAGGTTTTCCTTATTATTTATATATAGTTTATTATTTTTTTTAAGAGATTGGATAACAATGTTTTTCTCTTTCTTCTAGTTCTAGGAGTTCCAGATTTTATTCTTAATTAGACCTGCAGTACCTTAATGCAGTTTGGTATTTTGATCTGTAACATTGAACGATAACGTCAATTGGCCGTACGCATTTGGGGTGGCCTTTTATTTTATTGAATTGAGAGAAATGAGAGAGAGAGAAAGAGAAGGGAAGGGGAGGGGAGGGGGGGGGGGGGGGGGGGGGGGGGGGGGTGTTGGTCTCTCTGTGTCATGATACGGAATTTGAGATAAAGTGACTAAGTGGTGAATAGGTGATGTAGGACACAAGAGCAGCCTTAAATAGATAAAGACGTACAGAATTTAAAGGCTGAAAGTTCAAAGAACTAGGGCTGAAATTTGGAGGTTTGAAAGTAAAAATGTAAGAAAACAAAGGGAAAAGAAATAGAATAGAGCTACCTATTGGAATCACTCCAACAGGGCATAGGTATCACACCTAGATAAGGCCTCACACCCTCGAAATTTGTGAATCACTCACAAAGAAATCTCAAAGGATATTTTTTATTCATTCATTGGCTGCCTCACCAAGTTTACATCATACCCTTCTTATATCAACTTATGACCCTGAGATTACCCCATGATTGAGGTAATCAAAAGTTGACTCTATAGCATAATAAAATTAATCGCCCGTAATCAATATTTGACTCTAGCATGATAAAACTAATTACTACTGACTGATGCAATTTTATCGTAATTGATGCAAGCGACCATAATTATGCAATTTGACCAAATCCCCCAATTATGCAAGACTCCAAGTAGACTTCCATCATCTAGCATGTGCCGAATTAAGGCTTGAGCCTTGTAACATTCATTTTTGCGCCTTTTGTATATCCTTAAAGATGTCTGCCACTGATCTCTATCAATAGGTTATTTATTTATTTATTTTATTGGCAAGCACGCACACTCCCGCCCACCATATAGCCCCAATGGGGATTGAACCCATATAGGAGGAGAAGGAGATACCACTTGATGACAGGTTTATTTTTGACAGGTAAGCGCGTATACACTCCCATATAGGGGGGAGAAGGAGATGCCACTTGAGGTAGAGCCTTGGTGATATAGCAAATAGGATTGAAACAATAGTGTTAGAAAACTAATGTAAATTATGTTGGAAGCTATTACTTATGAAGGAGACTACGAAGGGAATAATGAGAAGAGGAGGGATCTTCATATGGTTTCTATGTACTTGGAAAGCCTATCAATAAAGAAATGAGTCACGATAGATATATAAACCTGATAAAGACATGTATAATGTAGATATGACTATATTAAGAATAATTGTATATAAAGAGTTTACTTAATTATATTGCAAGCTTATATCAGGGATTAGTATTTGCGTAAGTGATTAGACACATTCAGGATGAATTGTTACGGTGTATTATTAATAAATAACATCTTTTATAAAAATAGAAAAATAATAATAAAAAAAATTATTAATAATATTGTTAGTTTGTAGATTAGTTCTAGTTAGACCTGTCAACGGATCGGATATGGACCGGATCATGGTTGATCCGATCCGAATTTGATAAGTATAATACATGATCCGATCCGATCCGATAATCCGACGGATTTTCATTTGACGGATCCATATCCGATACACACTTAATCGGATGTCCGATCCGATAATTGGTTCCGATTAAATTGCACACTTTTGCACAAATCAATCAATTAGGGCAAACAACTTCCTCATTCTTAACTACTCAAAAACCAAAACAAAATCTCAAGTTCACTGACAATATGTTTAAAAAAATTTATTTGAAGGTAGAACAAAGAGTATTACAATTTTTTGTACAAGTGAAATAATATCACTTGGTTTTGTACTCTTTGTTAAAGAAATAAAATCACAATAAAGAGTGGAAAAAAAAATGAGACAGAGAGGAGGAAGACGAAGAAGAAGAGGAGAGAGAAAAAAGAAAAAAAAAATAACTACTCACTGAACAAGTTGCGAAATAGAGAAAATTACCGCATAAAAAATTAGGGTAGTGGAGAAGAAGAGAAGGAAAGGGAGAGATCAGAGAATATAAAAACAATAAACTCACTGAAGAAGGGTTCCTACTGATGGATGAGCACCCTTTCTCTTGGTTGTTGAGTTTCTCCAACCTGAAACTATCGTAAAGGGAGCGTTTTGGAGCTTTTCAGTTTGTGGCTGTGATACATATATACTAGGAGAGATATTATTGTGTGGGTGAGAGAACATTATACTTCTTCTGATTGGTTTTTTATATGTAATCCAAACAAATCTAACGGTGGAATCTGCTGATATATAAAATATAATTATATATAATTTTGATCGGATCGGATTATTAACGGATCGGATCAGCCTAATCCATATCCGATTTGTTAATTTATCGGATTATCGGATTCGGATCATAATCGGGTTATCGGATTTTGTACTCGATCCATATCCGACTAATCGGATCGGATTCGGATCAGAATCCGATCCATTGACAGGTCTAGTTCCAGTGTTAAGACAGATTTAATCTTTTGAACAGTACAGAGGGAGGAAAGGAGGGAACTTTATGAAACCATTAACACAACCAGAGACTATGGTAACATCCGAAATCCATATTCCTTTTCTGAACTCGTGATTTTTTTTTGAAAAACCGGTATTGCCACGATAATTTCAGATGTAGCTCCTGGGTGAACTGCAACCAAGCCTAAGAGCATGAGATAACCTTCAAGAATTTGATCTCCATGAGGTCCAACTAGTTGCATTACAGCAGTTTCGATCATTTTGTATATGTACCAATTTTGCGTGGATCATCTATAATGCCTTGCTAAGAATTTGTACTTGACTAGTAGAGTTTTTTAAATCCCCCCCCCCCTCCCTCTCTCCCCGTTGGATTACAAGATACCTCTGCACCCCATCTACCCTATTTTACACCTGTTGACGAACTGTTTTGATAGCAACTGTGCAATATTAATAAAGGACAAAGTCTTTCCGGTTGCTGTAAATTCTAATCTGAATATAAGAAGCAGAATGTGACTCGTGTAAAATTTCGAAGTTTTTGCAGAATGTGACGCGGATTCTCCGGCGTTATTTTTCCTGGCTTGTGTGCATGTGATCCACTATAATTGGGAGAGAGAGAGAGAGAGATGGAATTGCTTAATATTAGTTACTAACATGTATTATCAATGCCTCTTGCCAGGATGCAAAACGTTGAGGCGGCAATAGATGCTGGCATCATTGGTCTACAATTCAAGAATGCAGATTTACTGCGTCAGGATCTCTCTCGCCTAGGTATTGACATGTCATTATATGAAGGCAATAGAAATCAAGATCCAGCTGAGATTGCACAATAGCAATTGACTTGATCTCTCTCTTGCTCAAATTTTTTGTTTATGTTTTATCATTTATTACTCTTGGTAAGCAGAAATTGGTTGAAGAAGATCCTACAGAGATCATTTAATAAGAAGATCGTATTGAGATCATTTGATTCGTGAATTTTTAAATAAATGCCCATAATTTGTTTGAATTCTTTGCAACTATCGTATCTCATCTAGATTTTCTTGTTCCCCAATTGCTATGCTGAGAATCCTGTTGCTCTAATCTCAATGCAGACAATTTATCAAGCTGTAGAATTAATTGGTTGGACAATTCAGAAACAGAAACTATTTTCCTTGAAGATTTTTGTATGGCTTCGGCTGAAACTGTTTCCCAGCCTTGAAAAGAAAGTAGAACTCCTCTCACTTTTCAGGCAATATTGATCTTGTTTATTGCAACAAGGGTTTAGCCCCAGTGATTTCATTGCCCTTTAAATGCAGTCAAAACTTTTGTTGAAAGGAAATTGTTCCAAGTCTTTTTCTTGCTCTGGGCATTTTAAGCAACACTAGATCTGGATTCATGTCCACTCAAGCTGATCTTGCAATTGCCAATGAGCCTCCAGCAAAATAACATTATCATCCTTACCCGAATGAAATTGGCCACATGAATTCTCTCTCCAACAACTACACCCATTTTTAACTTAGGGGAGACCCTTCTTCATCGCTGAAAGTGGTGTTTTAATGCAAAAACCCAAATTGCTCCAGAGAAGCTTATAACGGTGAGACATTTTTCCTGGTGATTTGCTTCCCTAAAAAAACCGTAAGTCATTTGGAGGGCTTAGTCTGACTTTTTTAAAATCATTTTTAATAACCTCATCCCACCCTCTTTGTTTCTTACATTTCTATTACAACTAGTCTTCCTTATTTGATCAGCGCGTCACTAGATCTCCAATCATAGAGGAGGACTTGATATCCAACTTTGGAACAAGGCATCAATCTTGAGACATACGTGGACACTATGCTCAAATGACATATGAGGCACCTATCCCAAATGATTGCTCCTGGTTTTGGAGAAAATTACAGACCTCTCTATCAGGTATCAGGTATCTAACTCCAGTCATAGACTGGGCTGGACAATCAACAAATACATGTAACTGTCATCCTTACCAACATCCACTGGTAGAGCCTAGGCATATTTCTAACCTTGTATCACCCCATTGTGACATCAGTAATCTACCCTTCCCCAACCTCAACATCAATGACACCATACAATGGACTCCATCTCCCAACAAAACCTACTTCCTTAAGCATACACTCCTAATGAAACGGGTGGACAATTGTCCATTTACTCAAAAGTTCAAACTCTTGGGTAGTGTTGTATACCTACCCATTTATACTCAATCACTTTTTCATCCGGATCTGATGTGGGACAAATGACCTTGTTACATTTTCCCCAACCCAAACTTGCAACGCCCTCGTTGCGGCTCGGGCCACCCTGCCTACCCGGACTGCAAACCTGGACGCCCTCCGGGCCTGGAACGGAGCGTGATACCGGATCAAGGATTGAGTCTGACTCTGATACCAATTGTAACAGGTGGGCACTTTCCCATTTACTCAAAAACCGAAATTGTTGGGTAATACTGCATATCCACCCATTTATACCCAATCACTTTTCCATTCGGATCCGATATGGGACAAATGACCCTTGTTACACCTAACCATTACCCCACCAACCCACCTCTTTTATGGCATAAACTCATCCAGTTTAAACATGCTACCTCAAAACATTCTTTTTGCCTCTGTTAGCCATTCAAGAGAAGCTGCTCATACTTGACAAGCCCTCAACTACAAAATGCAACCCAATGTATGCATCATCTGCCTCAAAGCTACAGAGAACCATGATCACTTGTTCCCCAAATGTGACTACTTCAAAGTCATATGGAGTGGTTTACAACACAAATGTGGGTTCTATACAAACCCTAACTCTTGGAAGGATTTCCTAATTTGGGCATCCTCTAATTGGAAGCAAAAACTAAAGAGAAACAGGGTCTTGATTTGGAAGCCAACTTTGCCTAGCTTTGTCTACCATGTTTGGAAAGAGAGAAAAAAAATAGAATTTTCATAAATAAATCATTACCTCCCGTTCAAACCATGAATGTGGTGATTAATGCAATCAGATTGAAGCTCTTCTCTGTCAAGAAGTGTAAATGCCCCTTTGCAGAAGAAATTGCAGCAGAATGGAACCTCCCCACATCCTTCTTTGAACCCACCCATACAAACCCCTTCTTTAATTTCCCGTCCACCCAACCGACTAACCCTCCACCACCATCACCACAACCATTGCCACTACCACCCATTATCCCTGTAGTATGATACATCTTCGTTGATTGTTCCCACCCGAGGCTATGATGGAAGTTAGTTTTGTTCCTGCGTGCAGATTTGTTTTGATTGGGCCACAAATGTGGCCTTGCCTCTCGATTTTCTGTAATTATTCCTTCCTTTTAATTTTACTAAATTTGCCGGGGAAACAAAAAAAAAAAATGGTGCTCGGATCCAATAGAAAGTGAATGACTATACAGAAAATAAGAAAAATAACATCTAACATCTCAGAAAGTAAACGATGAACTTGCTTTCTCCACACTAAAAATATTTCCAGTCCATTATCTGCATGTATAACCAAACTCCATATACAATTAAAAAGAATATAGAAATAGAAAGAATTTTCACTGAGACAAGTCATATTGCAAATTTACAAGAAGCAGCTCATTAATTGAACACACAGCTATGGTGGCGTACAAGCGCATCCAGGCCACAATCAAATACCTTTCAAGTGAAATGGGAAAAGAGTGATAAAAAAAGAAAGAAAAGAAAAATGATGCATTGCTATTAAACATATTATTAGTTACATTACAAATAAATGTTTTTCCACTGCGCAGAAGTTGATCCTACACTCTCATGCATATCATTATAAATAAAATGGAAGATAAACTAAGATACAACAACAAGAAGCCAATTAAATAATAATTAGCTCAATAACCCAAAAATCTTCCGTCACATCTCAATGTCTTCCAGGTCTGGCAGGGGGAAACGAAGGATTGCTGCAATCCCGGTCAGCTGCGCAAGTTCTGTTCTCCCATATGACAATGATTTTAGTGAGGAAATGATATTAACCAGAGTATGATCAAGAGGGCTCTAGAGCACGGAACATCAACTAACACAGAAGAAAATACAGTGATAATGAAGAAAATAAATGCACTTACGCTCTCCTGACACGTGCATAGATGAAAATATGTGAGTGGTGCCCCCTGAAGCTTTGACTGAATTGACCAACTTAACATATTTTTGCCTTGCTGCTATATCAGCACTCCTGGAAGTCAGATGACATTAAGAAGTCTTAACGAAATCTCATAGGATTCCAGAAGGAGAATATATTTACGATCTTAAAGAGGGATTAACAAAAACAAAAGACACTTCTGCAGGAGCTTCATCAAACAATGATGCATGCATAAGTGTCTCTCCGTGCGTGTCTGTGTGTGTGTGTGTGAGAGAGAGAGAGAGAGACTAATTCCACAATAACCATGCAGTTGATAGATTGCAAAAAAAAAATAATAATAATAAATATATAGTATAGTACTACAGAAAGTGAAATATGAGTTGCACTACCTAGATGCATTTAGAGCCTGTGAGCCAAAATGAGTTTGACTTCTTTAAAGTAACAGAAATCCACGTGAAAATGCAATGTATCCAAGTCCAAATAGTACGACTGCTGTACCTTTTGCAATTTATAGTTACATATACTCGCACACAGACGTTCGACTAAAACTTGGACCCTCAACCTCCCTTTAGTAGGGGCGGTTCAACCCCAAGGCAATTAAGGTGGCCGTCTAAGGTTCCAATGGGAAAAAGAGCCCCTTAAAAGTGGGCCCTATTACATTATTTATATAGTTCTTTTAATGTATTAATGACATTTCCTTTTTATTTTATCAATTACCACATACATAATACTACTCTGCTATTGGTCAATACAAGTTGATTTACCCTACAATTTTGTTCTTTTCATTACCTCCTTGTCTCTCAACAATCTCACCTTTTGAGGACTTCTAATTTTTAAATTCTCTCACATATTTAACATTCAAAAGGGCTCATTTAGCAATTTTGCCCTAAGCCTCAAAACTGTATTGAGCTGGTCCTACCCTGTGTAATGTGAAGGAAACAGCAATGAAGCCAACGTTTAGAAGTATAACGGCTGAAGTTACTAACCTGAAGAGTTCGTCAGTGATGAGAAGTGTCTGGACTGCCATTCGTTCATGGGCAACCTCAACATGCTTTGGTCCATAGCATGCACGATCAGGATCCTACATGACCCATAAAAGTCTCAACTACGAACTAAAATAAAAGAAAAATTGCACACAAGGACATATACATATTATCTTATATCTATATATATATATATTTTTTTTTACATTGGTCATTGCTTGGCGGTAACAGTTCGCACTGTTAAGTGTTAAACCCAAGAAAACAGTTTTGAGTAGGAAGACAGCAATTTTGTGCAAATAGTGCCAAAAGTTGAACTGTACAGTGTCCTTCCCAACACTCTCAACTAACAGGGCCAACATTATGTAATGGCAACATATATACAACTACTTAAAACTCTTTTAAAGTGAAAATGCAGCAATTTAATTATAACATGACACCAATGCAAACAATATCCCAGCTGAAATATAATCTGTTGGTCCCTCACGAACAAAATCTCATCAAAGAATTACCCTGTTCTTGATCAATACAAGAATAATGTCAAGCTAGACATAAGAAACTCTAAGAGCTGATGTTTAACCATATATCTGTTGCAAGATACCGTGACATCATCTGATAGTAACCTAGTATCATGGTTTGATCTCGTGAATTATTAAATAATTATAAAATATGAACTTGATTATTATCTACAGAAAAGGATTGTTGTCCAAGGATTCTCAATTGATATCAAGGTCCCAAACAAATATAAATAACAAAGAAATATAGATATGCAGGGAAGAATCTTACATTTGAAAGCATGCTGAAGAAATCCTTTAGAACTTGGACCTAAATAAATTGAAAATAAGAAAAAGCTGTTACTGCCAGGTAAAACAACAACATGAAGAGAGAAAATAATGACAAACATGTTTGGACAAATGACAAGGTCTAAGAAGAGAGAGGACAACAAAATATCCTAACAAACCAAATGAATAATTTAAAAAGAACCTAAACCAAATTGATATGCTGTATTACCTCCTGTGCTGCTTTTGTATCTTTAATCATATTCATTACATTTGGGGCATCCAACACCTCTCTCAAACTATGCCTGTATACCAAATTTTTTATGTTTAGATAATTTTAATACACTTGTACATAAATACTTTGAAAAACAAATAAATATCAATAACTGCCAAAAACTATGACCTATGCAAAGCAGTTACATGTTAGGCAAAAATAAAAAATGAATACAAAACCAAGTCAATGAAAATTCTAAAAAAAGGAAGAAAGTATAGCAGAAATATTAACATAAAGGACAGTAAAAAAAAAAATTATACTCTTAACTTTAAATCGAAATCAACAATTAAGGAAAAAAGCCAACTCGACTCTACTTAACAAAGCCTTGCCCCAGCATTCGATGAAAGAAGCCATAACCACCTTCTTAAAAAAGTATGCTGAGTTTTTTTGGGAGGTGTTTCGTGATTTCTTGAGATACCCCACACCCCAAATAGAATACATCAAAATCTTTGCAAGCTTCGGACCTCCAGAGCTTCTAGTGTATTAATGGGATGCTTGATGCGTACAAACTGCAAACGTAAGTGTCTGCAAATGCATATCCCCAAGAATGCCAATAACAGTTATGCATGTAAAATGAAGATTGATACCGCAGCTACATGGAGTGACTTGTTATGTAGTTAAAAGTGTGCCAAGGACAATGATAAAGCAAAAATAGGCAGATCTAAAATGTCAGAAGAGACAAAGCTGACTACGACTTTACAAGTAGGCATTACATTGAGTTTATTGATAAAAGAAGATCCATATAGACAACCACATAGAGATGACTTAAGCATGTGTGCACACACACTCATGTATTACTACATCAAAGAATCAATAAATGCCTTTTATGTGCCATAAAGATTCAATAACCTCCAATATTTTTTAACTACCCATAATTGCATTCTAAAAATAATGTTCATCATACAACTTAGTCTTTTGAGCACACACACAAAAGGAAAAAAGAAAAAAGCTGAGAGAGAGAGAGAGAGAGAGAGAGCTTTCATACTTGTATCCAGAGGTTGTATGCACTAGAATTATGCGTGATTTATTCTCAATAATAGGTCTCAGTTGTCTCCTTTCCGCCTCCAACAATAAGTGACGATGAAATTGATCCTGAAACATATACAAAATAACTTTCAAATCCAATATATCATTCTCTAATAAAAGTCCGATTTTCTAAATGTTAAGCAAATGCCCATTTGATCCTAAAGTTGACATGTCAAAAGTATTAATACGACAATACCTAGACCACTAAGTTCAGGATTAAACAGAGCTAATTTCATATAAATAAATAAAATAAAAAATTGATAAAATAGATTTATACAGACCTTAGTGAACCCTGGACTTGCAATCACAGCACAGCGGACAACCTTGAAGTCAACATATTTCAGGAAAGCCTAGAACAGATAAATAAACATGTTAAGCATTGCATTCAGAAATAGAAGTGAAATTTGATAGATAGAAAATCAATCAAATAAGTCATACAATAAGCAAAGAAATTAAAACTCGGGATGAGCTCACCTGTAAAACATTCTCGAAGAACTTGCTCAAAGCCTGTAAAGAAAAATATGATTGATGAAGACAAAAACTTTTACATGCTTAGAGAGACAACATTCACTGTCCACACTATATAGCAATTTAAATTTGGCAAGCCTAGGGAACTTACTTTATCATAACCAGCAATAGAAGGTCCATGCTTGCGAGGAATTGGCACTTCTATCCGTGAACGAGTAGTTGTCACACTGTTGACATATCAGCCACAACAGTAAAAAGGTAAACTTCCACAAACTTGAGACAAAATGTTAATAAATAAAATTGAACATATACTGGTAGAAAAAAACTTGTCATGAACAGTTTCTTCATCACAAACTAGAGTTGAACATTCAGCTTCATATTGACTGGCAAGTCTGGCATTTAGTTCTAAGTTTTCATAATATGATAGAATATTTGATGTTCGATTTTAGACCCTGCTAAAGGCCATTCATACACCCTCAATTTTCAATCAATGCACTCCAATTTATACAAGCATAACAAGTCAGTCACTGTTACAGTATTTTTTCCCTTCAATAAAACACACACACAGACACACACATATATATATATGACCGATAACAATACAGTCTTAGCAGTAATTGACATTGCCAAAGAGAATAAATTTGTACATGAAGAATGAGGAATACTAAAAAAGACTACTATAGTTATACCAGTATATGCTATTTTAAACAATCCATTAGGGGTAACATGGAAACTACACAAGTATCACTGTTTTAGACAAATTCAGGGAGCTTTGTGTAGCAATTCACTGGATATTTGAAGTAGGTCCTTGCACCTAAATGAATTTCTGAGTCTGTGATACAAAATAGTTCAATCCAATAATGAACAAAGTTCACTAGAATGCATTCATAATTTGTGAAGAGAATCAACTGCATAACATTCTGTTTACAGAAGCATATTCATTTCGAATCTAGTAGAATGACTAAATCAGATTTTCAAAATTCGAAATGAACCTACTGCTAAAGGAATTGATGGCTGCACTTCTTATTGTCCTGAAGAGGTGATGATTCTAGTAATCGCTTCTCTTTTACAAAGTTCCATTTAATATCTACTCTGAGAAAAGCCTGAGAATGACGTGGAAAATGCTTGAATGTTACTTAATAAAAAACATTTATAGTGCATGTTTACCTCTCTTTCAATCAGAGAAGTGTTTCTTGAGATTCTGTTACACAAACACAAAATATAATCTCCAACCAAACAAGGTTTTTGCTGTCCAAACTCTAGAACGAGGTAAAGATACCATGGAGAACTTATGACCATGTCAATTTAGAACTAAAAGGACGTACAGATTACACCTAAATTGGAAAATGGTAGACATTCTTTTAGTTCAACAACACTTTTATTGATCCAATCCAAATCAATAGAAGCTTCCTGATTTTTAAAATCTCGTAAGTCTGGCAGTAATGAGAGACTGATTGTCTCCCATGCATAACTGCAGCCATAGTTTCTGGGGGTAAAGTGCAAGGTAACAAATTTAAAACCTAAGGGGTAAGGCACAAGCCTATTTGATTTTTTAAATTTTTAAAATTTAAATAGTTATAAGAAGTAACGTAAGATAGAAAGACAAAGCAAGATAGAGGAACCAATAAATAACTAACTTTAATATATATATATATATACACACACACACACATGCAGACATATATATTAGAGATATTTGGGAGAATTAGCATCATTGGATAATATTGTCTACATTTTGCCTGATACTTGATTATATAAAGGATCTATCTGATTCTGGGGAATTCAAACAGGTGGAACATGAGTTTAACATGATAAGCCATAAATGCACATTCAACACATGATATCGTATTCGTTGAACAGACATGAAATGTAGATTTCCCCTTGGAAACAAGAAGCTTCTTAATGAAAATACAATATTTATTCTATAAAATATTAACTATATTATAATTGTTAAACAAATTAACTCAAAAATACAATGTCATTGTCCTAAATAAATGCTTAATGTGCCCTCAAAATTCTATGATGGTATTCTGTCACATATACAGAATGTGTGTTTCTACACAACAATGGTGCAAATGTTTTTTTTTTTAATTGTGTAGCAACTGTTATAACACAGTACAAGATAGCACATTAAGGGAAGTGCATGATCAATGAACATTGTAGATATATAAACAGACAGTCATCACACCTCAGTTACACAAATACCTTAAAGCATATCATAAGGTAATTCAATAATGAATCACATTCATGAAAGAATTATGCTACCTTTTACCAATTAGGAAGATCTGTCCCAATCCTTCTTGCATTAAAACCACCACTAGATCAGCACTTGCAGAAGGATCTGAAAGTAGGAAAGAGTCAAATTGATGATGATGAGAGTTAAATCCATAACCTTTTTAATACAAAATAAAAAAATAATGATCAATTTAGCATCAACGTAGTAAAGGCGTTTCCTAGGCAGTCAGTCGCCTAGGTATGACCCCGCCAAGATAAACTAACCAATGCTTACAATAGACCTCAGCTAAGCAATGCCAGCCCATAGTTGTTAAAGGCTCAAGGCGCACTAAGGCACCCAGTTCTCCTGGAGCCCGAGGCAAAAGTCACAAGATGAGGCCGGGCCTGGCTGAAGCGAGGCGCAAGTTGAAAAACAGAAGAGAGCACCCCACAGTCCACTTTGTTGCCTGGGTTTTTGTTGACAATGGTGGTCTACAGCCTCTAAGAGCACCCCACAGTCCACTGCCAAACACATGGAGTCCTCCCCCCACATACAATTTCTGGGAAATTCCTTGGGGGGGGCTTCTAGGGGGTCTGCCCATCTTACTTTTGTCTTTCACTTCAGCTGGTATGACTATTTTTAAAATTCTAATAATAAAAGCTTAGTGCATGGTAACGTCCTTGATTTGCTATTATCTCTTGTTTTATGTCCAGTGTAGCATTATTGTCTCCTACACCTTTTCCTAGTTTAGTTAATGACTTCCTTGATATATTTGAGTTAAACCACCGCATATAGATGACAGCTTTACCACCGTGGCTTTCATTGACAATTCAGAGGAATATCTGTATTGTAAATTTTGAAGCTCTCATTTTTAAGGTTTTTTTCCTCAACTCTTACCCTTATTATATACACCACACCAATGGTATCATTCTACAAATATATCATCATATACTCAGGAAGCTTCCAAGCTCTGAAGTGCAAAAAAATAAGTTGACTAAATAGAAAAAGTACATTCTCTCTTAGTTCCACGAAACATTTGAGTAGAAAATTATGCTATAACATTTAAAAGAAAAATTCTTTGAATTTAACAAACCAAAAATGCTTCTTTTATTACTACTATTATTGTTTTTTCTTTGTTAATGTCTAAAGATGTCAAAAGCATATTGAGGGAAAATGTTCTATCAAAATCTCCAATCAAGCATACTGCATACTAGATATGCAACACCTTATAATTTCAACCACCATTTCAACTACTAATCCTAAACCATTATGATTAAGGACATTCAGATCAGATAGAGTTTCTGCCATTTTAAACACGATTGAACCAAACACTAGGTCATGTCAACAGGCTGAGTCCACCAAAGACATTTCTAAAATAACCAACTTCAAATTCTTTTTTTCGAATAGTAACCAACTTCAATTTTCACCAGATGAATAAATTGGGGCCATTCACAGCAAAACTGATATCTGATTCTAATACATTTAAATGATGATAACAGTTTTGTATACTCCCAGTAATGGAACCGGAATAAATTTACAGAACCAAAATGGCATACCTGAAGCTTGACGGAGTACATCTAACGCAAGTGAGTCCCAAATTTCCTAGAAAATTTGACAGCAACTCATGTCAGCAAAAAGATATGCATTTCATAAGTCATGAGGAAAATTGCTCCATTTAATGACAAATGGTGATAAAATTGAATTTCAATTGGCAACATAATTTTGAAGTCATTATCACTATAATAAAAAATAAAAAAATAAAAAATAAAAATAAAAAATAAAAATTCCAGCCTTAGAAAATGAAATGAAATCACAATCCAACAAACTACGAATAAGACGAAGAGCAATGAGGTGCAACTGTTAAGTAGTGAAGATCTCTGTTGAACAAAAAATTACATAGGTAATATCAAAGGAGGCATCCCATGAGACTTGCATTACAGTAGTCTAAGACATTTAATGATAAGGTGAACTCAAGGAAGTAATAAGATGGAATCACCTCCTTCAATCAAACAACATTACAGTGATATATTCCTCCGAGTAAAAGCTTGACTGAAGTAAGGGATGACATAATATGACTAACTGAAATTCAGAATCTCTTGAAAAAGTCAATCTTTGATTCTAATGACTCGGATTACACAGTAAGCATTGGTATTTGTGCCCTTATGACCATATGAGCATTCTTGCACACCACTTCCCAACTCTCCCACAACCCAAACCAACAGACTCATCCCCCCAACCCTGCATGAAAAGGAAAGGCCCCCAAAGGGGAAAATAAATGGTAGAACAAACCTTACTACATTACTATTTTCCCTCAAAACAATGTGCATCCATAATGTCACCTAAAGAGCCAATATATCATGTACATCTCTGGGTAACAACTTTCAACCAATGAAAGGGCAAGCAAACAATGAGCTAACATAACTACATAGAGCTAACAACACAATGTAAATCCTATTTAACTGGAAATGTGAAGTTTTACAAATATCTTTGAATGAAATGAAAATATGAAACTGCATATTTTCAGTCAAGCACAAACTTTGTTGGTTAAAAAAGACCACAGCATAACTGTTGCAACGTGCCTCATTACTAGATATGAAGTGCAATCGAAAAAACAAAATATTACTATGTAGTAAAAACAATACCAAGCATAAAGCTAACTTACAAGGCATTCCTTTCAACGAATACCACGCAAAAATAACATAAAGCATCAATTCCAACAAAATATTAACAATATCAAAATCCAAATTAACAGGAGATGTACTGTATCATGGATGTTTTAAACATATCACTTAAGACAATGAAGTGGATATAGAAAGGACAAAATATTAGCGATTACAGATCTTCTTTTTCCTTTTTCTTTTCAGGAAAGCGTACCTTTCTTAGCACAAAAGGTCGATGAAGATCAATTTCTAGAGTGTGAAATGCCCCTATCTGCAATAAGATGATAAATTCATGTAAGAATCAAAAAGCTATTCAGCTATACTTCTATTGATTTGGAAAATTATACCTACCTTAACATGTTCGTTTTCCAGGATGTTCTTTCCACGTATGCGCAAAACAGCCCCTTCTTTGTCATAATCCACAGACTAAAAATTCATAAATTAGGACACATCATAGAAGTAAAACAGGCAGAGCTCTTAAAAGTAAGCACTAAGAATTATATGCATCAACCAACTAACTAGCTGTGAGAGAAATAAGCTATCAAAAAATCATTATCGACTAACCACATAAGTGAAGAAGGATAAATCAGATCTCACGTGTGGCCATGAATAAAAGAAATGCAAACCTGTTTAGAATTTCTTGCGCCCTTAGAAGACACTTGACAATTCAAGATTTTGAGATAGAGTCAAGAGTAAGGAAAAAGAAAAGGAAGAAAACACCTAGTCCCAGCCAGCCGTTCCAAAAAATTCTGTCCAGAATCAAGCCCAGCCCCTTCAATCAAGCCCAGTACTAAGCCCAGAATTCTAGCCTTTCTGGGCCCTCCTTTCTGAAACTTTTTCTATTTTCTGTTACTGTACCCTATTCTTTAAATTTATTATTAAAGCACCGCATATCAAATTATGCCATGCACTACACTAAATCGGTTTTCATTTCAAATAACTTTTAAGCTCTAAGCTCCTAAAGAACAAACCCTCGATGCAATCTACACACCACACTTATTTTACAAAACACTAGCCCCCAACTACCCTAGGAAGCACGGACACTCCAAAATGGGCGAAGAATCCGTGTCCGACACGTGTCGAACACGCCAAAAAACATGTCTGGAATTTTTTTATTTTATTTTCGGACACAGCTCGGACACGGCACGGACACTTTGCGAACACGGACACGGACACAGACACGGCACGGACACTTCTGGAAATTTTTTTTTTTTTTTTTTGAATGCTGATATGTTCTTTTTTTTGTTTTGTACTACCCTTTTGGTATTGTAAGTGGTAAAAGTCCTAGGTCAAATGATGGATGGGAATAGATTATAGTACACTGACTTGGTTTTTGTATCTTTTTTGGGGACTAGCCTTTAGGTTTTTGTGAATGTTAAGTGCTAACAGTAAAGTCCTGAATGTTAAACAGTCATGAATGTTAATAGTCCTTTTTTGTCTATGCTTTTGTATTTGGAGTAAAGTTGCAATGATGATTAAATGATACTAGTTATTATTCTAATGTCTTGTTTTTTTATTTGGTTTTATAACTCTGCAACATTGTTCTTTTATAGTTTATTAGTTATGAGTTATGATTTGTGTTTTTTTTTCATTATGAGGTTGATAAAAAATAGTAACACTCGGTAATTTTTAAAGTACTACATTATATATATATACTATTCGCCGTGTCCGTGTCCTAATTTTTTTGGATTTGCCATGTCGCCGTGTCGGTGTCGTGTCGTATCCATGTTCGTGCTTCTTAGCAACTACCAGTTTGTTAACTCCAACTTTAAAAACTCTCCATTTTCTCCTCTGCCATGCCCTTTTTCTTCTTTCTTCTTTTCTGTCATTTCATACCACCCACCCACACACTACTTTTTATGATAAGAAAAATCTGTTACATAATTCCTTAAATCCATTACTTAACAAAGCTTTCCTGATTGTATTTTCCTATCTGATTTTGGAAAGAAGAATTTTTTTTTTTTTTCTTTCTATATTTTGACAGATCAATTTTTGTGTACAAATAAAGATTAATTGACTTCGTAAATTATTAAGTACTTGGTCTATAAACAATTCTAACATAATTTTTCAGTACCAATCAAAACAAAAATAAGCTGCCAATGTGGAATTGTACCTCATTCTCTCAGACAATAAGCTAGAAAAAGATTATATGAAAAAAACTGCTAAAGCTTTTAACCTTGTCTTACCTCCACATTTATTTCCAGTTTCAGCTTCACGCGTTCCGCATCTCTTCCTCCAGAAGCTGCTTCTCTTAAAACTTTCCTGTAAAAAGTGAACCAATGATTGTGATATCCGCTTGTACAAAACATGCATGGAATTTTACTACCTGCCCAACAATTAAACTATTTTTTCCATGTGGAGATTTAGAAAGAATCTTCCAATTTTTTGGTTCACAATCAAGATCTCATCCACGTTTCTAACCATAAGAATGGATAAATTTATTTTTTAAGAGAGAAAAGAAAAAGAAAATAAAGTATGAATCTCATCAAAAGGGAAGCAGTTCAAAATATAACTTTTTTTATGCACCTTGAAAATCTCATATGAAACAGCAGCATATACATTCAGTTCCACATAACGATGTTACATTTGAAGGTATCTAATGCTTATTTGAATATTTCTAATAAGGCATGTCAAAACAGCTACTATCTAATCATGATCTGATGTACACTGTCAATACCAGGATGATCACCCATATTGCGGACAATTACCCATTTTCACTTGATATAATTTTGAATGAGATTACGTTCTTGTTCATATCACAACTGAAAGTTCGGAGACCATACTGAAAGTAATGGATTTCACTGTCCACGTCATTTTTCGGGTCTGTTAAGATTATCATTTTAATTTGTTTGAGTCTGTGTCACTCTGTGAAATATGTATAAAGCCATTTATCAAGTTAAATTGATTAATCTATTTTTAGCTAGATTTCTGAATTCTAATAGTTCCAATTAATGCCACTTTTTGTTTGAAAATAATTTTCAATAATGAGAAGCTATTTGCTTTCTTGGGTCCCAAGGTATTAAATTTCTGGAATTTAGTTTACCCAATTATCTCCTTTTCCCTGAATCCCTCCACAACCAAACTACTCTTTAAATTTCAAACTGTATCAGCATAACCCATAAACAATTTTGATGCAAAATTGTGCCTTTCACTATATATGTTGTGGATAGCAATACACAATTCACCTTCAAATATACAGAAATAGATAAAGGGAGATATAAAAAGACAACACACCTGACTGTAACAGCTAGGACTGTGTCACCTACAGCTATCAAGTTATAAGCCACCCATAAATCATCGGATTCTTGTGGAATCATCTGCATCCACCAATTCAAAAACACGAAAATCAAAATTCAATCCCAACCCAAAGCACAAAATCAAGACTTTTTTTCCCTTTTTTCAAAATAATAATAATAATAATAATAACAAAATAAAATAAAATCCACAAAAATCTCACCTTGACACTGCCAGGCCCATCACGAACCAGGTCTCTACGAACGATCTTCATTTCGAACGGAGGAAAGAAGAAGATTACAAAACCCTATCTACCTTTACAAAACCCTATTTGATTCGCCTGGTTTAGTAAACAAATCTCCATCTGGGAAAGGATTCGACACATAACATATGCGCAGAGAAAGTAAATCTCCACCTCGTTTAGGAAATAACTTAGTTCTGGTTTAGGAAATATCCACCGTGGAAACTATTCGACGTGTTGGCCATGGATCCAGAGAGGACCGGCCCGTGAGCCTGATCTTGGTCTTACGGATACGAATACGGATACAGGATAATTGTGTGATTAAAATAATATTTATATTCTTATATACCAGCTTTTAAAATTAGTGTGAAAAAATTAGGAAAAAGAAGAAGTTAAAGTTTGGTTTATAATCCTATTTGGTTTATTATAATGTTTATTTAATTTATTTGGGAGGAAACACGGATACATAATACAATACGATATAATAAGGGTACGATAATACGACAAATTTTAAATATTCGTAATACGAATAAGATTTTGAATTTGGGATAAATCTCAAATATTCAAGGTACGGATAGGATCTTGAATTTGGGCAGCCAAAGGAATATGTTGAAGACAATATATATATATATATATATATATATATATATATATATATATAATTAATTTTTTATCTACAAATTTTTTTGATGACTTCTAGTCTGTTTTATTTATTCGCATAAAATTAGGGATTGAATCAAGACCTATCAAATTAAGACAATCAATTTGTACATAAATTTGAATTTTGAGTGATTTTTGTAGTTGAATTTTAATGATAACACTGGAAAGTTATAGTAGTTGAAATTGATTGATAAATAGATGTCTCACTCTATAAAATCAAATGCAATTGGACGACCTTTAATTTAGGCATGCAAGACCCAAGTGTCCAAGTACTGACCAGGTGAGTTGGGAATCATCACTACAAACTACATGGAGTTACTAATTATTTTTATTTTCTTATAATATATTTTTTATTTTTTAAAAATTTACTCTCGGTTCCAAGAATTTTTATTCTTATAATTCTGGAAAATAAAATAACAATAGATTTGGAGGAATTTTGGATTTTTTAAATAAAAAGTAATGCTTGGTCTCATGATAAAAACATAAGTTGAATGTCATGCAACCATTTTTACAGTTTTGAAGGGGTAAGGATAGAGGAATCCTAACAAATAAAAAAAAAAAATTAAATATATATATATATATAATGGACCCGCGAAAATTGTATTCTAATTACTGCCAAAAGTTATACCCAAAGTTTCATTATGTGATGAATAATAGTTTTTGTGTGTGTATAGTTAATCTTGATGATCAACTAATGTTATTATTTACATCATGGTTGTTTCTAAATACAACTATACAACACACTTACAATTTTTATTTATATTTTTAGAAACACATCTTTCTATAATCCTCTATATTCCATCACAAATTATACTAACAGTACAATGTGATTATTTTGAAAACTTACACATTTTGTTTTAACATTCAACACAATTATTTCGAGGATGTCAACAACTTATTTTTACGGTATAATGAATTAATTTTGAGAATTTCAACACACTACTTATTTCGATAACAACTTATTTTTACGGTATAATGAATTAATTTTGAGAATTTCAACACACTACTTATTTCGATAACATTAGTTGTTACTTCATTGACTTCAACACATTTATTTGTCGTTATTTTTAAGATTGAATTGAAAATAGTATTTTACTCTTTAATTTTGATTCTTATAAAAATTAATGAAAACTTTTTTCGTATGCGTTTTTTTTTTTAATATAAAAAATTCAACACTCACATTTACAATGCACAAGCTTAATTATTTCCAAAACAAATGCAACACTTTTACATTCACAATCCAGCGCACTTTAAAACTAAAAGTGTAACATAATTATTTTCCCTATTATTTATTCAATACACATTATTTAACACATTTAGTCAGAGAATTGTTATTATTTATTTTTTTATTATGACAAGACATACACCACCCATCACTTATTCTCGTGGACTTGAACTCTTTACCTTTAATGGTAAGAAAGCATTACTAGACTATTGTCTTAGTAATATATAATAATATTTTATTAAATAAATTCAATAGTTACACAATCCATTTATGTGAGTGGGATATCATGTGGTGGTCTTGCTGTACCACTCACATAAACGAGATTCCATAAGTATTGAATTCGATTCATAAATTATTATTCTATTATATTTTAGATATCAACAATTTCAATCATTTAATTATAATGAATTGTAAAGTAAAGTTCAAATCCTTTTCAACATAATTGATTATAGCAGTTCATCACGATTACTCACAATATATCTTAAGGTGTTATTGAGGATGCCAAAAATGGCATGGGTCGGGCCGGTCCAGATTGCCAAAATCGAGTCGGGTAAGTGATCCAGGTCCGAACCAAGCCCTCGCAAGTCAGGCCCAGGAATGGAAGATCATGACGGAAGCCCGATCAAAAGAGTTACGCCCATCATCAAGAAGAGCCCAAGAAGAAGCTCAGCGCAAGAAGTTAGTTAGGAAGCTTCTGGAAAGTTTGTAATAGTCTATAAATAGACGAAAAATATAGGAAAAAAGGGAAAAAAAAAATCTTAAAGTGTAGAGTTACTCTGTCAAAATAGAGAGAGAAATTTCTTGCATCTTCAGTTATTTTTTCTAGGCTGGATTCTCACGTGTGACTGAGCTTAGCAGTTGATTGCTTCGTAACTAAATTTTGTTACACTAGAGTGCTATTACAGCATTGGATTCCACCAAGATAAAATGGCACATTAAAATTTATTGGGAGTTAGTATCACTTCGAAACTCTCGGCAGACATAGTTTGAATTTTACCCTCTCTGTCCCATTTTAAATGTCAACTTTGGAAATACCCGTTTCAAGAATTGTTTTTCGAAAACCGACATTTAAAATGAAACGGAGATAATATTTAATTTGTATCGGAGCCTTCCATGAATTAGCCCGGGCAAAACCTAACATGTATCACTTCAAAACGATGTCCCAAACTAAAAGTGCCACACCGCTTATTTCCGTGACCTCAGTGGCAACAGAAAGGGTCATCATCTGGCAGACACGTTGAAATGCTCAATCTGACATCCTAAGAAAAGCATGCAGCACTGCAAGTCTCATGCAGTCGCTGACGTGCGCTTCCCTTGCATATGTCTCTCCCCTCTTTCCAACGCGTGTCTCTCTCTCCTCTCTCTCTCTCTCATCTCACTCATCAAATGAAACCCTAAGAAAAGCCACTCTGCCATTTCTCTCCTGCTCAAAGCTCTATCATGACATTTAATTTCCTGAAGTAGAAGTCTTTCTTCATCTATCATCTTCAGGTACAAAACTTAAGAACACTCTGTTTGCTAATAATTTTTAGTATTTCTCTTCTATTTTTGTGTTCCTGTTTTCTGGGTTCTCATCTGATCGAGATACCAAAGAATCGTAGTTCTTTTGTCCCAAAATAGTTGTTCATATTGGAAATCCTTCTGTGAGTCACGGTTCTTCCCAATGTGGACAACTATTGAAAGACGGAGGTAGTACTTGGGTTTAGACTAATTATAATTTCCAGTCTCTCTCTTTTTTCCCAAATAGTGTTAGTTTCTGCAAATAATTTCAAGTTTTATTTATAGTTTTTCCTGTTTCTGAGCAACCAAACAGAGAGTTGGGTTTTCGCAAATAATTTAAAGTTAAATTCTATTTTATTTCTTATTTTTCTGGTTTCTGAACTACCAAAAAAGGTTGGACTTTCCGCTAATAATTTCTAGTTCTCTTCTATTTTTCTTTCATGTTTAGTAGGTATTGAGCTACCAACCAGAGGATTGGATTTTCTCTAATAATTTCCATTTTTTTTGCTCTCTTCTGGGTTTTGAGTAAGTAATTTCCAGTTTCTGTTCTATTTTCTTTATTTGTCCTCTGGTTTTGTTATAGCTGACCAAAAGGGTTTTATTTTTTATTTTTTTGTGTATAATAAATAAAATCAAGTTTCTTTCATTTTCCTTAGGTTTCTCAGCAACCAAACATTAGGTTGGCATTTCTATTAATGATAATATTATATCTTTTTTTATAGGATGGAAGATCCAAGATCGGAATGGGAGATTGAAGAATACTACCCATCAGAAGACGGACAGAGCAAGGTGAGTTGGATTTTGAACAAGGGACTTGGGTTAGGAAAGAAAATTGTGATTACAGGTATACTAATATCATCTGCACCATTAGTTCTTCCTCCACTTGTGATAATTTCTGCACTTGGTTTTGCTGTGTCGGTCCCTTTTGGGCTCGTATTTGCGAGCTATGCATGCACTGAGAAGCTCATGAGGAAGCTCCTTCCTAGCCCGGAACCTCCTCTTATTTTGGGGTATGGAAAAAATGGAGAAGAAGATGTGGGTTTTGGAGGAGAAATTGATATGGAAAAGGAAGAGGAAGATGAAAAGGCCGGTGTGGGTTTTGGAGGAGATATTGATATGGAAAAGGAAGAGGAAGATGAAAAGGCCGGTACGAAGGGCGGGGTTGAAATGAGGATTGAATTGGTTGAAAATGAAAGCCAAGAATTCGAACCTCAAGAAGAGGTTTTGCCGGAGTACAAAGATGATTATGGGCTAAAAGGCATCGACAAGCATTATGAGGAAGAGAATGTAGTGAAAATTGAAGGAATGGGAGAAGAGGGAGAAGGTGAAATGTTGATAGAAGAAAGCAAGGATAAAGAAGTGGATGAATTAGTTGTTCTGGAGCCGCGGATCGTAAAAGAAAGTGGTAGTGGGGAAAAAGTGATTGGCAAGGAAGTTGTCATGAGTGTTGAAGAAATCAATAAAGAATCTGAAGATAAAAATGTCAAATTAGAGAAACTTGTTAGGGAAGATGAGGCAATTCCAAAAGAAATTAAAGAGGAGGAGGAATTAGCGAAAGAGGGCAATGTTGATAATGGTGTGAAAGAGGATGAAATGCTTGGTGCAGGGGAGAGGGATAAAAATGTCAGCAATGTTGAAATGAAAAATGTGAAGGTGGAGAAATTCAATAGGAAAAAGAAAGGAAGAAAAGGAAAAAAGGGGGCTGAAGCACTTCCAAACAAAAATGAGATGCCAGAAAGAAGTGAAGAAAACACGGATATTGTCCAAACGGAGGTGAAACCAGTCGGGGAGGTAGAAGTTATAATACATGAAAATGAAGATGAAAATAATGCTGACAATGTTTTAGCAGTAGAGAGAACTTATGGGGACTCAAATGGGAGGAGAC